ATTTGCCATTGATGAGGATCCATAAGGAGAAGGATCAAATCATATTGATGTTGATGATGATAAAAATCATCAAAATTTAGCTAATGATGCTACCAATGTGTAATTGATATCGGAGTTAATTTTGAGATGTTATTTTTTTATCAAATTTAAAATTTTTGTTATGTGAATTGATTTTATTTTATTTTTCTTAACTTAATGTGATGTGTAATAATTTTGTTATAATTTTAAATTTTTTTATTTTTAAATTGAAAAATAAAAAAATAATTAGGGTCGGTCTTTCAGCCTTAAGGGCCAAGATTAGACTGCTAAAACTAGAGCCCTAAGATATAATCAAGTTTAAAAGGGCTTGACACTTGAAGAATCGGTCTTAATTAACACCTCTATGTGTGTGTATTAAAGGTTATTACAAATCATGTTGAAATGTTTCCATGCTGGATATCTGCAAATCAAATTAAAATATATTATATTATATTCCTCAATTTTTAGTTATTTTGTAAACAAAGAACTAATGTGTTGTATGACTGTGTGTGCATGCAATAAAATCTAGGGACAATATAGTGAATTTTTTGTTAAGGTATTATTATAATTAGTGGCAGAGTCAATATCTAAAGTTAGGAGTGCAAAATAATTTAATAAAAAATTAATATTTTTAAATAATAATTATGCTATGATTAAAATTATAATAATATAAATAGATTGATCATCATTTTTCTTTTAAAAAAATTATATTGAATATGTTAATATGGTCATTTATTATAAATACGCTCTTTATATATATATATATATATATATTATAGGATAAGATATATATTTAATTTTTTAACTTTACTCAACATTTTATTTTAATTTTTTAATTTTATAAAGTATCTTTTTAATCCTTTAAATATAATATTATTAGTTTTATCTCAATAAATTTTCATATTAAACTTTGAATATTGATAAAAAATTATCAAATGTTGATATTTTAAGTTTAATTTTTTTTAAATAATAATAATTGACACAAAAAAATTATTTAAAATTAATGATGTTAGAATTAAATGACTAAAAATATACTTTATAAAATGAAATGGACAAATTAAAATCTCATATAAAGTTAGAGAACTAAAAATATACTTTAACTAAATATTATATATTTAATAAGTTTTTAAGCTCAAATATTTATTTATTTATTTTAGATGGTACAAAATATAAAGAGTCAGGAGTGCAAAGTTATAAAATTTATATGACTCATTTATAATTTTTTTTAAAGTGAGAGGGATGCACTCGTAACCTTCTAACTAATGTGGCTCCGCCACTGGTTATAATCATGATGATGATAATAATAATAATCGGTTTACTATTTTTAGTTAATAACAAATATTTTCAATTCAGGAAATTATTTTTATTCTATTTTTAATTTTATTACATCCTGTACGTTGTTTAATTCATATGAAATCGGAATACTCTCTTCGTTTTGATTTCTTTCACGCTTCATATGTAAGATGTTTTTTTTTTTAAATGTTTTTTTAATGATCATATGTTTCAAACATACCCTTCAGTTTCAGCTAGGGGGAAAAAAATAACATACCCTTCACTAATTAAGTTCAGGTTAATTAGAAATTAATGTTAAACGAATGACTTTTTTTGGCTAATTTTTTTTAAAATTTTATAAATATTTTTTAAGAAATTTAATGTTTCCAACCATATTTAATAAAGTTTATCAGTCCTTAAAATCTATTTTAAAAATATCTTATAAATTAATGAGATTGAAGAGGAATAATTAAAATGTAAAAATGATATAAAATAACCAACAAGGACTAAGTTTAACAAAAATGACCAAACCCTCGTAAATTTGAATCTCTGTTAACAAACATGCTAACGGTTAGTATCAAACTGCCTCGCCTCATAATAGATGATATCAATAAATAAAGAAAAGAAACGAAGTAAAATACAGGAAAAATGGGAAAGAAGCAGAGTAGAAGTGAATTATGACTTGTGAGGAAGATGAGGCAGTCCTTTCTTGGCAGATTCACAGGCAGACGCACTCACGTTTGGTCCCCAGGTTCATTGGTTGAAGTCAAATGCCACCCACCCTCTTGTTTTTTTTTTTTTTTTCCCATTCATTCACACACACCATACTTGTTTAAACATGTACACCGTACTTAGCTTACATAATCTCTCTATTATTATCAATTAATTATAAAATAAGACTTTGGAGAAAGCGAGATTCGCTTTTCCTCAAAGCATATCATCCCCCACTTGCCTTATACTATGCAATACATATTATAATCCCACAACACGTATGTGCTGGTCTGCCATGGATATGCATGCAGTACCTTACATATCTTCAACTTGTAACCTCAGACCTCGGACTATTCATGTCTCCAACTCATCCTCTCGTCTTTATATAATTTCTTCATCTCTCCTTTTGAGGCTAAACCCTCCATTAAATTATATCCAACTTGAACCACGTCCATGTGCCGCTACATCACTGACGCACACAATCACAGTCTGGCCTGTATTGTTTTGCTGGTCCAGTAACAGCTTAACAAGTTAAGGAACTTTGCTTTGCTCTGAGGGGCTTTGCAAAACGATAAGGATGCAAAAACATAAAATCTGACAATGGAGAGTGGGAATATATGTATGATCTTGAACGAGCAATGGCAAGGAGATACGTCACTGCTAAGGTCTAGTCTGTTTTACACACTTCTCTTTCCATGGCCTCAGCAATAACTGATGTGACACCATTACTTTGACTCTATGTCATCACGGCCACACACCCGACACCCGCATATGATAATTGCACAAACAAACTTTCTTAAATTGTGAGAAATTTTTATGATTGATATTATTTTGAGGAAAAAGACAATAATAGTTCCGCCCACTTTGATGGCATTTTTATTTATAATCCTCATATAGTTTTATTTTGTTGTTCTAATTTCTTTTAATTTAATCCATAGAACATTAGTTCTCGAAGTTTGTAAAAATATGCATAAGGATCATGAGTTAACACTGATAAAATTAATTTTGTTAACATATAATTAACTCTGTTAACCTATTTGTTAAATTGTATTCAATACACCTTCATCTCCCACATATTTTCATGCCAGCATATTTTAACCATGGTAGTGGCAAATGAGTTAGCTGAGTTATAATGAAATTAACTACATAAGTACCAACCAACTCATGGCTGTTATGAATATTTTTAAAATTATAGGGACTAATGTCGCTGATGGCGAATTGAATTAAAAGAGTTGAGAACAATGAAATAAGATCACAGAAACTAAAAACAAAATACAGTTATTATTCGTTACAAACAAGTTGATCCTTCCCTCAACGTGCATGGTAGGTCACAGGCATGAGCGTTAAGTTGTAAGGATTGTGGGGGTGGTTACTTCTTGTTAATGCTGTAAAATCTGTAATGCGTTAAAAGCTTGTTATTATAAATTATATGTGAGATTAAAATTAAAGACATGAGTAGGGGGATGGGGATGGGGATGGGAAGATCTTATCCCATTAAACAAATATACTACTGGAAATGGCCCACACCGCACTTTCTCTTTCTCTGGTGAGAAAGGCACATTCCAAAAGGCAATGTTGTTGTGTGACACTCGATGGTGGTGGTGGGGGACGAGGCGCACACGTTGTCTCAATCCTTTGTTTTTTTCTATTATGGAATGAACATGGACTACATCAATCACCACCTTGTCCTTGTTTCATCGTTTCGATTATGGTAATGAACATCGTTTAGGTTCAGTTTGGAGGCCAGAGCAGTTCCTCTGTTCTCTCCCTCTTGTTTTGCTTTGCTAGGTGCTGCCTGTGAATGAACCAGCATCTGCTGCCATTGGAGTTTTGAGGGGCAACATCAGTCATCAAATGAGCCATTATTCAAAGGATCAGCCCAAAACGAGGAAAAGACATTTGGGACTGAATATATACTGAGGAGACTGTAAAACAAGGTCATAAAGTTCGATGATGATTCCACCGTCAACACCACCAAGTCTGCTTATAAGAGGAAGGAACCATCTTCACACGGCCCTGGTTCTGGTGTGGATATTACTTTTGATTTTCAGCTGGGCCGGGGCTTCACCAGGAAAAAAAAAAAAAAGAAAAAACATTAACCCACAGCCACAGAACCAGGCAATAGTTTAAGATTTTAGGGGGCGTGGGGGAGAAACAATTATTTGAAATCTTAAATTGTTGAAATGAAGGATCATAATCCTTATTTATAATTAAAAATTAAAAATTATTAAAATAATCAATGAAATATTGTTTATGAATTTAAGAAAAGTTTGTTGTAAATTTAAGTAATATCATGTGCAAATCAATGGAAATTTAATTATAAATAAATAATCTCATTAATTTATCCATTGTTATTTTTTAATTTAAGAATAGTCACTTATAAATTTTAATACGATTGCTTGTGAATTTATGAAAAATTAGTAATAAATAAATAAGTAGTTTTATAAATTTATACATCATTACATGTGATTTAAAAACAATCAGTAATGGATTTAAGAAATATTACTTATAAATATATGATTAAAAAACTTTTTTATATGTTTTAACATTCATTCATAACTAATTTCTATAATAAGCGATGTATAAATTTATGTAATTATCAATCCATTGAGAATTAACTTTCTATGAGTTCACAAATAACTCTCTTAAAATTCATAACTCACTTTAAAAATAATAATAATAATAAGTGACATTCCATTAACATTTCAATAATTAGAAATCTTTTTTTCTCAAAGTAATAATTAGGAGTCTTATAATTGCAAATCAAGATTATAATCTTGACATTTTAATAATTCAAGAGCTTCAGTTGTCTTTAATGCTTTCACAAGCTCCATAAATAAAATTTTCCCAATTTTTTTTTTTTTTTGGGTCCACTGAATTAGCTGAAGCTGCTGCTGCTAAATTGAATAGTCTGTTCTGTAAGGAGGGGCATTCATGTGTCAAATATCTTAAATTATTACGGTCCATATTATTAGGACAATCGTTGAGGAAATCGACAATAACAGAATCCCTTAACCATAAAATGAAGCTAAAGAGGGTTTAAAATTTTCTAACATCATAAAAATAAAAATTCAAAATAAGTAATTTAAGGGGGGAGGGGGGACCCTCAACGACCTCTCAAGCATTCGCGTTATGGTATATATACCTGGAACACAGGCAAAACAAGAGCAGAACATTCCTTTAAACAAATAATCCAATTGACATAACCAAAGTAAGGAAGAGACGGTGTAATCAAATTACAACATCCACAACTCTGGAAGCAATGAGCAGGACAATGAACAGATTCCACCTGAGCTCCCTTCCTCTGCAAAATCCAAGAAAAATAAGGCCAATTTTGGTTGATCAGTCATACAGACCATCTTGCTCCCAAACTTCAACAAGAAAGTCAACCATTTCCTGCCATGACAATCATTCGAAGTCAATTTCACGGTCCGTTCCATGAATGAAAGAAGCAAGTGTAGAAGCACTCACTCTCAGAGGTACAGGCCGAGGAAAGGGCTTGTTGGTCCCGAGTAGGCTCTCGTACGTGGCATTCCCGCTGAGCCAAACATAATCTCAATTAGTATTGCAGAAAGCAAGTGTTTATGCCACACATTAACGCTTAATGCTTCATTGCAGAAAGCTTATGTATTCCTTTACCTTATTTTGGGTTCTCTAACTTGTGTCTGCTTCTCAGACTTTTGGCTTCCAATCCATTGCTGCCTTATCTGGTTCCAGAGAAGAAGACCTGCATTCATCAAACTCTTCAGCGATTAAAAGTAATACCTACCAACAAACACATAGCTCAATTGATAAGAAATTGTGCTAGCTTAACCAGTAGCCTTGAATTCAAGTTCTAGATATGTAGCCATGTTAAATGCTCATGGGGAGAGTTTTGCTGCCAATGTAGTCCTACCTGGCTCAGCTCATGAATAATAAGTAATTGGATCCCAAAAAAAAAAAAAAAAAAAAAAACCTTGATGATCATAATAACATGATGATTCACAACCAAAAAATAAAAAGAGAAAGTATTAACACAAAAGACATCAAATGGCTTTGACCAATCAACTTCCCCACCATAAATCTCATCTTTTTGTCAAGAAGAACGAAAATCTATAGGAGCCACAGCAATGCAGCACCAGCATTCCAGGTGGCACTCTAGCTATTCCAAGCAAGACACAGCAGAGAAAATGAGTACCAAGAAGGTACAAAATTACTAGTAGTCTTTGATAAAATCCTAGACAAGCACATGAAGCAACTGATAATAGATAGATATATAACAGCAAACTTGCCATGATTGATGAACTCAGGAGGATCAATCTGACTGCTGGAACTACTCTGGGGATCAGAGGCATGGTTAGATATGCCAATTGATGAGAAGCTTCTCTGGGACTGACCAGCACTGTGATCCATTCTTACAGGGCTGCTATTCCAGAAGTCTTCTGATCCGTTATCTTTTGTCTCTGTTGCACTTGGATTCCTTAGTCTCTTGGATGGATCGTCAATGGAAACAATTATTGGAGATTTTACGCAGCATCCTAGGCAGCCTCTGCTCTGTTACAAAGCAGGTTCAACCTGAAGCATGATTACTCTACCAGCTTGAATTTAAAGAAGATGATGATGAACAGCAGATATTAGTCATGACGCATGAATATGATTTAATTCACATACCATAACCTAGCATACGTAATTGAGGGTGTTACTCTGTTTACCGCATCATACTTTTTGTTCGGCCAAATTAGTACATGCACAGAAAACAAAGCAGAGAGACCTAATAGCCTTCAATTGCTATGAGTTTCTTCAACAGTAGCATGTTAATACTTGCAAAAAAGATTGCATTCCCTCTCTAAGGTAAGCTGAAAATACTAAATGCACTCCAGAATAAGAATGCTAGCATTTCCATTGCGTTGATAACCTTTTAACATTCACTACGCTGAATTCTAGAAAAGTCACAATATGATGCTCTTCCACATTTCTAGTAAGCCACTAAATAATACAAACTTCTACTGCTCTTCCGCATTAAATGTTCTTCCTCCTCATTTCGTACAAGCCATGAGACAGTATATTTTGATTTCTTTCTGAAACAGATACTTTCTTTTTGAAAAAAATACATAAAAAGGGAAACAACATATCATCTGATATTTTCATGTCAAATAACATCACTGAACGCGAGAGCAATGTTTTGGCAGGAAATATGCTCAAGAGTTAGAAGAAAAGCACTAGAAAGGTTGTGCAAGGCTTAACAGACCAGCATGTAGAATTTGACAATCAGGTCCTGAGTACCCAATCGCCGGAACAACTTCTTTATCCTTTATTTATTTTTCTTCTTCTTCCTCTCCCTTTATCTTTCAATTGAACTCACAACAGTTGAACAAGATGCCGCTTATGATATAGAACAAGGACACGAACACAATTAGTGCTACAACTAACAATATAATTCCTGAAATTGAATTCCGTAGGAAATAAATTCTTCCTTACACTATAAAGCTCCTTGCACTTAAGCTTTAACTTTTCCATGGCAGAAAACACCAGCACACGACAACAAGCGCCACAAAATAGTAAAAATGAATAGCAGGGTTTCTTCCCCGAGCATCTCTCCCATCGTGATAACAAGCAACACCTAGAATACATACCTACAAGGCAATCCTAAAGTGGGGAAAATATTATATGCATCTAATCACCAACTTCCCAGGAACCCAAGGAAGGAATGGAAAACAATAAAGCCCAAGCAAAGTTCCCTGCTCACCAGATCTTATGCTTGCTTAGAAAAGAAGCAGGAATAAGCATGAGATTCCAAATAAGATTAGAAGAGTACTAATGACTACAGAGAATGACCTTAACTTTTCCAGAAAGTGCAGGAAGAGGCAAAATAAAAAAAATGAAAAATATAATAAAAACCCAATCTTTAGTTTATCAAAGTTTCAGAACTAAAGTCAGCAACATCTACACGGTTTTCTTTGAGCCCAGTGGTTTGAATCTCCGACAACCAGAATCTCAGATCGTTTTCTTCCACAACCTTGTAACAAAAAAAACTCAACGTGGCTTGTTTTTTCACTATCTAAGAAAGCTGACTAAACTAAACAGTATCTGTCTGCTCTCTGGTAATGTAATTTTCTGTCTTGTTTAACCAGACAAGGTAGAAGAAAAATTCAAATGGTAAAAACAATCTTGTTTTTCTCTGCTACCAAACAACGCAAACAAAGACAAGACCAGTAAACTCACCCCATTGATTCCAGAATTCCACAGACCCAAGGGGGAACGTATCTACAGAAATGCATTTACGCAGATCGCAGCAGAGATCTGTCCCATATAATACGAATTCCAAAATCCAGGAAGGAGAGAATTCAATACCCTGCATGTACAATAAAAGGAAGTGAAACCCTCAGAATTTAACCCAATACATATAAAAGAACGGGGAACAACAAGCGAGGAAACATTCTAGCTGTTACGTTCCCGAAGGGGGGGAGGAATCGAACATAATAAATTCAACAGGCTACCTCTAATCTAAGCTTCCCGAGCACCCGTCTTCGAAAACCCTAAAGAGAAGAAGAATGCCAAAAAGAGGAAGAAGGCTGAAAGAGCGTGCTTGCTTGGGACTCCCAGAAATAAAAAGCGAAAATTTTCTGACTTTCCTCCGAATATATGCGGATAAAAAGAAATTAAAAAAGAAACAACCTGAAAGTTGACATGCTCAAGTTGAGGATTGCGAGTCAATCTCTGAAAGGTTGGCCATATGGTAATTTGGTTGGAAATATAACCAAAAGGGTTCCCATAGTTTCTCCACTAATGTTATTCAGATGATAAACGAGATGAGGCGATAAATTACTCAGAGAAATAAGCATGCTTCTTTTACTTGCTACGTACGGTACAGCCACAGGAATTTTATACTCGTTACATGGAATTTGGTTCTTGACTTTTCAACATCGCACGGCACTACGCAAATAAAATACAACGTATCTTTAATTCATAAGGTAATTACATCAATTTCAAGATTTTCTTCGGCGGAATCATCTAACCATTAAGTTTCTAATAATGGTTTTCATTGATGACATATGGTTAGTGCGTATGGATTGAGCATCTGGTTCCTTTCGCTGCCATATGCCGTCTTCTGCAACTTTGGATGCCTCGCATGCGTCAATGTACTATCATGCAGCTAAACCCTAAACCTTTGAGATGATAATTACGAAAAATACAACATTTACATCTTTTTGCCAGCCACAATATTTAAATTTGCGTTCAAGGACAAAAGTGCTAATGAATTTTTTACTCCTAGAGGCTCTCAATATCCTAAAGTGAAGAATAATATAAAAGTGTATGTAATATTGATAAAATGAGTGCAAAAGTAGCTGCACAGTTAAATTTGATTAACATTCTTTAATATCAAACGTTCAAAAAAAAAAAGCAAATATAAAGTATAAAAATATCCATAAACTTTTTATCTATGAGTTTGTGGTGTCCTTGAGTCAACAATAGTATATAGATACCCATTAATTTTATAAAAGAGGCCAAATAGCTAGGTTTGACCATAACAACTTGGGCTTATTCGAGTTAACCTGAATATTTAAATATCAAAATATTATTTTATTTTATTTTTAGAAAATTTTAATTTTTATCTTTAAAAAATAATGATTTTTCAATTTTTATATGATTTTAATGTTATTTTATTAATAATAATAATAAAGAATTTAGGTATTTAAGCTAAGCTCCAAGCAAAGAAAATTTGTGGTTGCCTCAAGCCTAATATTAAGATTTTTCAAACCTATTCAAATTGGCGCGTTGAGCTAAATCCAAATTATCATATCTAAGTTTTCCTAATCCATTAAAACAACTTAATGTTGCCTATGAAATTCTAAGAATACAACTTAAAGAGTCGGGAAAGGTTATCATATTTTATAAAATTAATAGGTACTCATGCATCATTGTTAATTTTAGGATACCAAAAACTCTTAAAATAAAAGTTTATGGGTATTTTTACATCTTATATTTGCTCTCTCTTTTTTTTAATAGTCAAAATTAATGAACATTGGTCATATTTAATGGACTGAGCACTTTTGCACCCATTGCATCATCTTTGTGGGCACTCTTGTACCATCCTTTACTTAAGGATATTGGATGCCTTGAAGAAAGAATTCATGGATATTTTTGTCTTTTAAACTTGAATTTTTACTTAAATGTACAACATTACAAGGTCACCCCCCTTTATATATATATATATATATTGGTAGCTTCTACTAAAATCTAACCTAAAATATCACTTTATAAGTATGGCTAATCTCCCCTGTAACCTTGTAGTGTGACCACTCTTCAACCTTCAATCATAAGTTGTGCTTCCTAACTAGGAGGCCTATTTGGCAAGCAAGAAAAAAAAATAATTTGAACTTTTTCATTTTTGATGTTCTAAATTAACGATGATCAAAATATTAATTACTCATTAGGGCAAGGCCTTTTAAGATTCAAGATATATCGGTTTGATTAGCCACTTTTTTGTGTGGAGGAGTTGTTTTCTTCTTGTCTTTACTTACCAAAGAAAGATAGAATTATATGAGTGATTTTGTAAAGAGCATCAAATAACACATCAACACATGCCAATTATATATAAAAAGATCGAAAGCTTTTACAATAATTCCAACCTTCTTGGCATGATGAAATTTAACACTATTTTTGAATAATCGTTCTCATTTTAATTAAAGAAGATTCTTATAATCGATAGAACATCTACTTCCTTTGGCCATCCATGCATGCCTTATCTCTATCTTCTTGCCTCACTTTGTTGCTTGTGGTAGCTGAAGCGACTAATTCTTCAAATATAATCATTACAATTATTAGACCATAATAACTATCAAGTAAAACAAGATTTTAATGTGAAGCTTTCGTATAAAGAGGCTATGAATATGGAATATTGTAAAGCAAAGATCAGTATGCATGATCTCTATTATCCATGCACATTATGATAGGAGAATGCAACTACATGACGATGAACAATAACTAAACTTGTTGGATCAAATAAGTATCACAAAGAAAGATGGGTGTTGCTTACCATGATCATCATGCATAAAGTTAGGTGGTGAGCATTGGAGGAAGGCTTGATTTAGAACCTAAAACTGAAGCATTAGTGTCGGGAAAGAATTCAAACTCTTGTAATTGTGTTACATTCCCATCTCTAGTTATATCTATAGGGTAACGCATAAGGTGGTTGAATGAACTTCGTGGATCAAATGTTTGACTTGAGTAATTTTCCCAGTTCAAATCTGAAAGATAATTCACAAGCTTCACACAATCTTCACTTTCTGGATGGTCAAACGCTTCATCACCTTTAGGATTATTCCCAAGGTGCTCGTACCATAAAGCTCGTCTAAATCCATATATCTGACCTCTAGGTGGGCCATAGGATGCAAGGTGATATGGTTGGAATGCACCCATTGCAATCTCACTATCTCTTGCACCATCCATTGATCTCTGGTTTATGTTGGCAGAACCAATGATTATGTATTCATCATCAACTATAAAAGCAAAAAATCATTGAAGTCTGTTAACATGTTAAACTAGTTAACTTTAAAGTTCAATGTTACAGAGTTTTGAATCTCTCACCTATCATCATCTTGGCATGAACATAAATCATAAAGCGCCTAGCATTTTGTGCCTTGCTATAATTACTATCAGGATCTGGTCTCTCTGGAGGAACATATTCACCATTTTTCTTACTCTCTCGATTTCCAAGGCAGAAAAATGTCAAGTAATCTCTAGGGTGGGCTTTAATTCCCTTTCTCTGAATGGCTACAGCAATATCAATATACATCATCTCCATTGTCCTTCTCTGCCAATCTAATATTGCTTGTACTGAATCACTCTCAGGGACACCTTCTGGCCACATTGGAATCACAATGTACACTGAAAACCTTTCTCCTACTTCAATCTTGCTTATGATCTTCAGGGACAACTCCTTTGGTATAAGATGTAGAGCCCCAATATCTTCAACTTTTATGTCACACTCTTTCCAACCATATGAACTCCCTAAGAAATATTGGTTTTCAATGTAGATGAAGTTCTTGGCTCGTCTAATTGCATTTATATAAGCATCCTGAACACTTCTATCAATGATGTTATCTTTCCCACTGACAAGGCCTAATTCAATTACTTTAGATGGGTCTTGAGGAAAGCCAGAAGCTGCACCACTATCAATAGATCTGAATAATTGAACAGTCCATGTATGTCTATCATTTGTTGTTATGGAAAATTGAGGTACTAGAATCCGATCAAGAAGTTTAGGAGGGAGTAAGAATTTCTTACCAACTTGCTTCTCCCACCTTTGTTGAAAGTTGAATAAGACATCCCAAGCCACTGGCCCTTCTAATTTGCAGTGAATATCATGCCACGGCTCTCTTGGGCCTCCTTTCTTGATTGAAGCTCCAGGAAAGTTAGGTTGGTGGAAATCATTATAATGGGTTGTGTTGAGAGTTGAAAATAAAGGATGTTCTTGAGTATCATACCTCCCATCACACAGATCAATACCACCAATAAAACTTACTATCCTTCGCCTACTATCAAATCCTCCGCCAGGTACTTCACTATCAACAATCACTGTCTTTTGATGATGAGTGAACATTGTTGAGATCTCAAAACCTTGAATTATGCTACGTCCATCATCTGGGTTACGTGGACACAACACACATTGCACTTTAGTGTTCTTAAAATACTCTTGTGTTTCTTGATCATGAGTTGCCATCAACCCATCTTTCTTTATCTCTTTAATAGAAGTTCTGTCATCCCACACAAGCATCAGAACATTAACACCTTCATCAGCTTTCTTCTTAAGAAGTTCCCCAAGGGTCATATTTCCCCCAGAAATTGGCCTCCTTAGATCTCTTACTAAGGTTATTTTAGTATATATAGACCATCCAGTTATGTAAACCAAGTGCTTAGCATTTGTGATTGCATTGAAAATGTCCTCCCAACATCTATAGGGCTCATAACATCTTCCTTCGGACAGAGGAATCCTTGGAAGATAAGCATTTAAGATATGAGCATCTTGGTAAAAAGTAACTTTGCAGCCAACTTTTTGGGCAAAGAATGCACGAGGAACACCTGCATTTCGCGGGCTCTTGATTCCTTTAGACCAAGTTACATCCATAGTAACATTAAAGAATTGCATTCTAACATGTATTTTAGAGCCACCCTGTATGGGACGACGATCTTCGTCGGTTATAGCAACCCAAGTATCCATTATATTGCCTTTGAGGATTTGCTCAACAGGTACATGAGCTCTTCCAATAAGAGTTGCCCCAACAGGATTATCATATTTAAGAGTGAATATAATCTCAAAAATGGAATGGGCACAATATATATGAAATGTCTCGTTCCATTTAGGTTTAGAGACTTGGCGTATCATTCTTGTTCTCCCAACCCTTGCTTTATCTAAATCAACTGTTGCATACAATCTAGTCCCAATTATCTACATTCATACAATTTCAATGTTAATTAGATTTGTGATCTTGAAAAAGTGGAGGCTATAATATGTTTCAATCATACTTAAACTATATAGGTGAGATTTGCTTAGTCATAAATTGATTGGTTTATATTACATCAGTCAATACTGTTTATTTATAAATGTGTTCAATCAATATCAATTAAATAATACTCCATCAGTTTCCAGTTATAGGATGCATTCTAGGAGAGTTATTTAATCCTTAATATAAGACAAACTTCATGTGGTATTAATTATATTTTTAATATTATTTTTATTTAATCTTTTTAACTATAAGGGAGAATGTAATGTAAATTTAAAAATTTTTCATTTTAATAGGGATAAATTAGAAGTTCAATTTATTATCAGATAAAGTTAATAACTTAATCACTTCTTCTTAATTCTAGTAGGATAGATAAAAATGCCAATATATCTCAACCTCATATTTTGTGCAGCGGCATGAATTTCAATAAATATTTTTCTCACATGATAGCATAAACCTTCATTAATATGGAAAAACATATTGTCACATATTTGTAATTGAAGTTAAAGGAAAAGGTCAACAATTCACATACTTGAGGTTTGGATCGCAAAATACTCTTGACTCGGGTAAGAACTTTCTTCCCAAAATTTCTTGCACCCTAATTTTTAAAATCACAAATTGGAAAAAGAAATTAGAAAACACAATATAAAAAATGAAAGGTATAAGTTCAAATATTTATCTTCCAAAAATAAATAGAATATTGTATTGCACAATTTTAAATGATAAATTATTTATATAAGTGGCTAGACTTGAAAATTACAAAATATATATGACATGATCCCTGATAACATTAAGGAAAAATTAAATTTTAACAAATGAACACCCAATGATATCCACGTGTACACACACATATGACTAGATTGAGCAATGGCAGACCTATATGTAGTAGACTATGGGCAAATACCTCTACTCAACTTAAAAAAAAAAATTTACATTTAATATGTATTATAATTTTTGAAAATTTGCACCTAATAGACTTAAAATAAAATATATTTCAATTTTAAAAAAAAATTAAGTCTAATGGATTTTAAATTCAAAACCTATTAGATTTAAATTTATATTATTATTTTCGATCATATAATATAAATTTATATTATTTTTTGATAAAAATAATACAATTTAATTTTTAAGGTAAAGGTATAAATTTAGTTATGAACTATTTTCTGAGGAGCCTTAGGTATCTTATATTATAAAATGGTATAAAATAAATTATCAACTATTTAAAATGTAGCATTTGGCACCTACAATCCATTTTTAATGAACATTCATTTGTCTCTCTCTTGTTTGTTTGAAGCAAAAGCTATCGTGGTACACGTTGGACTCTTAACATTCACGGTTGCAACTCGTAAGGATTCTCTTAACAAACATTCATTTATCTCCCTTAAACACCGAAGGCAAGCCTCTCACCCCCTTAAGTACTACACTACCCTTGGAATCTTCATGGATGACGTCAAGCTCCGAGGCAACAATGCCATCTTCATCAATGTAAAGATCATCTAGGTCTTATTAGTCCTTTTTGGTTGCAACTGCCATTATTGATTGCAAAGCAGTGGTAACATTTGCCTAAACAATTTTCAACTTGTTGAGATTAAACCTCTTGACATCCTCCATGCACATGTTTCTTGAATAGCCCAACATTTATAGTCCCTCGAATCAACTCATAGCCACGCTTCCTAAATTGGTAGGGGCTATCGAACGGTAGGCTATACTAGCCAAGTAAGACTACCCACCCTCATTCCTCTTCACCCTTAAAATTATGCTCTCTATCTTTATCATCATTATCACGAGCACCCTTGTTCTTAAGCTTTTAGAATAGAGCTTATGGATGGCCTGGGCTAGCAGCTAGACAGGATGTGGTACGGGTCTGTGAGACTTGGGAAGAGCTTGAAACCCTTTCATGGAGTAAGGAATGTGTGAAGATTGATAGTTACTAGTATCACGGTTGCTTCCTAAATACCGGATGAGCGAGCAACGCTAAATTAAACAAACTTGAAATAGAATTACTTTTTGTGGAGAAGAAGAAGAAAGGGATGTGTAAGTGATAGCTTCTTCAAGTAGGAAGGGGAAGAAAGGGATTAATAAAAACAAAAGAAGAAAGGGATATGTGGGTAACAGCTTCTCTTGATGTTTTTCTTCAAGTGTATTGAGTTTTACGTCATTAATGGTAGTTGCTAACAAATGAGAGAGAAGGAAGTTTGAGAGAGGTAAGTGTCAAAGAAAAGATGAAATATGGTTGGTTAAAAAGAGAATTAAATGAACATTGGGCCCATATAAATGGACATTTGTTAAAAATAGATAAGAGATGTTGAGTGCCCTATTTTAAATAATTAATAATTTATTTTACATCACCCTATAATATAAGATATCAAATGCTATTCAAAAAATAGTTTGTAGCTAAATTTATACTTTTATCCTAATTTTTATTATGTTTAAATTTTACATTCCATTAATTTAAAGTCTTTCGTCATGTTGAAAGATGAATAAGTTATTAGAAAAAATTCATACGGGTCAACTTTATGATTTTATGCTTCATGTGTGCTTTTTTATTTAGTGTAATTAAATAGCTACTCAAGAAGATGCATTTATATATATATATGTGTGTGTGTGTGTGTGTAGATCAAATGTACGTAGTCTATTCTTTAATACACATGTGAATTAAAAAACCAAATTAATAATGAATTAACAAAGTATACTCAAAAACTCATGACAGCTCAAATGAAATTCTCTGCAAGGGTCTCATAATGAATCAAAGAATTGATTTTGAGGAAGGCACCTGGTTGTTGAGATTGAAGTTGTGTCCAGAATGTAGCTTATCGACTTCATATATGATCACTTGAAGCGTCCCGTGCAGTAAATGCAACATTCCCTTTAATTATATTTACTTTTCGATCCTCCTCAATGATCTGTGAAAGAAAATCATACACACAAAGAGATCAAAAGAATTGATCCGCTAGGAAATTTTCATGTTTAGACTTATAGTTGCTGAAATGTAAGTACGTGGATATTGATGAGCGTGGTGGCTGATGCGAAGAAAACTTGAGGAATGATCTAGAGGGTAAAGCTTGAATCATCATATATTTATATTGCAAAGAGGCAAAAGGTGAAGATAGAATCTAGAGATGATAATGTTAGGCTTTGAGATGAAGCAAGAGATGTGTGAATGAGAAGTTAAAGGTAGAATCTATTCCCTGCTTTCCGTTCAAGTTCAAGAAGACGTACTTTGATTAGACTACCTGTGAATAATAACTAGTGTTGTCATTGCCAAAGTATATTCTCATTGTTGGCTTTCCCGTTCTGTTTGTTTTGCTTCAGAAACATCGTCAAGTCATATGATCTAAATTTGAAAGCCTTGGATTCATTTTGAAACAATATTAAATTACATCATTCATTCATGGTGGTGTCATTATACCCCTTTCAGAGGATGAAAAAGTTGGCTAAAATTGGTTACTAAGGATAAAAAATTGTTATAATTTTTCAGAATTATCTAGCCTTCAAAGTTTGATGCCTGATCTTTTTTTTTTTTAAATCTCAATAATAGATAATACCACATCCGAGATTTGAAAATTGATCCCTGCAAATGCAAATAAAAAGTAAATTTGCATATGGCATATGCACATCTCCAGTCTCCACCAAATAGACCAATTTGAATTTTTTTTTGTATTTTTTGAATAAATTTTCTCTTTCTATATATATAAAGGAATAGAGAAAAAGGAGGGGATGACAAAAATAAGTTAGATGCAAGTAAATTTTCTTTTTTTATTCTTTTTATATCTGTACTTTTTAATCAATAATTGTCGAGGAATATGATTTGTTGCGACTTTCATTTTCAGCATACGCTTATCTAATCAAGCATTTATTTTAGTCATCATAACATGTGCTTCTTCTGGCAGCTTATTTTAACAAATTATATTTCCTCTCTTAAATCTTGTCTTTTCAATATTCCAACAGTGATAAATCAAATTAAAGATGACCATGATATTTAATAAGATTGTACAAATCACACACACACCCCCCTTGATTAATTAGACAACCTACAAGGTGAAGTTTGTTGTCTTCTTGCATCTTTTATTTTGATTAATTGCACAAGGGATTTCTGTAAAGAGCGTAATTGATGATATTTGAGATATATATATATATATATTGGGGTGAGAAAGATAATTAAATAAATATATTTATAGTTACTAAAATTCTATTGCATGATATTATAACTTGAACAGTTTGCTCTTGATGGAATCTTTGACATTGACTTGTTTAAACAATACATAAAAGATACCTAAGGAGTTTAACCTAGGTGGTGAGGATAGGAGGAAGGTAATCACTTTTCGAACCTAAAATACGAGCTTTGGTATCAGTAAAGAATTCAAATCCTTCAAGGGTAGTTACATGCCCACTTTTTGTTATGTGAACGGGGTAGCGCAGGAGGTGATTAAAGTTGTTAGAATCAGCCTCACTAAATGTTTCCTTTGTGTATAATTTCCAGTTCTCTTGAGTAACATAGTTCACAAGCTTCACACAGTCTTCACTTTCTGGACGGTCCAACACTTCGGCATCAACATCTCCAAGATGCTCAAGCCATAATGCCCTTCTGAATCCATGTATCTGACCTTTTGGTCGATTCTCCTCCTCTGTTAGATGGTGTGGCTGGAATGCCCCCATTGCAATTTCTGTGTCTCTTCCTCCATCCATTGATCTCTGGTTTATGTTGGCTGAACCAACTATTATATACTCATCATCAACTGTGAGGAAACATAAACATATGCAAATCATCAATAAGCTTTCTTGCTTGTGTTTAAACCAAAAACAATTTTTTACACGTGTAACTTACCTATCATCATCTTTGAATGAACATAGATCATGAAGCGCCTGGCTTTTTGTGCTCTGTCATAGTTACTACCAGGCACTGGTCTCTCTGGAGGAACATATTCTCCAGGTTTCTCTACCTCTCTATTCCCAAGGCAAAAAAAAGTGAGATATTCTGTGGGGTCCGCTTTAGATCCTACTTCTTCAATGGCTTCAACTATATCAATATACATCATCTCCATTGTCCTCCTTTGCCAATCTAATATTGCTTGAACTGAAGCACTCTCAGGATCACCTTCAGGCCACATTGGGATCACAATGTACACAACAAACCTCTCCCTTGCTTTAATCTTGCTCACAATCTTCAGTGATAGCTCCTTTGGTACAAGATGCAGGGCCCCAATATCTTCAACTTTTATATCAGTTGCTTTCCAACCATATGAGCTCCCTAGGAAATACTGGTTTTCAATATAGATGAAATTCCTAGCTCGCCTAATAGCAATTATGTAAGCATCCTGAATGCTTCTATCAATAATGTTATTTTTCCCACTGACAAGGCCTAATTCAGCTGCTTCATTTAGGTCTTTTGGAAACCCAGAAACAGCACCACCATCAATGGACCTAAACAACTGAACAGTCCATTTCTCATTGTCTTCTAATGCTTTTATTTCAGATGGAGAGACAAGAATTTGATCATGCATGGAAAGAGGTATGAGGAGGCCCTTCCTGACTTGCTTCTCCCACCTTTGCTCAAAATTGTATAAGACATCCCAAGCAACAGGTCCTTCTAGTTTGCAATGAATGTCATGCCAGGGCTCTCTTGGACCTCCTCTCTTAATAGAAGCTCCTGAAAAGTTTGGCTGATGGAAATCATCTTGATGGATTGTGTTTAGAGTTGAAAACAAAGGATGCTCATGTGTATCATATCGGCCATCACACAGATCAATTCCGCCTATAAAACTTACAATACTCCTTTTACGTGTTTCTTCATTTGATCCTTCATTAATGCCAGATAAGTCACTATCAACAACTATTGCCTTTTGGTGGTGAGTGAACATAGTTGAAGTTTGAAGCCCTTGAATTATGCTCCTTCCAACATCAGGATTTCTGGGGCACAAGATACATTGTACTTTAGTATTCCTAAAGTACTGTGCTGTTTCTTGATCATGGGTTGCCATCAAACCCTCCTTTTTAAGATTATCAGAAGTTCTGTCATCCCAAATAAGCATAAGCACTTTCACTCCTTCCTCTGCTTTCATCAAAAGCAACTCTCCTAGAGTTATGGTTTGCTCCCCATAGTTCCTAGTTAAGGTTATTTTAGTGTAAACAGACCACCCAGTTATGTAAATTAAGTGCTTAGCATTGCAAATGGCTTTGAAAATGTCCTCCCAACATCTTCCTGGATTATAATATCTAATTCCCCCAGACAGTGGGATAGATACCTTGATGAAGTCATTAAGGACATGGGCATCTTGGTATAAAGTTACTCTGCAATTTTCTCTCTGGTTGAGGAATGCATGAGGAACTCCAGGATAATCTGCACTCATTATTCCTCTAGACCAGTGTGGATCATTGGTCACATGATCGAATTGTATTTTGACATGTATTTTAGAGCCACCTTGTATAGGACGAGAGTCTTCATCATATATTTGAAATTGTGTGTTGATTGGGTCCCCCTTTAGAACTTGATCTACAGGGACGGAAGCTCTTCCAATCAGGGTTGCTCCAATAGGATTTCCATCTTTGACTGTGAATACAATGTGTGACACCGTATGGGCACAGTATATGTGAAAGGTTTCGTTCCACTTGGGGTTGGAAGTGTGATGTCGTATCACTCTGGTTCTTGCAACTCTGGCTTTATCTAAATCAACTGTTGCATACAATCTAGTACCAACAAGCTTCATACCGTTTATAGATAAAATTAGTTTCATAAGTATATGACTGACACATAGGAGTAAATTAGTTGATGTTGAATTTAGCAGAAAAGGTGGGTGAGAATACCTCTGGTCGACACAGTAAACAAGCCTTGACTTGGGCTAGAAATCTCTTCGTTTTGTGAGGCGTATCCTTAATTTCACATTTTCAAAGAAAAAGCAATTCAGTTTAGTTATTTTCTATCGATAAACATAGAAGAAAACAATGGACTTCAGCATTCGGCATTGAGAGTTCTAGAACTTTATTTCGTAAAAGTCTTATATGTACAACATTAATTTTCTCCATCAGATTGAGAATTTGGGTAAGTTTTTATATTTTCTATGGGAAACTTGTTTAAAAAATTATGGGGACCGTAAGAGTATCCTAAAACTGCGTAGTTTTCCAGGCTGCATTATCCTAATATGTTGTTATAATTTCTTGATTAAAGGGCCAAACTGAGTTGAAATATCTAAAGAATTTTGAAACCTTGAATATCAGAAAAAATATGGCTGACATGATGAATGAGCTGAAAATTTTAACATTATGATTCATACACTGATCACATTGTATGCAGACTACTCTTTCATAATACGCATATATTTAATGATATCTTTGTGCTAAATAGCTAGATTAGACTGTCTAAGTTCAAATTCAATGGATCCAGGATAGCAGACACTGAAAACTATTATCATCTTTTTTTTTTTTTGGTGAATAGAGAAAATGGAGAAGGTACCTTATTGCAAAAATCCAAGTTAGATCTATTGTGCAGCTTATCAACATCATATATCGTTACACAAAGCGTCCCATGCAACAAACACGCCATTTACTTCTATCACACAACCAAAAAGGTTAAAGTAAGTTATACAAATATAGACAGAAGAATTTCAACGAACATGTGGCAGGCGGGGTAAACTAACACGAAAACTTATAAGGTTATAGGTAATCGAGGCGCTAGCTCGTCGAATATTTCTTGGACGAAATCACTATTCCTTTAATAGAGCCAACGTTTGCAATTGTGTGTCTCTAAATATATTTTGGGGGGGGGGGAGAAATTTGTGAGAGAAAGAGAATGTAATGAATATTTGGTTTGAAGCAAGAGAAGCGTATCCAAAGAATATAAGGCTAGTATCGATTCTCTCCATGACTTTACAAGTACGTTGTTACAAGACTAGAAACCAATTTACCAAGTTATTCTTTCCGAATTATAGCCCAAACTAAATTACGTATTGGACTTCCTTCTCCGTCTTCGTTTCTTGTGTTAATACTTCATTACCTTGTCAGCTTACGTGTATGATCGAAGAAACTAGTAGTGCCTGCGTATATTAATGGATTCTTCCGGAAGCAAGCACAATGGCAGAATCTCGGGTTCATTAATCTAATGACGCATTGAGTTGTTTTTGTTTCTCTGTTGTCTTTACTTGGTTTCTTCTTCTTAAAAATGCGAGTCAAATTTGATTATTATAAGTTAATTTAGGTTTCAAGTCTTGTTTTGTTGCCATTGTTGTCCAAACAAAATGTTCTGAACCTCAAGTGACCCTGGGTAATTTGCTTGATTTTATATATATTACATCAATTGCAACGCACACGCGTTATTAACTTGACATGCATATAATTAATTATAATTTGTATATAAAAAAGATTATAATTTTGAACTTTCTCATTTCTCACTAATTTTCGCTCCCAAACATAATTAATTAAAAAACTATACATCCAAAATTTTATGTCTGCTAAATTTTGAGCAGACCCTAGCCCTACCAATAAATGAAGCAAGCAAAAGCTCTCCAATAAGGAAGAAACGTGTAGCTGTGGTGTTACAAATAAATTGTCAATCCACAACAACCATAGTTGACTTCCCCGAGCCATTGCACTTCTGGGCAGCAACGAATGACTAAGTCAACGAGAAGTTCTTGTGTCCATACAATTCCAGTTGATGATTTTCTGATCAATGGTCCCTCTTGTCCCTGAAATGTATTAGGGATCCTCCCAAGTTTTATCTTTAACCAGTCGTTTCAAAGAAGACAAGTTGAGAATCTGGGGGCAAAAAGTAAGCAGCTTCAAATTATATCACGGGAGCGATCTGAGGGATTCCTGATTCAACAATAAAAAAGTGTCTTCTTTTTTGGGTTCACAAAAACCCAACCCAGAGTGTAAAACAAGTTGCTTTGAAAATGTGGATGGAAATTGAAAAGAGAAAACATTATCTTCCTCTCATGCAAAAATACACATATCATTATTTTGTTGTGGGGGAGAAGAGAAGGTCATTTAATTGAGTTGTTAAGAAGCTATGGAATAATCAAACCTGTGCAGGTGAAACTTTTATTGCAATTTGTACTGTTCCAATCCCACTTTCCGACCAATCCACCGACAATCAATAGCAATTCACGAACACCTCACAAACTCCAATGAGTTGCTCCTTCTTGACTTTATACCCTCATCTCATCATCCCACTATTAATATCCCTGCATCTCCATTATTCGTACTTAAACTTAAGCCTTCTCTCTCTCTCTCTCTCCCCCCCCCCCCGGATCTCCATGAGTCAGCATGGTACAATCAAAGAAGTTCAGAGGAGTGAGGCAGCGCCAGTGGGGCTCTTGGGTGTCAGAAATTCGCCATCCTCTGCTGTAATCACCACTTACTTTTTTATCTATGATTCTCTTACACTCATGTGCTACATTAACTGACGTCATTTACTACTGTTAAGATTCTGATCTCTGATACATATCACTGTATGTGTGTGCGCTGCAGAAAGAGAAGGGTGTGGCTAGGGACATTTGAGACAGCAGAGGCAGCTGCGAGGGCATATGATCAAGCAGCCATTTTGATGAATGGTAGAAATGCAAAGACCAATTTCCCACCACCTTTGAATGAAGCTGAAGATGGTGGGTCTTTCTTGTCTCCCAAGGCTCTCTCTGAGCTGTTGTCCACAAAGCTTAAGAAATGCTGCAAGGACCCATCTCCATCCCTCACTTGTCTCAGGCTCGATTCTGATAATTCTCATATTGGTGTGTGGCAAAAGAGACCTGGACCGCGCTCTGATTCCAATTGGGTCATCAGGGTAGAGCTTGGCAAGAAACGAGCACAGCAAGATGATAAAACTGCTGCAGACGCCATTAGCAGTGAAGCTGCCAGCGAGGTGGAAGATGAAGAGGCAATGCAGATGATTGATGAGCTTCTTAATTGGAACTATCCTTGCGATTCCTCCAGTAGCCCTGAAGAAGAACAAAGATAACCTTACCATCTCAGGAGCCTTGAATTAGAATGTCCTTTTTTCTGCCATCTTTCGTCCATTTACTCCAGTCTTCTTTTGGGAAAAAAAATGACAGCGAGTCTTCTAGTACACCATGCATGAGTCTATCTGGAAGATGATGTAAACGTTGCACAGGAAGTGCTTGGAATAACACAAGCCTCGGGCACTATTTTCTGCAGCCATAGTCCTCTTAGTTGAGGACAGTTCCGAGGTTATTTTTCCTAACTGGGTTAACTTTTTTATCTGTGATTCGTAATTGAAGCAAACAAAAGGACAGGAAATTGCCCAGGTTACCTACTCTCATGCTTTTTCTTCCTTTAATCCTTCTGCTTATTGCATGCTGTCAATAATTAAAAGTTGCCTGCTCTTTTTCCATATCCACGAAACAAGCATTTGCTTTAATCCTATCCACCATGGTTAATCAGCGGGGCTTAGAAATTGGCCATTCTGGTAGTAGCATTTATTACTTGTGTGTATTAATGGGCCCTGAAATAACTCTTACACTGAATGTGAAGCACTTTATGTTGGACCATAAATATAAAGTCCGCTGGAATGCCCACTTTATCTTCAAGATTTTTCTCGTGAATTTCCACTCATCAATATGCATTGAATTGATATGACTCAAAATTAATCCATAATACATGAGCAGGGCACTTCATTGTCAGAAAATCAAAATTATGTAGTGGATAAAGCTTCCGCTTATGTTACACTAGTCTTGTACTAATATGTGAAAGGCAATAATCTACTTGAAAATTCTTTCTTGAAAGAAAATAGAACTGTCAAATACTAGTAGAGATTACAATTGGTCATGTATAGTGAATGGAGATTTGATGAGAAAGGAAGAGTTCTGAAAACCCAATGGCATATGGGATAATAGTAATTCAGAAAAAAGAAGCATAAAGGGTCTACATCATTGGCTTTGGCATTTAAAATACTCACCTACACGCCAAAACATTAACATATATAAATAATGTTCTCTTCCTTTACTAGCTATCAAGCAATTAAAACTTAGTACGTATGGCCCTAAAATGCTGAATCCATTATCATATTTCTTTCTTCTATCCAGAAACCCGCCCCCCGGGGGGAAAAACGGGAGAAATTGTACAAGAATTAAGTGCGAAAATAACAGAAGCTTGGATATTGACAGGTGTTCTCAATATGAGATCACATGGTAGGTACGTTATTTTCAGTTGTTGTTGTGACAGCAATTAAATAGTTGTCTCATAATTTAAAAATTTACAAATGCACCAGCTAAAAAGGGAATGGCTGTAGAGCCTTTCATGGTTGAGTACGAATTAAAAGTTGCCAAGAGTTTAGATTTTCTGCAGTAAATATATATATATATATATATATAAGAAGGAGAAAATGAGAATAAAGCAGAAAGTAGAAGATTTCATGCAAACTTGCTCTTAATAATGCACAACTGTGCTACAAAGGCTTCAGAGTCAGCTGTTAGTTTCTTAGCACCAAAGTTAGTGGTCTGCATTTATTCTGGTTTTCTTAACTTGGACAATAAGTTGGATCGGCTTCTACAATACCATAAAGCAGAAATTGACATGAAAAGAATGAAAAGCCTTGTGGCTGGGTTTCAAGAACTGCTCTGCTTCAGGCATCAAGGAGGAACAGTACAAAAGAAGATGATGACTTATTGTTATTATTACTATTATTTGCCTTGAATTTTTCGGTATAAAAAGCAAAGAAATAGTCTGTGTCATCTACAGACTCCAGCATACCTAACATGCTTTCTCTATAATTGTGAAAATGATACAAGGCTTCCCATCAATGTCTGTCTCCATGTACTTTAGTGGGGAAACTATTTCTTCCAAATTATTGAAGAATTAATTAAACACATCAACTCAATTGGTTGCCGTGCATTAATACTTTTCTTTATGATGAACTGTAATATTTGTTCGGAAATGCTGATAACTCGCTCTTGTTGACTGGTTAGACTGCCCTTTTTCGTTTTTTGTCGGTTCTGGCCTTGATCTATTTAATGAATTCATCCACTTAATTACTTGCCTGAAAATATTATAGCTTACATGTTAATCCACGGATAGAATGGAGCCTGCACTCTGGAGCTACTGACAATAGTAGAAGTAGAAATTTGCTATAGAGGGTGTAATTGTACAAGATTTTGAAGTCGTGGAACTGTGACAAGGCAAGTATTCAACCTAAGATAGGGTGTTTGGCAAGATTTTAAAAACCAGCCGGTGGTCCGGTCCGGAACATACCATTAAATCGCCAAGTCAACGAACGGGTCAAATACCGGAAACTAGTCAACGAACCGGACAAAAACGGAAAAAGCAACCGGTCTAATGAGTTGATCGGTATACTTCAAAAGGCCAAAAAGAACAGATGGAAGGGGTAAAAAAGCAGATAAAAGATAAAAAACGAGGAAGATGAAAGTGATTCACCAAAAATATAGAAAAGAAGACATTTTTCAGCAAACCATCCTCTTCAATATTTTTTTTTCATCATAAATTTATGATATCTAACATGAAAAATATAAGATGAGAAGCCACAATGCTGAAATCAAGAGACATCGATGGCTGAGAGACGAGGTAGAAAGAAGAAGACAAGAACCCTTTATGCTTTAGATTGTATTAGGTTTTACTTTTGGGCTTTTAGTTAGAGAGAATGACAATTGAAAACCCTGCAAGGACATTAATATGAAATAAAAACCTTTGAACTGTAAATTTCTAATGGTTCAATTGTAAATTCTTAATATTTCAGTTGTAAAACGTCCTTGATTTTTTTAAGAGTGCTTATTTATCATTCTTACTTTTGGTTATTAATACTGGTTGGTGAACACAATCTTTCATCACTATCCACGAGCCTGCAACATTTTTTAATTTTTTATATTGTTTTATTATATTCCATTAAACAAGAAAGCAAGTAGCGGAAGGGAATTGGGATGGGAGGGAGTTGAAAGTATTATTATATTTTTATTTATTTCTCAGACAATGCAAATAATTTTTATATGAATGATTTATATTAACATTATGGTTTATATATAAATATTATTTAAAATTATTAAATTAATCATAACTAATTTAATTATTATTCAATCACTAACCTTTAAACCAATGTCTTGTTTGATTTAATATTTAGTTCAGTTTTTAAAATATTGGATAAGATGAAAAGTGGGAGTGAGGAAAGGAGGAGGAAGAAAAACCTAATGAATTATCACACATATCTATTCAAGACCAGAGCTATCCGACTCCATGTCCACTCACCTTAGGCTCAAAAGTGCTCCTTGAACAAACTAGATGCTGATTCAAATATTCACATTTAAATATACAAGAGATATGTTCCAACAAGTTTGCGTCCAGATTTCTAGCATCTGCATCACCACATTCTCTACAGTAAGGGTGGAAAATACAGTCCAAGTACTAAATGTGACTGATAGAGCAGGTTTTTACCTTGGCAAAAAAGATGGAAACAAGCCTTAGACAGAAAAAAGCATAGCAATAATAATGACCACCAATTCTAACTCCATAGAGTTGTAGCTTAAACTTGTGTAAGTAGCAAAGTAGCCTTAAAGCCAAAAACAGAACAAAAAACAAAGACTTACAGCTTTTTAGATAGGTACTTTGTCAGAGAATCAAATGGCTTAATTGAATCAACGTTTTCAATCCTACAATCCCATATCTTAATGCGAGCCACGTAATCAACTAAAAACCCAAGGAAATTTGGCATCTATACCATACCAAAGGTGATAAAGCCGGATGTAATAGAACAGCTAAATATGATGCATCTTTGTCTCTCGATCTCATTGCGTCTCTAACTAAGAACTCTGCCTTAAATCACACTTTATCATAGTCTTTTTGCTTGCATCATTAAGAGAGAAAGCAATGTCTCTGTTGAAACAAAATTTGCATGTCTAACCAAGTGGATCAGCCAGAAAGTCGACCCCTCAAGCAGGTCCTCTCCAAGCAACTTATAATTCATATGAGTTAACCAAAGTCCCAATTTCAATAATTACATCAAATAGCTTATTAGGAGTTGTAGTTATCCTCCTTTGGTTCAACGAGAATGAGTTTTAGGTCCCCAAGCTAAAGTGTTGATTCCGCCAAAAAAGATCACATTGGCCAGCAGCATTGGGGATCTACTTTGATCTAACTATCCAATCCACCAATATGCTCTCCCTAGCTTTTTGGAAAAAGATTTTTGATGCAAACATGAATGAACTTTTTAGAATATACGTTTTGAAATAAAATACTAGCCAAACAACTTTCATTTTATAAAAACCACAAAAGTCATTTAGGAATGGGGAGAGTTGAATACCCAAACGAGCACTAACTTAGATAATGATGAAATTGTTGCGGTGAGTGGCATTGAGTTAGCTTCTCCACTGAGTTGATGAAAGGGATTCACTATGTCTCAGACTTTGCTTTCGTGCAAAAAACATGACGTGTCAATTTTTTTGTTAGAATCATCGATCGTTGACCCTTTTTCATTCATGTTGCAACAAACCATTTTTTTTCATTTAATATTATGAGGTATTTTTTAACTGATTTACACATTTTCAATGAATTAGTTAATAGTTAATAGTTAATAACATTTGAAATTGTAGATTTATTATTTTATATCTAACCTTTTTTTGGTATCCTATTTTATGTTTACCCTTATCTGTGAAGTATATTGATTAAAAAATTTGTTAATTGTATCTCTAATTTATGATGTTTTTGGAAAAAAATATTATTAACTATACATTAAAATATTCAAAATATCTTATATTATATTTGTTAACATGATATTTCAAAAAACTGTCTTGTATATTGAATGAAGGGGACATTTCTTGCGTGCATTTGACGCATCGATTATAGTGGAACCAAAATTGAGGTTTTATATTTATTTAGTATAAGGTAGAGAAAAGGTGAAAGAGCATCATGCTTCTAATATTTAAATTTTATAGAGTATTTTATTTCTTTCAATTTTAGAGAAGGGCCAAACACTCTCACTAATCTGCCTCCATATACTTTATTTTTTTAATTTAAGGGACAAGTACTAATGATTTGATATTACAAGTGAAATAAAACACACGACCTCCTACTTATAAAGAAACTTGTATGCCATTAGGTTATAAAGCTATTGATGCCTTCATATATGTTATTAAATTCTATAATTTGCCCTCTTGTGTTCTAATTGCTTCTTTTGCTCATTGTTGTGAAAACTTATCTGATACTAGTATTGTCTCGTTGTCATTTTCCTAATAAACCCTCTTCATCAAGTTTCCCACAATTGTTATTTATAATGTGGTTTCAAGTTATTAAGAGATACTTTTAAGTTACTCTTATTTACTGCTACTTTCATTTTAACTTAGCTAGTCTAGTCACTAACCCTATGCAACACCCTTGTTAGCCAAGTGAGTGTGCTCAAATTATGAATCATAGTTGAGTTGTGATTTCTTTTTATTCCTTTTTTTTCCCTCAAATTATGCATGATCCCTATAAATATTGATAAAATATTCTTAAATATTGATATATTAATATTATTTTTTAAATAAAAAATAAGAAATATAATCATTTGAAATTAAAAGGGTTAGAGTTAAATAAATAAAAAAATATTTTATAAAATTAAAGAACCAAACTGAAATTTGATATGAAGTGAGTAGACCGCAATAAAAAGGTTAACAAATATAACTACGCAGAATCAGCCCCAGCGCCTGTAGCTCAGTGGATAGAGCGTCTGTTTCCTAAGCAGAAAGTCGTAGGTTCGACCCCTACCTGGCGCGAAACCATAGAGCCTCTTTTAGCTCAACGGCTGTCGAATATCTTGGCCTATAAATCAACTTGAGGTGTCTCTACGAGACTCTAGTTTTCAAATCACAGTTTCACACCTTCAGCAATTTTAGAATAGTAATTCGAGACTGGGAATGTCATATGTTGTGAATGTCCTTTAAAAGGAAAAAAACAAAGAAAGCAAAATGTTGTGATCGTTGTATGTTGCAAGAACAGAAATAGAAGATTATCTGCAACAAGGCCAAAACGAGATTTACGTGACCAACAATACATCTTGTGGCAAATATATGTAACCCCGGCTCGAGATCCAGAACCTCATCATCCTGATCAACCTCTTCGTCTCTGAACTCGTTCTTAACTATAAGCCCATATAATGTCTCTGATAGAAGAAGCACCAGGATACCTTCAGGTCTACTCCGACGGTTCCGTAAAACGCTTTGCCCCTGAAATCGCGCCGCCTTCTGTAAACTCATCCTGTAAATCCAAGGACGTGATCATCCACCCCTCGAAACCCGTCACCGCAAGGCTCTTCTTCCCTAATTGTCCTTCCCCGTCCTACAAGCTTCCCGTCTTGGTTTACTTCCATGGCGGCGGTTTCTGCATCGGCTCCACCACGTGGCTCGGCTACCACCAATTCCTATCCGACTTCTCAGTCGCCTCTCAATCCATCGTTCTTTCCGTCGATTACCGTTTGGCTCCGGGGCATCGTCTTCCAACGGCCTACGAAGATTGCTACGCCTCACTTGAATGGCTTCATGATCATGCCGGGTCTGAGCCCTGGCTTCAGCGAGCCAATCTGTCGAGGGTGTTTCTCTCCGGTGATAGCGCCGGTGGAAACATCGCACACCACGTGGCCATGAAGGCGATGCAGAACATTGCACGTGACTTGAAAATCAAAGGGATATTACCGATACATCCTTATTTTGGAAGCGAGAAGAGGACGGAAAGAGAGAATGCAGATGAAGCAAGAGGGGAAGTGAGAATGAATGACATGTTCTGGAGGCTCAGTATGCCAGAAGGCTCAGACAGAGACTACTATGGGTGCAACTTTGAGAAAGCAGAGATGTGTGGGAGTGAGTGGTCTAAATTCCCTGCAATTCAAGTTCACGTGGCTGAGAATGATTTTTTGAAGGAAAGGGGAGAGATGTATGCAGAGTTCATGAAGAAGAAGGGGGCAAAGGAGGTGGAGCTCGTGGAGGCTAAAGAAGAGAAACACATATTCCATGTGTTCCATCCTCAGTCTGAAGCAACTCGCTTGCTTCAAACCCAGATAACCCGCTTCTTGAACACGCATTAATTTAAATCTCTAAGTTTCAAATATATGTGCTTGACTATATATCGTCAAGAAGTTGCTCCTATATATACTGCTTTTTTGTTAATGTCACGGTAACTTTAATTCTATTTGATCAACTCGTTTGATTGCGGGTTAACCTTTTTTTTTTTTTTTTTGGGCATGAGCACCCTCGTCTACCGAAAACAGATAGATAAATGTATATTGGATACATCACCTAAATAATACTTGGACTAATTTATTTAAATGGGTGAAGGTAGAGTGATTTATTTATTTATGCATGTTCTTTTCCTGATATAATGGCAAACACACACGGACAGAAAAGCTCACAAAAGAAAAGATGAGAAGAAAGAAAAAGAGCCTTAACCGAATCCATTATTACCACCGTGGCACCTTCTGTCGCTGCCCTGTAAGCTGAAGAATTTCGTCAAAGTTGCCGTGGGGAGTAACCTTTCAAAGGGCATCATCGGCAACAATATTATTGAGTGGCCCCATGTCTTTATTGAAGTCACCCTTCAACAAACTTGTATTCCTGCCTTTATATCCCACACGATTATATGTTTAAATGTCATGTGTAAATATTTTTATCGGTGTACTTTGAACTTGAAACATCCTCATTTTGATAAGCAATTAAAACTCAATTCACCTGAACTTTTTTTCAAGAAAATAAACATACTTGTACAAAAATACAGGCGACACGCAAGACCTTCCCACAGTTCAAAACCCACTGCAAGGCAAGAATCAAGATTCTTCACATTATTTAAGGGTCGCTAGTTCAAATATTTAATATATTTCTAATTATATGTGCTAAATCAAACATTAGAGGTAATATTTATAGAATATTATTTCACAACATTAAGTTTGTGCAATGAGTTCAGATTTTTTTTAATTTTTTTTTTCATTTTATGGGCATAAAAGAATTTGGAAGGAAAAAAGCAAGATGTCTTCTCTTTAATTTAACAAAATGTTATTACTGATCCTTATGAATATAATGAAATAATAATTACTAATTACTAAATATTTATAATTATGAAATGCAACATTTATATAGAGTATCTAAATTTTTTAGTATGTAAATTTCATACTCCACGCACACATAATTATTGCACATATCACGACTCTTTTTTCAATGTTCATAATGTACAAAATATTTGTAAACTACATCTTAAAAACATAATTTGACTTTACATCTTTCCTAAAAAACTTTCAGCCAACTTCATCCCAAAAAGATTAAAAGAAAATAAAATAAAACATATAAACATACAAACATATACATATATATACATATTTTTTGACTCGTTCATCAATTTACAGGTTCTCTGCCAATGGTTCAACCTTCAAACTAGTTCCCCGTTTCACCCAGTACCAGAACTTGAAACTTGGGAGGAACCACTTTCTGTATGTAATTTAAAGACCTTGGCCAAATGTTACTACCACCTTTTGGTTTTGAAGTCATCCCACTGTCTAAATATTCGGCTTTAGTTGTTGTTTTACAAATTCAAGATGTCGTTTTGATCCTCAACATCAATGACATCAAACTCCGACCTTATAATCAAATGAATCTAATAATGAGTGGTCCAAAAATAAAAGATCTACTGAATTAGCTTCAGGTTACATTATTATCAATTTTCAAACATCGCTGGATTAATCTTCTGATCCTCTCCTGCTATTTTTAAATACTAAAAGCAACAGAAAAGCACCTCGTTTTCATCTTTAAAAATTATTCTCCAATAGCTATAAAAGCATGTTTGCACGTTGATGAAAAATCAAATGTCAAAGATCCAATCATGATGCAGAAATAACCAATAAAAATAGAGGCAAAGATATGGGAGACATCTATCGCCTAGTCGTCTACCGAGTAGCCAGCATCTTATGGCACAATTTATACATCAAACTACAATGACGGGGAACAATTCGGCCAAAAAACTATGGTACATTATGCCTAACGATTATCATCAGAATCAACTAAGAGACGATTAAATGGCAACGAACCTGATATTCTGCTACCACGAGCTTCGCCCAAAAAATGAATTGCTTGCCCTAGAAACATGCACTCAGAACTCCTAGATGGGTCCCAGGCACGAGCAACACTTTAAAAGACAATAATAAAAAGCATGTGGTATCTTGACAAGCCACCATATCAACTTCCAAACTAAAATGTTTCAAATGCGACGAGTTAAAACGAAAAGTGTAGCATACGAGCAAATCTACACAACATAATAATACACAACACAGCAAATGAAACCCAACGTATAAGCCATATATTACTGCCAAGTCCTCATGCTGATAAGCTTTCAAAGTAGAATGGCCTTGACTGCCTACCACACTACAAAGAAAGGACTTGATATTATCAGTGGGGCGGATCATCTGCAGCTCAAGAAGCGGTCACTCGTGAGATGGAAGTAGCCTCCAAGAGCCACTTGTAAGTTGTAACATCCAAGCAAATGATGTTTCGTCCACATACCACTATGATGGCACTGCATAAAATGTCAAGGAAACCCAGCAAGAAACATGAGCGTCTCAAAATAACAGTGACACAACTCCCAAAATAAGGAGGAAAGAGAAGAAATGCCTCCAGAACAGGAAAATAAGCATGTTTTGCTAGCAGATTGTACAATACAAGTAACTAAGAACAAAGTACTTTAAAAGGGGGGAAAAATCATGTATTTGAAACAAGATCTTGTTTACAGTTTCAGAGAAATAACCAAGGACATAAAGCAATTTAATTAAGTGCAGTTCAACAAGCGTGAACTGCTTACAGACTTTGCGCTTAAAGAATACACTAGAAAAAAAATCCAAATGGAACAAAAGGAAAGTTATGAAATTTCAAGAACAATGAATTCTTCACTTTAAAACCTCCAAGCCAAAATAGAATAAAAGGTAAAGATGTGCTTTTTTCGGCAGTTGATGCCTAGAATATCAATAATACAAAATATGTGAATTGCAAAGAAATTGATGAATGAAATGCTCTACCCATGACTTGCGAATAATGCAGCTCCTTATAAATGTATACAACAGCCAACCTCAGCTATTGTGACAAGGCTTGTGATTGTTGCCATAGTAAACAGTGACATTAATGATAGTGATATCATTATTGATACTGATTCACTAATGATAATGATATAACGATTATAAGGATGCATACCACACCAATAGGATGGGGATGGCAAATAAGCATGCGCAGATAAGTAGAGCATAATAGAACAAAATACAGGATGAACCATCATGTGGATCAAGTTCAAGATATGAGAAAGAACATACTGTATGTAGAGGTATCAATCTGCTCCGGAAGCTGCTTTATATCAACTTCAAACCTTGACTGAACCTGAAATATAGAATAGTCAAAATTCAGAACCGCCAATGAGCCCATCATCAATGCAATGATTCAAAAAAGACCCTTACATTGTTAAGAACATCGACATCAGCAGAACACGAAACAAATGTAATTGCAAGACCTTTGGTGCCAAACCTTCCAGCTCTGCCAACCTGGCCAAAGCCCCACCCAAGATAAGAGAAGAGAAATTTATGGTCTGAAAAAAAAAAATATTGCACTAAAATTAAATTTCAACAGGCAAGATTTTCCAATCATACCCTGTGCAAGTAGGTGTCTGCAGAATCAGGCATGTCATAGTTTATTACAATGTTAACACGCTCGATGTCAATTCCCCTCCCAACTAAGTCTGTTGCCACAAGAATCCTAGTATGTCCCTCCTTAAAGCCTTTATAACGCTTTAACCTACAAAACCATAAAATAGATTAGTCTCGCAAGCTACCATTACATGCTGTACAGAACCACTTTCACTAAAAGTGTATAATTAAGCCCCAGAAAAGTACACAATTGAACCTCTTTATGAGGTAATAAGTACAAGACTCATGAGCAAGCAAGACAAATAGTGGATTGAAAAAGGTCCCAAAGGCTTCACCCCTGACACAGACACATCCATGATTCTACAAGCTAGAGTTATGACAACTATCATTCATAAGTTATGACAAAACCCAACACAATGATGAATAATTGATTTATTGACTGAACATTTCTATAATTTATTAGCATACACTGATATCCTCATAATACAAACCTTTCCTCCTGTGACATGCCAGAGTGGATGCATATAGATGGGAAGTTGCACTCCACAAGTAGTCTGTCAAGCTCAGCTGCTCTACTGACACTCTTCACAAAGATAACAACTTGGTTGAAGTCTAGTGCATCAAGAAGGTCGTTCAACTTCCGGTTCTTTTCTTCCTCTTTCAATTTGATGTAGTGCTGCCATTTAAAACATCCACGTAAGCCATCTACATGTCATAAGAAATTTCTTTAAAAAAAGGAAGTAATGAATCTCTCATTTAAATAGCCCACCTGCACAAGTCCATGAAGGGTCAACTTGGCCTCGTCATCAACATAAATTTCCATTGGCTGTAAGGAACAAATGTCACATAAATCATATTAGAGGCCTTCCTCAAGCAGATGGAATCCAGAAGGAAATGAATGATGGATGCAGATCCCTTGTATCACAGTTCTGGTCCATCCGTTTAGTCTCCTTGCAGATACCTTTATTTAATTCATGCCAAGCAAGTGCCAGACTCTTTGACACACTTAAGTACAGCAACTAGCACGAACCCTAGAATACACTATCACCCAAAACAACTCTCAAAGGAGAGATAAAAAGAAACAGCCCAAGTCGTGAAAGACCTCACTTGACAGGCACAGGCTTCAAGGGACCCCAAAAAAAGTTTAAATGCAGACAAAAATTAAAAAAAATAAAAATACTATACACAGAGTGATGGCAGAGTTGAACTACTAAACATTCTCGTCACAATCTTCAAGCCCCATTTGCCGCAACCAAATCACACACTTCACCCAACCAGCTGGACATCCTAAAATTTGGCTGGAATAAAGCACTGTACAGATAGACCCAGAACTAAAAGCAAATATAGGCAGAACCACAACATCCTGTATCCTACATATCTAATAAGGCTCTTAGAGAATGCGGCAATATCAAAAAGAGACTTCTCATTCAAGTAGTACTGGCCATGGGACATTACATCTTGCATAAATTTCTTGCAGACTGGGCGAATTTCCTTGCTGAGTGTTGCAGAAAACATCATAACTTGCTTATCATGAGGAGTCATCTTGAAGATCTCTTGCACATCTCTCCTCATGTCTACAGAAGGCACAATGGATATTATTAAAACCATGTTAAATTCACATGGAGCATGAAAGTAGGATTTAAGATAGAGCAGCTGAACATACCCAGTGATTCCAGCATCTTGTCACACTCGTCCAAAATAAAATGCCTGACATTCTTTAATGAAAGATCCTTATCCCTAGCCAATGCAAGTATTCTTCCAGGTGTTCCAACAACAATATGAGGACACTCATTTTTCAACAGATCCTTGTGAACTTTAATGTTGACACCACCATAGAAGACAGCAACCTTGAGATCAGGCAAGTAGGTACTGAACCTCTCGAACTCATGGCATATCTGCGTGAGACAGATTGTTGACATAATTAACTGGTAAGTACACATAAATATCTGGTAGACTACAAAATGGTATCAAGTACTGGAAATTCTTTTTTACTCAGACTAAGCACCACATAAATACCTGGTATGCTAATTCCCTTGTATGACACAGAACAAGTGCAGCAACTTGGCCTGAAACGGGATCAATCTGCTGTAAGGTTGAGAGAACAAAGACAGCAGTTTTTCCCATTCCAGATTTAGCTTGACAAATCACGTCCATTCCAAGGATTGCTTGAGGAATGCATTCATGTTGTACTGATGATGAACCACAGAAAATGGGCCGAAGGAACCAGTTGTAAACAAAAAACCTTTCAGACCCTTTAATTTGATAGCTTTACCAAACCATGTTAAGTCTCCAACACAAGATTATGATAGAAGAATTACCTGCAAAATGAAAATTAAACAAGCACATAAGAGTGGGAACATTGTCATGAATATCACATGCATCAAAGTGTATACAAATGGAGAAAAAAATAACAATGAATTATTCAAACTTTTTCAAAATCCCCAAAACTCCACACTAGAAATAATAACCGTGGAAACAAAAAAAAAATGAAGAGATAAAAGCAAACTAACGAGACTTTTTTTAACAAATATAGCATGTTTCCAAACAAAAGTCCAAATCTCAATTAAAGCCTAGAGTCCCTAAAAACTCATAAAATAGATGCAACAAGAATGAATAAGTTAACGAGTTTGGAAGTTTTGATGATTTGCCTTCAGAAGGATGCTCAAATCCTGAGTCTACAATGGCACGAAGAAGCTCTGGCTTCAGAAGAAAGTCTCTGAATCCTGAACTATGAATCCCAACGTAGCCCCTGCCAACAGAAAAGTAATAGGAGGCACATAAATAAGCGGGCAAAGAGAAAATCAAGGACAACAGATATTGTTTGCAAATTAATTGAAACTATTAACTCCAAGAAAATAAACCCGTAAAATCCCCCCATATTCATTTTCAAGACACTGCTCTCTATAAAAACATCCGTGATATACCCGTTCCAATAGATTTATACTATCTATACTTCACGGGGAATCTAGAAAGGCTTTAAAATAATATTGGACGACCTAAATTTATATCTTAACCGGACGTCCGGGTCAAATACATCGTTTAGAATAAAATTCACCAGATCTCATGTCTTTTCCAACATTTCTAGGGTAAGATTTACCGATGACCCCCAAGCCTCACCGATCAATTCTCCATCTAATCAATCTATGCAAACAAGTCTGGGTACCAGCCAATTCGAAAAGCCGACACCCGGCCCCAATAGGCTATGATAAATAACAGAAAACTTACTTCTTCACAGCTTCACCATTGACTTTGGTTCCAACGGAATCAGGGGCTTTGTCTTCTTCCTCTTCATAGTCAAGAAGCTCTTCCTCGTATCCTTCATCCTTTGTTTCTCCCATATTCTGCAAATCCCAAAACAGTAGAGCTAGTTAATCATACCAGAACATTAAATTCTCGAAAACGAATCCAGGACTAAAACTAGGGTTTAAAACTAAAACTCGAGGAAGAAAGAAAAACCTGGGGTTTAAGAATATATGAGAATACCTGTGCGAAGACTTGGATGAGAAGACTGGTTTAGGGTTCGAAGAGTCTGCAAATGAAATTTGTTAGCTTAAAGACAATTGGGTGAAAAGAAGCTTCAGAGAGCGGAACCTCTTCGAGAGTGTAAACGACGGGGCAGCGTCACGGACAACTGATGGTAGGATTGTGAAATTGGAAATAGAAGCAATTTTATAACCTAGGTGTTTTTGTTTCCCCCTTTTTAACTTTTGACTAAGGGGGTAAGAACCCAAATGTTATTTTTTCGGCCAGGGCCCAAATGTTCGCCAACAAAACTAATTAATTGATTATCTATTTATAATTAAAATAAAATAGTCCAAATATTTAATTTGAGCATTCAGAATTAAATATTTATTTCTATCATTCATATCTTCTAAAATTGATAATATGAGTCAACCTATGATTCACAAGCTAGCTCATAGTTGCGAGCTTGGCAAGACAAGTTGATCTACTAATAAAAGATATTTTTGTGTATGCTTTTTCCTAATTTTGAAACTTATAAATTCACTTATTTTCATTATTTTTTGTAGTAAAAAAATCATATCTTCTCCCTACAAATTAATTATCCAAATAATAATAAAATTCCTTGTAAATCATTAAAAAAAATACATTAATACAGTACAAAATAAATATATATCAATCATAAACAAACATACTAAAAAGTTTAATTATAATCCAAAGCTTCAAGATTTATTCTAATTAATCATAATACTATTATTAGAGGCTACAATAACATTAAGTTAAGTAGATTAACCCAGCGCTTCATTTGCTACAAACAAAAAAATGAAACAACGTGAAAATATAATTAATGTGTAAAAGTCTAAAAAGTAAATGCAAAAATGTAGTTATCGAGGTGCAGAGATTTTGATGTATTTCCTTTTATTTTTATTCACATGACTGAATTGCTTTCTCTTATTTATTGCATGGAATAAAAAATGCAGCTTGATACATTAATTTCGTTTATATTATATGTTGATATTGATTTTGGTAATGGAAATTCATTCTTCATCTCTTTGTTGTCTAAATGAAGTATTCATACCCTTTAATGAAAGTTAATTAGTTTAGTTGTTAAGAATATGCCATAATACATTGAGTCTAATTTCGGTTTTGGATGGTCCATCTTAACCATTTTTATTTTATTAAAATAAAAATTATAAAAATAATATAGATTTAATCTTATGGCCAATTCAATGTTAAAAGTTCTTAAAATTTGTATAAATTAACTATCCAAAATTACTTTAGGCGATTTAGTTTTAAAATTTTGACAAGTTAAAACTTGAGAGCAATTTTACAATTTTTATTTTTTTTTAAATGATAAGTGGGCTAACCCACCAATTAGTGAGTTTGTTATTGCGGGTTTAATTTATGCAAGGCAAGTCAAAATCACCTCACATAAAATTAAATTCATTTTTTTAACCCAACTTATATATTTTTGTGAGTTAGCTCAATCTATATTACCGGCTATAGTTAATAGCTAGTTGACTGATTATGAGAGGTCCATGAAATAGAAAGTTCATATTTCTCTCAATTTGCATTTCCTTCCATTTATCTCATAAATAAATTCCAGTCACTTAATTGTTCTAGCAATTAAATTTATTCTTTTTATATGCATGTAATTGTATTAAAATGGGAACAAAAAATATTGCATCATTTTCGTTGTTTAGGAAGGGGAAAAATAAATTACAATCCAAATTAATGAGATATATATGTATAATACATATGGCATTCTTCAATTTAAGAAGAAAATACCTTGTAATGATTTAGACCAATCCAACAATTAAAAGTCAAAATCGAGATAAATTAAGAAAATTATAACTATGAATTGAGGGGATCCAAAGCCACCGATTTTCTTTCTATCTTAAATATCCTGAGTTCAATTAGCTGAGGAGATTCAAATCATGGTAACCATTGTTATTAAACGTGCGACTCAACTCGGTTCACTCATCGACTTTACGATCTTGCAACCAATTTTTTTGTGTCAAGTCGCTAGTAAAATTGCTAATGATGCTAACTCAACCAAACTCGTGAGAGAGTCCAGTAAACTCATATGAGTCATGCTTTGTCGCCGCTTTGAGAACGAATTTAAATTGGTTCCAACATTCACAATAACTATTAGCCAGCTGACCTGTTAAGCATCTTTAACAATTTTTTTTTTGTTTTTTATATATATGATAACAATAGACGTAGTGACCATAAATAAACAGGAGGAAAAAGCGAAATCCCAAAGAGATATAAGCAAATGTCTTATAAAAAAATATAGTAAATAAATTAAAAGTTCAAGCATAGCATGCTAATAAAGTTGATTTTTACAAAATTTTGGTGTTGATTATAAGTAATTATAAACGATCAATAATTTTAAAATTAATACAATTTGAATATTAAAAAAATTAAATCACCTGAGGCTAGAACAGGTGAAAAAAAAGGGAACAGACATGATTGGATTAGAGTTCAAATTTTCTTGATATAAAAAATAACACGCGCGCGCGCGCGTATATATATTGATAAAATGCACATATATTCCATTCTGTTTTTTATCATTTGGCCTATCTTAAAATAATTTTTTATGACATTCATTGACAATAATAAACTCTTAGGAGTTTACATTTGGAGTTTACAATAGGAGTTCATCTGATAATTAGAAAATCACAAGTTTGACAATCTTGATGGGAACATTTGTCTAAGATTTTTTTTTTTTAGTATAAAGAGAACAGTATTTTAACTTTTCTAATCAATAATACTATATCTATAACAATAAGCTATGCTTGGCTTGTTACTAGAAGTATTTAACTTATACCCATCCCAATTAATCCGGTATCGTCCTGATTATATCGTAATGAGTCTTATTCTTACTCAAAAACAATCAAAATAAGACTTTGAAGGACAAGACGAGATACAAAATTACTATCGAAATGTCCGGTTTCATCCCAAATATTACATATATTATTTTTTATTTTACAAATATGCATTAAATATATTAATTATACTGATATAAATTATACTTATATCAACTATTGATAAGTACATGTTTTATAATTAAATAAGTATAAATTTTTATTTGAGTTTATTATATTTATTAAAATTTTATATCTATTTAATTAATATTTATATATTTTCTTTCGTCACTTCATTACAAGATAACGATAAATTTTTATATAAAATCTACTCATATCTTTATTTTTTACATTGCATCAGAAAATTTACAAAAAAAAGGGGGGAGAACAAGAAGACTGGAGTAGATAAAAATGTGAGTCAATATATGGATATAGACATATATATACACATAGATGAGGAAATTCACAGAGGAGTTGAAGAAAAATAAAACAAAATAAAAGCAAAGAAAACCTAGTATAGGGTAAATCATAAATTCTAATGCTTTAAGTAATTATGTTTTCATCATTGTTATTTTCTTGATTTATTTTTATATTTTCATCAAATCATTCATTTTATCTATTTTTTTCTAAATTATTAATTATTTAAATTAGTAAAAGGGTGATTTTCTTGTGGTTTTGACACTTTAAATATTTCGGGCAATTTATTATTGTGATCTCATAATCTGTGAGAGTAATTAATTTTATCCATTATAATTTTAATATTTGCAATTCTTATATAAATAACATAAACTAAATAGGATGATATATTTTTTATAATATATTAATATAATTTATTCTTATATCTATCTATTTAATAATTTTTATTTACAACATATTTCTTATTTCATGTTTGGAAGAGTAATTAACTTAGAACATCTCAACTAAATCAGAAGAATAATGATTTGACGTTGTGCTTGGCTTGCTTGTTGTTACTGCTATTATATTCCAGAGATCACTTATAATTGTTATTATAATGTATAGTTATGATTAATATAATTCAATAATTGACTTTAAATTGACGTAATTTATATACTTATATTATTTTAATTTTAAACTTAATGAATTATATAATTTCAAATTTTAATCAATGTTATTGTTTAAATTTTTTTTGACATTATTTAATTTTTTAAGATGACAGGACGCCTCAATTTTATCCTAACTTTTAATGTGATAGGACATGAGACAATAATTTAATTTTGATTCTTTTTTTTTTAACGTCTCTTTGACTATGAAAAACCAATGTTTTGAATTCTGAAGTTAATGAGTTTGGCATATTCTCTCTCTCACACTCGCTAGCATTATTTTCTTGTTTTTCAGGTGACGTAGTAAACCATGTACTGTATGCAAACCGTGTTTAAGTGGGATTTGTGTTTTTGACGGAATTAAAACCATACCCTGAAACAATAAATGAAAGAGCGATGAGTTAAAACCAGAATCATTCATTGAACAATTGAAAAAAAAAAAAAAAAAAGGAACTACTCATTGAACTGTCTACATTTCTTTTTACTATTCAATTGAACTGAACAACCTAAATTTCTCCTTTTGTTATAGTTGAAAGATTATTTTAACCAACATGGGTGACTCAAATTAATTAGACTATTTAATTTTTACCTATAATAATCATCATCATCATCATAATAGTAATAATAATAATAATAGCTTTCAGAAGAAGAAGAAGCTTTCATGAGAATTTAAAATTTCATTTCCGGTGCCACTTCAAACATTCATTTCATATCCTGTCTCTATTGTGTGTTGAAACATTTTGCACTAATCATAACCGTCAGTTATATTTGACTTGTTAGCGGGCAGGTGACAAACTCTCTGCTTTTGACTTTGAAATGCTGGTGTTTTGAATTCTGAAATTAATGATTTCGTCATACTCATATGCACACGTATATATACACATGTTAAATTATATGCCTAACCAAAATCATTGAGATGTAGTTAAATCATTAAAATATTCTAAGAATGAAACAACTCTCCAAGTTTATCCTTAATTAAAATCAAGTTATAGACAGGAATTTTGGAAAACGCTAATTCTTCTAGGATATATGATTGTTAAATTATTCTTGAAGGTGATTGATATAGGATCAGAAGAAGTATCAAACAGGAAAAAAAAGTTCATGCACCGTATTTAAATTCCCACACAGATTCCTAATATAACTTGTCATGATAATAAAATTATTACACTTGGCTAATTGATTATTGGGATTTGGGAAAATGACAATCAATAATCTTCTAAGAAAGTTAATAATACTATATCAGGATTTTTAAAAGACCTTCACTGCTGAAATATAGAATGATGAAGGCATCATTTAAAAATAAAAATTAAAATAAGATCCTGATTTAACATTTATTTTATTATAAAGTTTTTAGTTGTTATTCTCCTTAGCTTAGTCGTTTATTGATGAAGTAGAGAAACATATAAGCACAATTTTTTTTTTTTTAAAGTAGGTTCTACTTAGGCAGCTGGTTCATTTGTACAGAAGTGGTGTTTATTATTTAGTTTCTTAATTTCTCTTCATACTTCACCGTGGTAAAAAAATCATTATTTTAACATACCATGTATATACTTTGGCAAAAAAAAAAAATCACATCCAAGACAATAAAAGAAAAGGTGATGAATTAAATTGAATAAGAGAATCCGGCGTGTTGGATTTTGGATGCAAATTAATGGATTAAAGGCAAGGCATTGAACCAGGCCGAAAAAACAAAAACAAAAACAGTAAAAAGAAAGTCTAAATACATGATCATAAAGTCAATGCAGGGTGACACATTCAAGTCATCCCCAATAAAATCAAAGAAGATGCATTAATGGCATTAACCTCACAAATTAATTACCATAAAATAGAAAATATTCAAAATGAGATTCTCACACTTGACACACCATTACTTTCAGTATAATATAAAGAGGAATGTGAGTGTTCCAAGTCAAAGAAACACACACACTCACACACACACAGGGACTGATAATGATGCCTATACGTGAAAGTCAGATTCATCTCTTCCACAAGGTAGACCGAGAAGTGTTCTGTTGCTTGCTTCTGAAACTGTCTCTGGAACCTTCTCAGTGCCTTCTCATAATGTCCCTCTGGCTCTGGCTCGAGAACGTAGGGTACCCTAACGTCGTCCCTCAGCTCGTAGGACTCTCTAGTCCTCTCCTCAACGCTGTGGCCAAAGAAGCTCAAGCTTGCCTCAAGTGTCTCGAAGAGGATAACCCTCGCATCCCTAAAGGTGGTGGCCTCCCTCTCACTTCCACACTCATTGAAAAGGACATTTCCCTCCAACTCTTTCACCTCAAAAGGTTCACTGCCATCGCCGGAATCAAGAGCGTCCTCAACAACGTCTCCGTCAGAATCTTCTCTGATATATTACACAACGTTCTGAGTATTAATAATAACGGCGCCGTCAGGTCCGGATTCGGCCCGGGTCCGGGAACGAATGGGTCGTTGTCGATTCCGGGTTTTCCGCATCCGGTGTTCGGGAACGTGACCGTGCCGCCGTTGAGCCACGACTTGCCGGTGGAGCTGTGGTGGTACGATGACTTGGACGACAACGTGTCGTGGAGCAGCAGGCCATCGGATGACGTGAGGGACGAGGACAAGACGATGTTTCTGACATTCTCGAGGGGATTTCCGGTGACGGAGGAGGAGGTGTTGCATCTGTTCACGACCAACTTCGGGGATTCGAGTGTGCGGGTCATAAACATGGGAGAACCGGACGCTGCGAACGAGCAGCCACTGTTCGCGACGATGGTGCTGGACAGTGTGGCTACCGTCGACGAAATCCTGATGGGGAAACGCATCGCCAAGTTCAAGATTAACGGCAAGCACATCTGGGCTCGCAAGTACGAGAATCGTGTCTGAAGAAGAATCCATGCAACATTAATCAACGCTAAAACAAAACTCATATATATATATATATACGTAAGCAAATATAATAATGTATGTGGTATGTGATGCCAAGCGCGCATGTCACTTTCCTCGTCGCCGATATCGTGATGCTCTATGAAACGTATGAATAAATGCAGTGACTGACACAGAATATGGCTTTGGGGGAGGTTTTGCTCAATGCATATAGCCGTGTGTGTTGATTTTTACTACCTTAAATCTCGTCTATGTTTGTCATTGCACTGCTTTGTCTTATATAATGGAATGAAAATGTTACAGAGCATCTTCACGCTGTTCTTGCCTTCCCGCTTTTCTGCACAGGGTCTGAATTAGAATTATGCACTTGCATGTTAATAAAATAACAAAGAAAAAATTAATATTTTACTGCTTGAACTTTTAATTTAATTCAGTCTCTTAAACTTGCAGTGATTTAATCTCTCAACTTTTAACTCATTTTTATTTAACTTTTAATCTCTTTTTTCATATTAACTTAAATCTCGTATCAAAAAGTAAGAATAGAGTATTTTAAAATAAGATATAAGGATTTATTTTATTTTTAATAAGGATAATTTTTAAAAAATTAAAAATAAAGACTGAATTATAAATAAATTAAAAGTTAAGGAATGTATCAAGTTATAATCAAGAGATAAATTACAATAGAATTAAAAGATTAATTTTTTTAAAAACAAAAGTAATTTTATATGCAACGTTTATTTTACTATTGCCGGACCCATTAGTAGATTAAACGCTTCGCGATCGAGAGGCTCAGAGACAATCAGCATCTCAGACACAGCAAATAGATCGCTGAAGGGAACACAATTGATGCCTAAAATTCATTTTATTTTAAAATAATTTATAATGTATTCTAAATATGAAGAGAATCCCATAATATTTTTTTCGAAAAAGAAAAATATAATGGCAAGTACAATCAATAAAAATATGTAGACCCCGACGTGATAGTCCAATAACTCTTGAGTTTGATTTCTCTAAATAAAAATAAAAAAAAAAACCATGAGGGCGTTCAAGGGTGTTTAAGAATTAGAACTTAAAAAATTCTGAAGCAAAAATTCCAAAAAATTAAAATGAATGCATCATTCTTCAGGCGGAGTCCAAAGTCATATTTTAGGTTCTGGATGTGTAATATATATATATATAATGAAACCTTAAAAAAAAAAAAACACACACACACACACACACACACACACATACATGAATGAAGCACCCAGACGACTGCTTAATAATTTGGGCCTGGGCCTCTTATAAGAGCATATGGAGTTGTTGACCGATGTTGAAATTGAAGATATAGAAGCTCGTTTGGTTCGACCCAAGTCAGCCGAAACCAAAGCATTGCAAATGGAATTAAATCAATTGTTGGTTCGACTCAAGAAAACCCCATTTACAATGTGTTTTTTTAAATTAGTTTAGTTATGTTGATAATTGCGAAAGATGTGAGGAAAAAAGAAGAAAAAACGAAAGATGAAGGTGAGGAGAGAACACGAAGGTGCGTAAGAAATATGGTTAATATTAAAATGCGAGAAATATAAAAATCAAAGTTGAAGTTGAAGGAGGAGGGGTGTCAAAATGTGAGTAAAGAAAAAGGTCATGAATGAGATCTGTGCATTAATCAAATAATATTAACAACGATGACAACAATAACAACGAATGCAGTTACAGTCTACAGAACACGCGACTTATGTGGCACATTTCAGTTGGCCTTGTCGTCAGGACCTAAATCTGCCTCCAAGGTCATATTAGAGTTGGAGATCCTCGCGCGTACAAATACCACGATAATATCAGCGAACTTGTTTGTCAAGATCAAATAAATTAGGGAAAATTAAATTAAATCTTGAAAGAAATAATTAATGATAATTAGATCTTGATAATTTTTTCTGGAGAATAAGTTACAGATATGAATTCAAATAAATGTAAATTTAAAAGTTTTAATTTTAAATAAGACATTTTAATTTTAAATGTAAACCTCAACTTGCAATGCAAATCTAAGTTGTAATGATTTAAATCAATATTTATATTTTTTTTGAAAAAAAATTTGTTGGGACCTAACTGTTATTATTTCCTTTTCTAAAATTTTATTGCCATCCACGAAAAAAACACATATACCCTGGTATTGGTAATAGTTTAGCTTTCATAAATAATTAAATATATTTAATGATGAAAAATAGCATGCTTTAAAAAGTTAAGTGATTTGGGATTGTTTGCTAAAATACAGCTTTAGTCCTTTAACTCGTACAATATTTTATTTTAATCTCATAATTTTATAAAATATTTTTTAATTTTTTAATTCTATCGCCGTTAGTTTCATAAATAAAGAATTCATATGTTGAACTTTTAAATATTGATAAAATATTTTTAACATTGACATGTTAAATTTTATTTATTAAAATATTAATTATTGACATAGTAAGTAATCATTTGAAACAAATTATGTTAGTGTTTAGAGGATTGAAAAAATATTTTATAAAATTAAATCGTCAAATCTGAAAATTAGAGGATTAAAATTGCCCTTTCTTCCATTTTTTTCCTTTGGTTAACTTGTTCACAATAGTTCATTTGGGCATTGACATTCTAGAAGTTCATATTCCAGAAATTAATGTTTAACATGCTCTTTGAACTTAAAATAAAGCATCAGCCTAAAATAAAAATAAAAAAAGAAGTTAGACAAAATAACAGGCTTAAGATGCTGACAAAGACATAATCCATTTTTAAAAGAAGGGTTGTGCTATGCATAAACTTGACGTAACTCTCAAGACTCGGAGTAACTGAACATTGAAGACTGTTGAGTGGATATGGCATTATTTTATGACATGCCAAGAATCTTGCAAGGTTGTATGCAAGGTTTTATTAAATGGTTGTTGATGTTTCATGCGTAGGCATTGAATTTTGTAGGTACAATGGACTCGGGCAAATTCTTATAAAAGAAACAAACAACATCAAAGGGAGGATCATCATCAAAATCAATCTGATTAATATTAATATTCACCATAATTCATTTTCACTTCCTAAATTATTCACCTTGCATTTCCAATTTAGTCTTATAATTATTTTCAGTTTCTAGCTGCAATCAACAAAACTCTGTATCTACTTTCACAATAATCCAAAACGCCTTATATTCTAACCTTTTTGTATCTTCACAACACTATAAAATATAATGAGAAAGTCAGAGAATTTTATTATTATCTTTGAGATCCAATATCTTTGATACATCTAGTATTTATTATTTCCTGAAAAACACACAGCAATATTTTGCAAAGTTACGACGAGATATTCATCTTACGTGGAAGGTAGATAACCTTTAACACGTTAATATGGTAGTTAATTAATTTTTTTTTTTGGGTCAACAACTATGGTAGTTAAATCAAATCCCAATAAAATATACAATCCAAAGAATGAATTCGTAGCCAAATATAGATAACGGTCAAACCATCATTTTGCACTGCGGAGAAACATTTTCAGTTCACAATCCATCACACAGGAGAGAATCCATCCGTGTCAATATTTCATTCATTCATACATTTAACATTATCTAGAAAATAGCTTTCCATTTCCACTTTTCCGCTTAAAGCACACCAAAGTGTGGAAGCTGTTATAGCTGTTTATTTCACCGCATGAAAGCTGAAACCGCTCTTTCTGCCTCCGCTCACTCGCCATTCTGATCCAGACCCTTTCTTCTCCTCCTTTCCTGATCAGTTTTTGCCATCGTTTCTTCCACAATGGGTAATGGAGGCTCTTTGAGCGAGGGTGTTCTCAGGAAGATCATCATCTCTTACACCTACGTCGCCGTATGGATCTTCCTCAGCTTCACCGTCATCGTCTACAACAAATATATCCTCGACAGGAAGATGTACAATTGGCCCTATCCCATTTCCCTCACCATGATCCACATGGCCTTCTGTGCCTCCCTCGCCTTCCTCCTCGTTCGCGTCTTCAAGGTCGTCGAGCCCATCTCCATGTCCCGCGACGTTTACATCTCCTCCGTCGTCCCCATCGGAGCACTCTACTCTCTTTCTCTCTGGCTTTCCAATTCCGCTTACATCTACCTCTCCGTCTCCTTCATCCAAATGCTCAAGGCACTCATGCCCGTCGCTGTTTATTCCATTGGGGTTCTGTTCAAGAAAGAATCCTTCAAGAACGAAACCATGGCCAACATGGTCTCGATCTCGCTCGGCGTCGGCATTGCCGCCTATGGAGAAGCCAGATTTGATTCTTGGGGCGTGATTCTTCAGCTGGGCGCCGTCGTTTTTGAAGCTACCAGGTTGGTAATGATCCAAATCTTGCTTACCTCTAAAGGTATCTCTCTGAATCCCATTACTTCTCTTTACTATGTCGCGCCTTGTTGTTTGGCCTTCTTGTCCGTGCCTTGGATCATCGTGGAGTACCCTGTCTTGAAGGCAGCTTCAGCCTTCAAATTCGATTTTGTGATATTTGGGACCAATTCTCTGTGCGCCTTTGCTTTGAATCTTGCTGTTTTCCTGCTTGTCGGGAAAACCTCTGCTTTAACGATGAATGTGGCCGGCGTGGTGAAGGACTGGCTGCTGATTGCTTTCTCGTGGTCGGTTATTAAGGACACGGTCACGTCCCTCAATCTGTTCGGGTATGGACTTGCCTTTTTGGGCGTCGCCTATTACAACCATTCGAAGCTGAAGGCCCTTAAGGCCAAGGAGACGCAGAAGAAGACTACACAGACCGATGAAGAGGAAGGTAGGTTGCTGGAGGAGAGAGAAGGGGACGGAATGGGGAAAAGGAACGAACTGCAGAATTAATTCTATAGCTAATTTAGACAGATTTAGAACGGAAGGGAGTCTGAAAATAAAATGAGGAGGAAGAGCAGTCTTGATATTTTGAATTGGAAGCAGAAAGGAATTTACGTACTCTGTTTTCTTTTTGGCATCCTCTGCTCAAATTGCTAATTCGGTATGGCATTCCAGATCTTCATGTTACTGTTGCTTAGATGTGTCATTGACCAAGAGTTTCAAATCCTTATTGGCTTTCTGTTTCTTGGCATTTTGCTCTGTACTTTTATGTTACGCTCTTGTAGAAACTCGATTTCTGGAGTTTTTTTTACTAGCTCTTTTGGCCAATCTTGTTGTATGCTGACTATTAATTCATTTCTGTTCACCCGAAAAATGCGAACTGGTTTAATCACCCCCAACATGCAGCTAAATCTGTGTAAATTTCGGCTCATTTTGACATGGATCCGTGACTCCAACTGTAAACAAAGTATAATTAAAAAAAAAAATTAATTCCTACGTCGCAAGTTAAAAATGCACAAGGACATGACATGCCCATTTCCATTTGACTGCAAAAGAAGTCAGGTTTCCTTCCTGGCTGGAAATCCAATACATCATCAAAGATTGCGACGCTGTGAAAATAGACCACTTTCTTGTCTTAAGTGATAGAACTGATGAAATATCAAGCAATATATTTGTCTGCCTTAAGTCATAGAGAGCCAGCTGGGTTTTAAGATATTACATGAAACGGAGCCCTATTTGTATGGGAATTACATGGAGATGCAGGTCTCGCCTCTTCAGCATCATTATCTAGTTGAATGAGTCCTTGGAATTTTATGAATCAACATTCTTCAGCAAAGCAAGCGAATTCAACATTCTTGCTTTTAGCTTATCGTGGTCCCTGCTCCAATTCAGGTTGACTTCCGTTTCATTAACGCTGAGTTCAGTACTCCATTTATGTCTCTAGATATAGTAAAAGAATGGGGCTGGTAGTCACCAAATTCAATGTCACAAAAAAAAAAAAAAAAAATGAACCCTTGCCACTTCACTTGACAAGGGACCATTTCACTACCCTTCCTTCCAACGAACCCAGAATCTTTATCGACTCAACAATAAATTCATTCTGATGGTTCGGGTTACATCATCCACAGGGCATTTGGGCTGTCAGTAATCCATTGGTGAAACACTGGCCTGGGCTTGGTGCATAATAAAAGAAGGCCATCTCCCACGATAAATTGGAATCCGGTCATGGAAAATATAAAAGAAAATCTATGTAGCTTTCTCAACTTTCCCAACAGTAGTCTAAGATCAATTAAAAAAAAAAATGACTTCCTACTGTTACTGGGTACATGAACCTGACTGGGATAGCTTTGAAGTGATCGGCCGCTTCTAACCTGGAAATGCCATGAGGACAAACAAAGATTGATGCTTTAGGCAAATGATTCACATATCTTTAATGCTAAAAGGATTTGGTCACCAGAAGTCACCACATGAACACGAACCACTCTTGAAGTGGTGGAAGCGATTGCGGTCCCTCACCACAATCTCTCGGTTATATATCTTTGATATGAACTTCGTGGCTGAGTGGCAATCTTCACAAACGCGCAAATTCTTCACAAATCTAATTGTTGTTCCAGGGGGTGTGTTTATAAGAGCAAAAGCTATAGCAAGCTTTTCACTGTGTCTGTATAAAGAATCCTCTTTGTCTTCTTCGTCAATGTCAAGCAACACCTGTGATGTTGTAGGCACATATCCTGCCCTCTTCATCTCCCTTCCCATCTCATCCATCATTTCATATATTTCTTTGTACTGGTGGTGCGATTTATCTCCAGCCACAAACTCGTACAATTCATTATTTAGCTCTATCATAGTGCTCCCTGGAATCTTTTTCATCCCTTTCATATCCATCATTTCTCTAATCTTGGTTTTCCTCTCCCAGTGCAGCAACTTTGCATAAATGTTTGAAAGCAGCACATAGTTAGATTCATGCATGGGTTCGTTTTCTATTAGCTGTTTTGTGATGCTCTCTCCGAGCTTGAGCTCTCCACGGGCGTGACAGGCAGTGATTATGCTTCTCCATATAATCTGGTTTGGTTCAATGGGCATTTGCTGTACAAAATCAAGAGCTTCTTTTACAAGTCCAGCTCTGCTGAATAGATCAACCATACAGCCATAATGTTCTATCTTGGGCTCAATTCCGAATTTCTCCACCATTGAATTGAAATAATGACGTCCTGCTTCAACTAATCCTGAGTGGCTACAAGCAGAAAGCAATCCAATAAAAGCAACATCGTCAGGGGCCAGTCCTGCTTCTATCATCTCTTTAAACACAGAAACAGCTTCTTCGCCACGACCATGCATGGCCAGACCAACAATAACAGAAGTCCACGAAACTATAGTACGAACGCTCATTTGTCTGAACAATTTTATGGCCTTGTCAATCGCACCACATTTTGCAAACATGTCTATTAGCGCATTGCAGAGCTCCACAGGCTGTTGGATTTTTTCTCGACGAACATAAGATTCTATCCAATTCCCTAGCTCAAGTGCTCCTGAATCCGCACACGCAGATAAAACCGAAACCATTGTGATTTCATCTGGGCGAACTCCCATAACCTGCATTTCCCGAAACAATGCAATGGCGTTTGCAGAACGGCCTAAACGTGCATACCCGCCAATCATCGCACTCCATGTCACTGAATCTAATTTCGGAGTTTCGTCGAACACCTTTCTTGCAAACTCGAGCCCTTCGTCACAACAACAGTACATGTGAATCATTGTGTTCTGGACATGAAGATCGTCATCAAATCCGAACTTCACGACCGACCCATGAACAGATTTGCCTAAATTCAAATGTGCAATGCCCGCACAGGACTTGAGGACGAACGGGAAAGTGAATTTATTAGGGAAAACTCCATAATCGAGCATAGTTCGGTAGAAATATATAGCCTTTTCCTTTGAGTTACTCGTATGAGCATACGCCCTAATGACAGTATTGAACAGGAATGGGTCATAAACACGGGTGTCGGCGTCGGGAGAGAATACAAATGACGAAGCATAATGGATGGCACGAAGCTCGGAGGAAGTGGAGGCAAACTTGGTGAGGACTAATGGGTTGTTTCGAAGACCCAATTTGAGAATAAGGGTTTGGATTTGAGTAAGCTTCTGGATAGTATCGCAGGATTGAAGAAGAGCTAAGCAGCTCTGCTCAGCAACTCTTCGTTTTGTGGTATCGGGTGGAAGTTGGAGATTGGCCAAGAGACTAAAGGTGGTGATCGGACGACACAGGCTGGTCGGAAATCGCATAGGTTCGTTTCAGAACCCCGGACGGCTGATAGCCTAATACCAGCACGCCCGGTTCATGGCTCCATGCTTCAGCGTCCTCTTCCCTCCTTTCATTTGACCGACGAAAATCTACTTCCAAGAAAAAGAAGTCTGAACTATACATTTTTGGCCCAAAATTTTTGGTGAAGACCAAATACTAAAATATAAATTTTAAAATATCAAAATTTGTTTTTAATTAAATTTTTTATACTTTATTTAACCACAATTTAAATTGAATTTGATGGATATATTACTGATAAAAATAAATAAACAAATAAATAATACTAGAAATTAAAATAAGTAAAAAATTTCTTGTGCTTTAAAGATTTACAAATAAGTTGTTATTAAATTTTTTTAAACCAATGAAAAAATAAAACGTAATAACTTTTTAAAATAATTTTTTTAAATTTTATTGATTTAAATTTTTAAAAATAATAATTTTAAAATTATATTGAATTAATTATTAAAAAATTAAATATTTTTTTAAAATATACTGCTTTAGTTAAATTTAATATTATATTTTTATTTTTATTTGTGTGGAATTGAAATCTGCACTACTTTATCTTTAAAAGAGTTTTTTTATAATTTATATAATACCATTTAATTTTAAGGTATTATTAACAAGGTTTATATTAAAGTTATAATAGTCAATTAGATTTATTTTGTAACCTAATTTTAATTTTTATGGTACTTTATAATAAATATTATTTTTTCAAGTCTTTAACAATAAGTTTCTCACAAATAAAATACTCCACAGATAAAATTATATTGAATTAATTATTAAAAAAGTAATTATTTTTTAAAATATATTGCTTTAGTTAAATTTAATATTATACTTTTGTTTTTATTTGTATGGAATTGAAATCTGCACAACTTTATCTTTAAAAGAGTTTATTTATAATTTATATAATATAAGTTAATTTTAAGGTATTATTAACAAGGTTTATATCAAAGTTATAGTAGTCAATTAGAATTATTTTGTAACTTACTTTTAATTTTTATGGTACTTTATAATAAATATTATTTTTTTCAAGTCTCTAGCAATAAGTTTCTCACAAATAAAATATTCCACAAATAATATAATAAATCAAATGTTGATTTATTATTTAAAAAATAAAAAATTTATTAGTAAAATATATTTATTTTTAAATATTATTTTATAAAAAATATAATTTTTAATTTCTGTATTTTTTTAATATTCTAAATTTTTATATTTTTATATTTTTATATTTTAGATTCAAATAAAATGTAAAAATTTTAAAGAAATTTATAACGTTAAAAAATAAAAATTTAAAAATTTAAAATATAAAAAAAATAGACATTTATAATAAAATACTAATAAAATGTATGAATAAAAATTATATTTTTTTTATTTTATAATTATATATTATATATTAACAAATTTAACAACTTTAAACATAATTATAATTACACTGCCCCCGCGCTTGAATCAAAGTCTTGGATTATGAAACTCCCAATCTGCATCCAACAGAGATCCATCCAAAGTTTCAAACCCACCCTCTCATTTCGAATAAGCTGTTTTAAGTTTGTGCTCTCACGTGGCTGTTGACTGGTGAGAATAGCGGCCACGTCAGTCTCCATCCACGATCGACCCCTATATGAATACGAATATATACGATCGAGTCCCGCGCCATGAGGCGCAAGTCGCAGCCAGGGTGATTGCTAAAGCGTACGAGAATGATCAGAAGGATATCAATTTGGTATCATATTTCTGAGGGAGTCGTTGCTAGAGGAATTTCGAAGTTCGGCGTCAATGTAGTTCGGTCTTATTGTGATGGCTCCCAGTCACGCGTTCGCCATCAAAAGATTCCAGGTACCTCCCACACTTAATCAAGTTTTTTGTTTTTGTTTTTTAGGCTTTCGTCGTGAAACTCCATTGTGCTTAAATGTTTAGATTTTCAACCATTCAAGTGATTCAATTATTTGATTTGAATTTTACGTTTCTTTTTCCTGTAACTGTGATCCTCCAGGGCCGCTTGTGCAGTATAGAAGTCTGGTTGAGCAAGGGAAGCTGCAACATGATCCTTATCAAGAAAGTGTTGCTTCAGAGCTAGAGAAGTTGCTTGCAAGGTTGGAGCAGTATGACAAAGAAATGGAGGAATATCAGGTAAAACCTATTCTATTCACTCTCTACGTCCGCTAACAATTTTCTTCTATATGAAATATATGAATGCTTATCTTGTGGCTCTTGGATACTTTTGAATCTTAACTCCTCGCAGGTAAATCTGTTCAACTGGGAGAAGAATCGGGAAAGTGAACGTCGTAGACTCATGATGCAGGAAGTCGAGCTCCAGCAACAACAAGAGGACTGGTGGAAGCGGTTAACCGAGCGTCGAAATAAACTTGTTGAAAGATGGACCTCTCGGTAATTTTTTGGGCCGAATTTGATATGGTCTGATTCAACTTGGCTTTGATGTATCACTTCTGATTTGGAACTTTTTCTGCTTGCCCTTAAAATGAATCCGAACTCAAAATTCAGTATTAGCTAATGTGTTATTATTCCAAATCAAGTCTAAAATCGTTTCTATCTTGATTATTTTCTGAATCAATGTATGCCTTCACGACTTAGGAAAATGCCAAAAAATATGGAGTCAGGAGTGGGAAAATGGGTTTCGCATCTCAATCGTGAGAAGAAATTAGACTCACTGGTCGGTCCTCGTCCAAAAGCTCCACCAGCCCCAAAAGGACTTTACATTTATGGCAATGTTGGCAGTGGTATGCTACTAGACATTGTTCTGTTTACCAGGAAATCAAACTTATGCGGTTATGCCTGCCTAGTTTGGTTTCTTTTTTTAGTTAAATGTATTGCTTGAAGTTTCTGGTTGTCATCCACTGCATTAGATATATATTCTTTACTCAGTTCACTTGGTAGACTTGTGCTGCTCAATTCTTTTATTAATTTGCTAACATTGTGAGTAATGAAGGGAAGACAATGCTGATGGATATGTTTTATATTGCCACTGAACGAATTGTTAAACATCGAAGAAGGTACCACTTTCATGAGGTGGGTCTTAAATATGTTTGGGCAATATGGATCCTAATGTTAGCTTCGAGTTGGGCATCATTTATGCTCTTTCTGAAACATCTGCTTCGTTTATCTATAGTTAGAGTGGGACAATTGCATATTGTGTGCACAAAGTGCTGAAAGAGAGTCATGCTGTTTTTACCATTTTTGGGCAGGCCATGCTAAAAATAAATGAGCAAATGCACAATATATGGAAGAACCAAACCGAGGAGAAGTCTTTGCAATCAAGCATTTCTAGTTGGATCAAGAATCTTCCCTTTGACTCAAAAGCCAAGGAGTGGCTAGCTGCAGAAGAAAGATACAAAGAAGAAGTGCATATGAAAAACATTCTCCTTGCTGTAGCAGACAAGTTTTTTGTGGATCAAGTAGAGAATGAAGGGGGAGCTAGGATTCTGTGCTTTGATGAAATACAAGTAAGCAAAGCATTTAACTCCTGTTATTATGGATACCTGGTATCTTCATCCTTATTTTGGAGTGCTTGCAGTTATTTTCTCCTTTGGCTGGCTTGTAACTTTTTCCATGACCAAATATTGCTGCTCTTTATTTCAGACTGTTGATGTATTTGCTATTGTGGCTTTATCTGGAATTCTAAGCAGATTGCTGAGTACTGGAACTATAATTGTGGCTACCAGTAATCGAGCACCAAAGGACTTAAATGAGGTGTGGTATTTACTAATCAAGATTCATGGTTGGTGATAGTATTTTCACCAGCCAATCAATATTTTGTAGTCCTGATTATTTTTGGCGGACTTGGAACCCAGACAAACTGAAACAAGTTGTTCATTTTTTTAATTATTTATTTTCTGGAGAATCATTGTTTGTGCAGGCTGGTATGCAAAAAGAAATCTTCCAAAAACTCGTCTCCAAATTGGAAAAACACTGCAATAATGTATTAATTGGTTGTGAAATTGATTACCGTCGTTTAATAGCACAAAGATCGGTAAACCAGGTGAGATATATGTTGTATTATTTCTTCCTTCCTCTGTTTTATCTATGGGGAGATTTTTGCATCGATTCAATTTTAAAATCCAAAGAAAAAAAGAGTAGTATGCAACGATTTTCTTTTCAAAGAACTTTGCTCTAACTTAGTAATTTGGTGGAGATTTGCACATGTAGCTACAACATATGCATGATTATTTTGCTTATATTACTTAAAATCAATTAGTATCAAGAGGGAACAACAATGTCATCTAGTTAATTTAGTCACTTAAATTGTTAAACAAGATCCAAAAATTTTGTTGAACGCCGCTAACTTCTTTTTCTTTTGTGTAGGGAGGGGGGAGTCTCCCACAATTAAATTATGAGAAAGTCTTTTCCCCTAGTTGCTTTGCTAAGCATGTGTGATCAACTATGGCTGTTTTTTTTCTTCCTATGGTTGATTTTGCTAGCTGGATCAATGTTAGCTGCATATCTTTCTTAAATATTATCACCAAGAAAGCTTTCAGGCATAGTGATATTGACTTGCAGTAAAAGGCTTCAATTTCAAACATATTATGATCTTAACTAGTATACAAATGTAGGTACATTATTTCTGGTCTCTTTCGAGAGATGCTGTGAATGAATTTGAGAGAATGTGGCACGGTATGACAGGAAGAATGGGAAGAAAAATAGTCTCCAACACTATCTCGGTGATGTTTGGAAGGTAGTTCACTTAAACTTAGAGCTTTCAAACTTAAAAGGTGCGTAATAACATTAGTCATATACTTTGTTTCTGACAGGACACTTGAGGTTCATGAAAGCTGTGATGGAGTTGCCCGCTTCACATTTGAGTATCTTTGTGGACATCCGGTAGATTTTTTTTTTTTTTTTGTGGTTTTGTTATTGCAAGTTAATCTATTGTCTTGGAAGCTTATTCTCTGACTTCATTGGAAGTTAAGCTTGTGAATTTATTTAATCTTTCTGTGGCTGAGTAATAACTAGCCCCAGGAGTTAGGGTATCAATAGGATGGAACCCGTGAATATATAAATTCTGTTGTCTTTGTGGTGGGAGCCTTAACTATGCGCCAGGACAATCAGCGAACACAGCACCTCCTAAGGAAGGATGGAGGGCTTGGCTATAAATCAATAAATAAAACTTTTTAGTTTTCGCTACTAAGGTTTACAATATAATTGGAAATATTAAACTTCTAGCTATGAGCTGGAGTTGGAGAATAGTTGAGCAGAAGGAACAAAAGATCAAAAGAATGGAGACAGCCATGTAGTATGAAAGTTGAAAGAGAGAAATGTTAGCCATGAAAACCGAGAAAACCATGTTCATGTACCTTCTTGTAGAGGACGTTGTGAAGTTACAAATGCCATGCCCCATGCTCTGTTCCTATTCAGTTGTTCTGTCAGTGTTACTTGCGTTCTTAATAGATCTTCATTTTTTAGTAAATTTTCTTTTGTTTGTTTTTATCCGTTTTTGAGAGTGTGAATGTTTAGGCTATGACACAAGATGACTTGCAATTTCTCCTTCTACTCCTACCTCCCCCAACCCCTCTCTTTTTCCAGTTGGGTGCAGCTGATTATATTGCAATAGCTGAAAACTATCACACTGTTTTCATATCTGGCATTCCAGTGATGAGTATGCGTATTCGTGACAAGGTATGGATGATGTTTTTTCTGTTTTCTTTTTTAACTGTGTCAAACACTTCTGATTGATATGGTGCAACACTTTTGTTACACAACATATGGCATATAGTGTCATGTCTTATATCTCTGTCAATACGTATGCTTTCTAGGTTAAAAGGTATTCTTGTCTGATTTTGCAGATTACATGAGTTTCTTATCTACTTCTAAAATACAATGCTTTAGTCTTATGTGCAGATCACTGAAGTTTTTAAATTTAGTGTTGTTGGTATGGCTACACATCATTATCCTGTTTTGAGCAAACACAAACTACTTTGCAGGCACGGAGATTCATCACCCTTATTGATGAATTATACAATCATCATTGCTGCTTATGTTGTTTGGCAGCCTCTTCCATTGATGAGTTATTTCAAGGAACTGAGGAGGGAACACTCTTTGACTTGGAGAGGTAATTTTATCTATTTGTACCAGCTACATAGTAAATCAATACTGATTCAATAGATCTTATCAGTATACACTGTGCTTTAACTGTTTGTGTCATGAAACTTGATAGTTATTTTGTTTACTTTCTCTGTCATTTCACCAATTAAGTGCTCATTTCTGCATTTCTGGGCAATTTTATGCTATACGATGTCAAAATCTCGAGAAGATTAAAAATTTATTCTCATGGATGTGCGTTTTTTACAAATGGTTGGATTTCATGAGAAATTTCCACTGTATAGATTAGTTCATGTTTCAATATATTGTCCAGTTGTTGATTATAAGCCTATACTTTGAATCCAGATGGTTGATCAGAATACGTTGCCTGACGGATTTGTTTGATATAAAACTCTTTAAAAACATTGTGAAAATTTCCTCTGAATGCTCGCTTCCAAGTTCCAAAGAGTGGCACACTAAATTCCGTGAAAATTATGCAGTAAAAGGACAGTTTGCATGTCTAAAAGATGATATTGGCAATTTCATATGTTATTCATCTCTGTGGCATGAAATGAAAGTAGGCAAGAAGAAAGCGCTTTTCCTGACACTTTTCTTAACGCTGTACCATAGGTGAAAGCCTTTTTTTTTTTCAGCACTAGCTTAGTTGGAAGCCCAAGAAGATTATGAAATAGTTTTTACTGCAAGAAGCTTCAGCATTTGCAGAGAGTTTTCTGAACATCTTACCATAGGTGATATATTGTTTCTTGCTCACTTCTAGGTTGCACGGTACCCAATGTAACCATTAAGTTAATTCTACAGATAAAGTTGAGAAGTTATCAATGCCTTATAATTGAAGGTGCATTTACTTGTACCGCTGAACTTGACATATAGCAGTGGAAAATTTGGTAAGGATTACCACCAGTCTAAAACTACATTAGTAAACACGTGTTACACATTTGATAAAGAAGCCATAATTGATTAAATCAGGAACTTGGTCAATAACTCAATATTTTCTGTGGGCCATCTTTTGTGAACTCTTTCAATCGATGACTACTGTTTTACTTGAATTCTATCCTTAAGGCTTACACTTTCTGTCTGCTAGAAGCTGGTTTTGAGTAAAGGATGCTGACTGGATTGCTTTCTTGTTTCTTGGTAATGTGGTGGTCGTAATTAAAAGATGCATGGTGACTGAATCCCTTTACCCTCTTGTTTTGTTTCCAGTTTCCAATTTGAAACAGAGATTGAAGGTGGGAAACTTAGACGAAATGTCTTAGCAGAAGGCAATGTGGGATCAGGAGGTGCCCCTTCTGGTATCACATCCATTCTTTCTGGTCAGGAAGAGATGTTTGCTTTTCAGCGAGCTGTAAGTATTGACCTTTTCTTCAGTCTCTCCCCTGCTTGCTGCTGCAACAGAATCTCTAGTTAGTATGAGTTTGATTAATAATCCATTCGGTGGATCCTGTTCCCGACTTAAGTATTTGGCGTTTTTCATGATTATGTTTTTCTACTACATGGTTGCCGCCTGTTGGTGATCATAATATATGCTAGGTTTTCGTATGCTTTCTTCTGCATCCCAACAGAGCGAGAACTCTACATCCTCATTACAAGTAACTAAATTTGAAGATTTAAGGCTTATTACTGGATGATATAATTAGAATACTGTACAAATGTGTAGCTTCTGTCATCTGTAACCAACTTCCTCAGATTCCAAGGGAACATATTTCATTCATGGAGCATCAGTAAACGTGCTACATGATACACATAACATATTCATTTTTCATGTGTTAATTTGTTGAATACATGATTTGAATACATGATTACATACATACATACATATATACATGCATATTTAGTATCAGTACCATAATTTTTTAAATTTGTCATATCCTATTCTGACATTGTACGATATTGTACTCAATACTAATGCCCATGCATCATGGTACTTCATAGATGAAAACTGTCAAGAGCATAGTTAGTTTAAAATATGAATTGGTTCTGTGTATAATAAATATATGCGTGTCAGTCATCTCCTGTATTCTGTGTTTTTTTCCCCCCAATAATGAGAGAATAAGGGGGAAAATGTGAGCATAAGATCTTTCTCTGTAGGTCTCACGCTTGATTGAAATGCAAACGCCATTGTACTTGGACGGAGTCAGTAATTTCCACCCTTACTTCCAGAGGCAACGTCAAGAATCTCATAAGATATCTCACGATAACTTACAACCTGATATATCAGTCTGAACAGTAACCATTATTTCTGCCAGCTAATCAACTGTTTAAGATGCAGTTCGTGGCTTCAGTTCTAGTGAGCCTACACTTCCTTGCTTTTTAGCAATAAGCATCGGAAGAGTAGTGATTAACTTGGTGGTAATGCCGATTCTTTGTTCCTTATATCCATAGATAGCGCAGCAATGCATAAATAATTAATGTTTCTTTTTAAGTTGTTCTCGATATCGAAACTCTGAATGACGCTCAAGTGTATCAGCGTTGTTGTTAGTAGAGTGGCGAATCATGATTGATCTAGTTCAATGGTAATTTCTTTTTTCTTTTCCAACTTGATGAACTGATCCATAAATCATTGGATATAACAGATGTTGAGGGTGAAATCTGGAGCTTTAGTGAAATGCTTACCTGTTTTACATATTGCTTGTATCTGTTGCTTTAACTTTTACAATTATCCATTCTATAAAGTAAAATACTTGTTCCGATCCATAATATAAGTATTTTTTTTCATCTAACTTTGGTTCAAAATATAAGCAATTTGATATATGTAAATTTGTTTTCTCATTTTATCCTTTATATTTATTAATATATATATATATATGTATGTATATGTATTTGTGCAAGTATACTTTTCATTCATCAATCATCATAGAGTGCTTTAGTAATTAAGATTAGGAGTAAAAAGAAAAAAAAAACAATAAATATTTTTATGAGAATGGAGACTCTATTGATATGTAAATTTTCCTTAAAAACTGTTTATATTTTGAATTGAAAGGACAAAGGAGCATATCATTAAGTCTATATTTCTAGGTGAAAGGCTTATTCCCGCTTATGAACCATCATTTAACAGAGGAAGATAGGAGCAAAGGGTCACAAATCCTAATTCACAGCCATAGGCACTTTATGTAAAATGGAGGAGTTACATTTTATCAAAAAAAAAAAATGGAGGATTTACAAAACCTTGAAGACATGTTGGCACTTTGATGTGCGATGCTTATTTATGAACCAAAATGATTAAAAATAATAGTTCCGCAAGAAGAGTTTTTCTTTTTTCTTTTTTCTTTTTTCGGTAGAAAATTTTTCTTGTCATCACTCATAATCTCAAACTGTGGTTCATTCCAAATGAGGTCGGGTTACGTGTTCTCATTTTCTAAACCAGGGCAGACAAGGGCCAAAGAGAGGAATCAAAATGTAGTTGAAGTGAAAGTCCGCCAGAGTTTTATGGCGATTCGCTGATGGAATCCTAGGGAAGCTTGCGTTCACTGTACATCATTCTACGATCTCCAAAGAAAGCTTTCACCTCAATCTGCTCTCAAGGTCAAAATCAACCTTGCATACTATTTTTTTTTTTTTTTAAAAAAGGCATAACACTACTTGGACTTGGTCATTTTTGTCAAACACGTATTGTTATGGATACAAAAAACGATTTCGTTGAAGATACGCGCATGTGGTGCGAGGATCATGCTCCACGCACTGAATCCAAACGCATATTTGATTTTTTATTTATTTAATGGCACAAGCTTTAAATTGATTAAATGTAAACTTTTAAATCACAAGCGTGAAATGAAAGTAACGTTGAGCTCAGCTAACCCACAAGATAAAACACTCATTTATTGTTAATAAGTGACAACGTTAATGATTAGCATGAATAATGTCTATCTCTTCTTTTCATGCGAATCCTGCTCACTGCAAGACACAAGGAAAACAAAATGAAATTGATAACTACCGAATCTGCGGCTAAATTATCTGTTCCCGTCACTAATTTGGAATCTGTAGTGTCTTAAACGTGATTACAGATTATGCTATGAACATGAGGACCTATTTGCTTATTAAAAAGAAATGAAATGAAATTGATAAAAAAAAATAAAAAAAATACAGTAATCAAAATACAAAATAGAGATGACTCAACCATATTTATAAAGAGGTTTGTGTAATTTAACTTATAAAATTGAGTTATGATTCCTAAAGTTTGTGTTAAATGCGGTCATTCTCACATATAAGTATATGATATTGAGTGTTTTCATATTTATTATAAAGGAGTAGATAATTAAATTCTTTTTTGTTCTTATTTTCTTAATTCATTCTATTTCATTCCTTTTAAACAAGGAAACCGCCCTCAATTCTTACGTCATACTGAAGTTATTTGATTGTGCTCTCACCACTTAAAAACTGAACATTTCACCACTAACAACAGGATAAGATTATTATAAGTCTTCAGCTTCTTTTCTGATGACTTCCCTACCACTTCGCCTCTCCGTATATGCCAATTGCTTACTTGCGTGCTTCTAGTATTCAATGCGTGGCTGCCACATGATGAATTGAGATTTGCATGCATCCATTCTGAATAGATAAATCCTACTCATATTGGGGGAAAAGAAAGAAAAATATATTAATGGTTGAGACCTCGCCGAAAGGATGATAAGTTTGTTTGAGAATTGAGAAAGTTCTCGTTAAGGAGATGATTCCTCAGTCCCTTTCAATGACCATTGTCCCTTTGTCACTTGATTCAGTGGAGGCTTATGCCTCATCTTGATCGGTTCCGAATCCCTTCAAGGTCAAATAAACCTATTAGCTAGGTTCTATATCCTTCGGCGTTGAGTAGCAAAGCTCACTGATTCTTATTCGAGTGTCCAAATACAGAAATATCTCGTTGTTCCTGATCCCAGACCAGAACCTTTTTCCGCTTCAAAGAAGTTCTCTTTTCATGCTCAAATATTTCGTTGGTATATTTCTAAAACAGTGCCATTTAGTGACTTGGGTCTCGTTCTTAGAATTAGAATTGGAGGGTCTCGCTTTCGGCACTAAAAATTCCATCCTTTGATCGAACAACATGGTAAAAGAGAGATGCTATATATATTCTGATCACTTGTTAGCTTATTGAGAACGCTTCTCAGCGGGAATGCCATAGAAAAATGCCCTTGCACCATTGTGTCAATCAGTCACACAATGTTGGTTCTTGGTGCTGAAATTATTCTTATGTAAATGTTTCAAATCGTAAGTACCAGTAAGCATAATTTCTGTTAAATTTATGCTGAACATTCTAGTGTATTACAAACTAGCATCATATTCATGTCTAATTAAGTTAACACGATAGAAATCCACACATTCTGCTAGCAGTATTCTGACTTAAAAGCTGCCTTATTCCTTGAGCCGAATATGAGATTCTGTATTATATCCTGTATGAACAGCCATGGAATCAAGTAGATTATAGATATATATATATATATATATATAAGTAGAGAGAGAGAGAGAGAGAGAGAGAGAGAAGAGAATTGCTGCAAGAGTAAAAGAGGAAGAGGATAGCTAATAGCAGAGAGCACTAACTCGACATATTCAATGTTGATATCAGCATGATGGAAGCGGGAGATGGTAGCGAAGGCACTTTTTGATAAGAGAATTGTGTTAGGACATGGCGATTTCTTGCACAGGTCAACCACTTTGACGTCAACACTGTCCGATTTGCAAGGCCTATTGTTTCCACTCACACACCTTATTCTGTATCTTCTTCCACAGGCTGCTCCGTTATCCCACAGCCCTTCGCTTACCGCCACGAACAGATTTCCCGGCGGAAACTGCTCTCTCTTGCTCCCATCACAAGCAGTCGCTGCCACGCAATCAAACCACACGAATCAATTCATCACTTTGCATTTGCCTTAATTGATTCACTAATTAATATATAATCATTAATCAATCACTCACGTAGATAGGGGGGTCCATAGGAATTAGCTGTGCCAACGTCCCCAACAACTAAGCTTGCTTCTTGGACCAAGAGGCTTGAGAGTAGTATTGCAATACCAAACAGCTTCATGATCTCAAAACCAAGGATCGATGAAGGAGAGGGAATTGTGTTTGTATCAAACTTGGTCACTAGCACTTGATTCTGCTTAATGGCGCATTTTGGTCTCAATTTATAGCCATTGCACATTCTTTCTACAGATGCGTGATGCGTCATTAATTGTTTTACAGTTTGATTTTTGAAGCTGAGCATATATCTCGCCGCCAGGAACAAGAAATCACGACACGTGACTCACGCTTTTATCTTATTGCATCTAGCCATTGATGATGAGAAAGGTGGAAATAACTAATTAATCTCCTATTTTTAACCGAAAACGGGGCCAGGAATATATGTGCCATAAAAAGGAAGAATATTATATTTTAATTCATAATTTTAAGCTTAAATTTATGCGTTCTTTCATATTTATACATATATATTAATATATATTATTTATTAAATCTAATTTTATTCGATATAAAATTTTTTATATCAATTCAAGTCATGCTTAACCCCTCTAACAATACCTAAAACAATAGGCATTAACTAGTCTATATTTACAATTTTAAGTAATAAAATTTATGCATATATAAAAAAATATAGAATGGCGCAACATTTATAAGACATAAACAATATAATTTTATTTTAGACTTAACCCTGTAGATAAATAGGATTCACTCTGGATAGATAAAACAATAAAAGTTTGAAAATAGTGAAACATCACCTTTTCCTAATTTTGGAGAGGTGATGTAAGTCAAATAGGTGATAAGCTCCAAACTTTTCATGCCAGTGATTAGGGTTTGATCTTGCTAGATTCAAGACAAATGCGCACTTCTATTTGATTCCCACTTTTAATAGTGTTGACTCATTATCCACTGCAATTTCATCACATGTTAAAACAAAGTGCTTCTAAATTGTAATTTTCAATTGTCACAGTTTAGAGTTCAAAGTTTCCTAATATTACCCAGGAAAAAAAAAAAAAAAAACACGACTACGCACACAGGAGGTGAAGCAGAGCCAAAAAGATGAGTGAGCACTTTTTTTGCGAGGATCAGAGCGGCAATTGGTGATAGGTGGAGCATGACATTCACCATTCACCCCCCCTTGGACTGTAGCTCCAATGCTAATCCAATATCACATTCCTCATTAATCTAATGATTACTTTATTAGATCAATTTTCTTTTAAACGAATCCTATGAGTGTAGGATACATGGTATCCAAGATATTAATATTAGTAGATGCAAAATAACAATAAAATATATAAAATTATAACAAACCGTATCGCTAACAAATTATGAGCAATCAAACTCGTTCTTCAAGCTTTATAATGTGAAATATACTCAGAAAACTCATCACGATGGTTTGTTCATCTTTTCTTCTCCTTGCCGAATACTATGGGCTAGGCTTATGTCACCATGACCCATTGGCCTGCCTCTGGTTGTTACGAGAAAGCCCATAAATAAGCATGAAACCAAATCCTCCTGATTCAAGTGTTCGGCGGGGACGTTCCAATTCTATCAGACTAAATGGCATAAAAGGTCAAATCTAACATGCATAAATGAGAGAGAAGAGAGATTGAATGCGGAGAGGAGCACCTTATTCCCCACTTGGCCTATGAATCAATTTTTTTCCCCCCTTTTATTACTACTTATGATTGTTACCATTACTTCATAAGGGATATATGCAAACGACCCTAGAAACGGCAGGAGGAGGCGGAGCAAACGACGTAAAAATGTCATCACCCTCCGATGTCGCATGTGTTCACCCGATTCCATAGCACTATTGATTAATCAAATGCCGAGAAAACAGAGAAGCAAAGAAAACCTACCATTATATATACACATCCCATATGGCGTGATGCAGGAGAGAATCAGTTGCTGTGAGGGAGTGACGCACACAGATTATTATCTGTGCCTTCAAGCATCCTTTTCTCCTTCCTCACCTTGGTATTCACCGCGGTTGGAGTCGGATTGTTGAACAAATCAGTGCTGTTTCTTTACGCATTAAGTCGCTCGCATTCCAAACGTAAACCAGAGTATTGGTTTTCTGTTCTCTTCATGCCCTTTTATCAAGATCGATTTCTTTGTATGCCCATTTAGTCAGAAACAAATCTCCCTCCCCATTACAGCCTCCACACGTTCGAAAAATATGAACAAGACGGATTTACATTAAACCCTAGCGTACACCTTGTCCCAAGGCTTGAATTGATGGGGAGGGGTGGAATTCCGTCAATTGATGACGGAAGAGATAGGCTTTTCTCAATCTCAGATTTGGGGTCTCCATGGAGTATTCAAGAGGGATATTATCCTCCCGGAGGCTTATTTGCCAGCGTGAATCAGATGGGAATGGGTTTTGGCGCTCAACCCAATGCTTCTGATTCCCGCGACAATGGCAACGAAAAACTACCCTATGCTGAAATGTTCGTGAAGTATGTGCAATCACTGGGCAAAGTTGAGAATGATGGAGCAAAGGAGGAAGAAGGGAATAAAGGCAGGAAGAAGGGTGGTCTCAAACTGAAAATTAAGGTCAGGAATCCATCACTAAGGAGGTTAATTAGTGGCGCCGTTGCCGGGGCGGTGTCCCGAACCGCAGTGGCACCTTTGGAGACTATAAGGACTCATTTAATGGTTGGGAGTAGCGGCCATTCTTCTACTGAGGTGTTCAGCAATATTATGAAGACTGATGGTTGGAAGGGGTTGTTTAGGGGCAATCTCGTAAATGTGATTCGGGTTGCACCAAGCAAGGCCATAGAGGTAGTATACTGTTGCTCGGTATATCTATCAATTATGAAATAGCTGGTGGCTTACTTGGTTGATTTTGAATGAGTTTTTTTTTTTTTTTTGGTTACTTGATTGCTTTCTGGACACCACCTTCTGTGTTTTGCAGTTGGATTCTACCCTTTGGCTATGAGGAAAAACTTGTTGCAGTTTTTCAGTGTTTATTATCAAGTTTTTGATTTGTGAGATTTATGACATGTAAAAAAAAAAAATTTTAGTAGTTAATAATGTGGCATTGAGTTAATAAGCAAGATTATAATATTACTTAAGAACCTAATAGCAGCAAACACTCAGAATTTTACCCAGTTGCTTACTTTTTGATATCAAGTGTGTCTTTTTAATCTAATGAATGACTGCAGACTTTGTATCAGCATTATAGGATGGCCACCCATAATTTTAAATTACAGAAGCGTGCTGCAAAAACTATTGGTAATGTGGAGTTTTATGAATGATTGGGCATTGGCCATGGCACCTTCGTTTGTAAATTTTTGAAAGGGCAAGCCGCGAAGCCCCCAGCTTGCCTCATTAGGTAGCCCATCAGTTTTATTTTTGATATTTTTTGGAAGAGTTTCCTTGTACCAATTAAGTACATGTTAAAATTGGTATATTGGATTTAATTGATGGTAATTTCCTAAAATTTCTTTCCCCCCACTGTTATTGTGTCACCAGGTTCGTCAGGATTGCCTTGACCTTCATTTGTCGAACTGTTTTTTATTCCTTAAGCTTCCTCCAACAAATATTTTCTTTTCTTTTAAAAGTGTTAATTTATATTTCCCTTAAAGGAAAGGGCTTTTTATGAGCTCGCATTGGGCCCTTTTCCTTCCTTCAAAGTGATTGCCACGACATTTGAGACTATTGTGAGGGGACTTGTCAGAACCCGTTTTGTCAAACTGGATTTTTTACACCTTGACAATACGGTGTCCCATCCTACCTTTGTCCTTAGGCTACACCAAGTGGCATCTTCAACCAGATGATTTAGCAGTTTTATAATCCCAAGTTCTATGGCTTTTGATTGTTGAAATTTTAGCTACCAGTTATTCATTCATTTCTGGAAATAGTTTCTTTAAGAATCACACTTTTCCCGGGTTAATCTAGAAGAATGATTTTCCTTAATTTGATTTTGAGAAGGAATGACATGCCACACATTTAAATGCAAAATGACATAGTTTTAATCGAGAACTAAAAAGTATATTTAAACGTTTGTTATCAGATTAGAGAAAACATGAAAATATCTCAATCTTTCAGTTTCCTAGTTGTTAAATGTTCAGTCTTTGCTTGCCTTGCTTATCCTTCCTGAAGATACATTATCATTCTTTATGGAAGAAAAGTGGGGAAAAGTCTATTCGATCTTGCACATGGTAATGGTTCCTTGGAAATGCATGCTTCAAATTTAGAGAAGTATTTTCTTATTTTTCATGAAGGGATCAAATCTACTCTTTCATGGTATCTTTTTTTTTTCCCCTCCTAAATATATTTTCACCTATTTCTGCAGCTATTTGTTTATGATACAGTCAACAAAAATCTATCACCAAAGCCCGGGGAACAGCCAAAACTCCCTGTCTCTGCATCATTGGTTGCTGGAGCCTGTGCAGGAGTTAGTTCTACTATATGCACTTACCCTCTTGAGTTAGTCAAGACTCGACTAACTATTCAGGTATGGGTGGCCAAAATGTGTGTGTGTGTTGTTGATTTTCCTTTATTTAAAATTTCCCATCCTGCCTGAATTAGAATAAAGAAGAATGACAACTAAGGACCTCTTACAAAGATGAATACCAAATAAGGAACTTTTAAAGAGAGGATGAGTACTGAATTTGAGAACCTAAATTATGATAAGATCTTGATTTGACATCAATTTTTTTATGAGGTCTTTAGTTGTCATTCTCCCATAGAATAAAGAAAGCTTAGGCTGAATTAGTAATTCTGCTGCAGAGAGGTGTTTATAATGGTTTGCTGGATGCATTCTTAAAGATAATTCGTGATGAAGGCCCTGCAGAACTTTATCGAGGCCTTGCTCCCAGCCTTATTGGAGTGATTCCATATTCTGCCACCAATTACTTCGCCTATGACACACTGCGGAAAGCATACCGAAAAATTTTCAAGCAAGAGAAGATTGGCAACATTGAAACCCTCTTGATCGGATCGGCAGCTGGTGCAATTTCAAGTAGTGCTACTTTTCCGCTTGAGGTAGCTCGCAAGCATATGCAAGTTGGAGCTCTGAGTGGAAGGCAGGTTTACAGAAATGTGATTCATGCTCTTGCAAGCATACTTGAACAAGAAGGGATTCCAGGTTTATATAGAGGGTTGGGACCAAGCTGTATGAAGTTGGTACCAGCCGCCGGCATCTCCTTCATGTGCTATGAAGCGTGCAAGAGAGTTCTGGTTGAGATTGATGGCGAGGAATAAGGATGAGAGAGGCAGAATTCATACTTCTACTTTCGGTCCCAGGTGGAATTGCATACTTAACACGTTCGGCTTATTTATTTTACATCTTCTTTTAATAATATTATTGGATATTTTTCCCCAACTTTTTTTTCTTGAAGCAAATTAGGGTGGAATATTGGTTTCCTAAGTTATCTATTCTTTTTAACCACTTGACACTTTAGTCAGTTTAGGCATCCTCCTGGCTATGATGGTTTCACTTTAGGTGTTACTTGTCATACTGTTCTTATTTTCTTCTCTGCATAGTGACTAACCTGTTTTGGTAGGGTGCTTATTTCCTTTATGCTCAATTCTTGACTTCTCGTTGGTAATTTCTGAGGAAATTCTTTACTGTTGATAATGTTAGGCATTTTAGCCCATTAAGTTTTAATTATTTTCAGTCTTGTTGGGTAGAATCAATAACCTTCATAGGAGTTGGAACGAAAATAAGAATGACATTAATAGTTTATATTTAGGTTTGGTGATGCTATGAGAATGACATTATTTTATTTTTATAAATGATGGGATGGAAACATCACATTATAATAAGGGTAGGGTTGGGAAATAGTACCGGCTCGGCCCGTTTAAACTTGACAATTGTTAAGGTCAGGGCGAGCTCGGTTAAGCCCATTTATTTATTTATTTATTTATATTTTAAAATATTATTATGATAATATTATTGATATTCTTGATAATGTTTCAAATATCTAGTTGTTATAGTAGTTTTTTTAAAATTAAAATTTACATAATATTTTGGTTTGTTTAATATTTTTTGGATAAAGTTTGGTTTGTTTAATTATAGACAATGATTTTTTTGTACAAAAAAATAATTGTTTGATCTAATTTAAATTTTAGACAATAATTTGATTCATGTTACATAGGTATGTTAATATTTTTATATTATATTTTTTAATAATAGAGTATTTTTACATTTATATAATTTTGTATTGTATAATTTGAATTAAGAATTTATAAATTTTAAATATTTTATTATTTAAAATAAGAATATTTTTGCATGATCAAGATATTATTGATATTAAGAATTAAGATATTGTTTATATAATTTGACATTAGAGTAAAATTTTATATTATAGTAAATGAATGAATTATTTTCAATTTGGGAAAAAAAAAGAAGAAGAAGAAGTGAAATGGCTTGAAGCCTACAAGTAAGATCATGTTTCAAATATGAGCCTCTCAAAAAGTACTCAAACTTAAACAGTCTAATTTTTTTAAGGTTGGATCAGCTCATTTTTCTAACTCTAAATAAGAAAAACTCAAACAAATAATTATAATGTTGCTTGTGTTTTTCTCTCGTTTCCACCAACTTCTTCAAACCAAAAATGATCCAAATTTCTCAAGTGTAAATCAAGTTTCAAATAAACACCACCAGACTCGTGAAATTGCACTCCAATCCCGCAGAGAAGGCAATATGCTTCAGCAATGATACCATGACAGCAACACAGGCACAAATTAACAACTTAGTTTCCTTTCATCAAATAAATTATTTTAATAAATAACTTGTTTCATTTGGACAAAAAATATCACACCCACATAGAGCTCTACGCAAGGAATCTGACAAGGGCAAATAAATAAATAGTAGAACAAGTACACCATAGGGATTAACCTTCTCTCTCTCTGATAAATCCCCTACACTTGAGCTCCTTCACAGACAAGTTAAATAGACCGACCGACTCTTGCTTTGCCTATATACATGGTTGCATCCTCAAGTCTCTGAACAAAAGGGGAATCTTAACACATCCGAAATCTTCATCATCTTTCATCAAAAAGAACTAGCAGTTGATGCCACATTGACCATTGCCAGAAGCTTTCGAGGTGTCGTTGGTGAAGGGGTCAATCCTCACCCACAGCAAGGAGAATATGGAAGCAAGAAGTATAGACCACACAATAACAATGGTTGGGGTACGATTTTGCCTTCCAAGCAGACCCTTCAAGAATGGATATAGATGGGCAACCACCCATATAGCAAAGAACAGCTTTCCAAATAGAGGACCCCACGATTGGTATCCACTGTTAATGGCGTAGGATACACCAGCAACGATCCCTATAATGTTCACTATAAGGACTGTTGTAGGAGGGATCAGAAGTGATGTCCATTTGAACACATAAAGCTCTGCGAAATCCCCATCATCGTCAGATGCCTTCGACGTCACAGTGAAGTTTGTATCAATCCCGGCAAGCACTTTTAGAAGCCCTTGGAATACGGCGAAGAGATGTGCGGATGTACCACCAATAACCCAGAACTGCTCATTTCTCCACCAGTCTTCTATGCCAACCCCACTCCACCTGAGCTCAAGAATTGAGGTTGCAAAAATGGAGACGAAGAGAAGAATAAACCACATGCTAGCAAAGTTGCTTATCTGCATGGAATTAAGTAGATTTCCAAGGTGAGGAAAGCTCAGCTCAATGATCAGAGTCCAGGGGGCAAAAAGAAGAGTGAATCAATCAGAGACTTCCATTGGTTCACTCAAATTACCAGCTTCCCTCAACATAAAATTATTATATACTTTAGTCTGATTTTAAATATTTTGACTGAAAAATCCTTCATTAACTGCTGTTAAAGATTTTTATAAAATAAAAAAAATGGACTAAGGCACATGCTTTGAAAATACAAGTCTTAGTGATTTAGACAAATAAAACTTGAGAAATCTCGCACACAATATCAAATGGAAATAATCACCCACCTCTGGAATAATAAATTTATTAGTGAGAAGACAAAATGCAGGAAGCACACAATAAGCAATCAGCGGGATTGAGGTAAAAGGGTAGACGATTGTGTTAATATAAGCCAGCCTCTGTAGGGGCTTCAATTTTCCATTGTAGCCATACCATAGGGGACAATGCCTGCTAAGAAAAATCTCGATGGACCCCAAGGCCCACCGAAGCACCTGATTCAGACGATCAGAAAGATTGATGGGAGCAGAACCCTTGAATGCAGGGCGAAGTGGCATGCAATAAACAGAGATCCAACCACGCGCATGCATCTTAAACCCAGTCAAGATATCTTCAGTCACAGAACCATAGATCCATCCAATCTGGCGGAATAAGAACAAGCATGGTTAAGAATTCAAATCATTAATACCGCTTCTGAGATTTCTTTACATTAGTGGGCATTAAATCAGAAGTAGAACGGTAAATTTCCAGTCTAACCTCTTTACCCCATTCTGTCTTGTCTTCATAACCGCAGCTGATAACATGGATTGCTTCCTTGAGCAGAGTCGCAGGGTTAGTTGAGGGAGGAATGCCACCCTGCTCCATGAAGGTGGCGGCAATGAAAACTGGGGACTGACCAAAACGCTTCTCTAGGCTCTTCTGAGACATAAGAAGTGACCTCTCATCATCATACCCTGCAAAAGACAAGAATACATCAATTGAGAATTAAACGACATAAGAAATTCAGCACGTAGAAATCTCAGATGCAAAAGCATCTGTAAACAATGGAGTCAAATGGGAGATTTTCAAAATAGCAACAGACCTTCAACACCCTCATCTATGTCTTCCATATTGAAGATGGGAATGGTGGATTCAGTCCTTTTTGCTGCCCTCTTCTTGTCAATATACTTCTTATCTTTTCCCTTCTTCCTAGAACCCCAACAACTCTTCACAATAATATTGGGCTCCAAATCTTCCTCAGTCAAGACAGGATCATAGCCATACAGAGCCTGTCTATTGAAACAACAACCAGTTCCAACATAGACTGGGCCCTGGACACCATCTTGCCCCTTCATGTTGATCTGAAAGGTAATGAAAGGAATGAAATTCAGCCAATGCATGAAAAGACTATTTTATAATGCTAAAAAAATTAAAGAGGAAACTTACATCAAAGAACACAATATTGCGATTGGCATATCGATCATGCAAATCAATGCCATCAAACCGCTGAGGGAATTGTACATAGCAAGTCTTCTTCCCCAGAACAGGATCCATCATAAAACACATAGCTTCCTTAAGAGCTTTGCTATTATTGAAATAGTGGTCACAATCGACATTCAATAGATACGCACCATTGGTCAGGACAGCTGAAACTCGAATCTGTATCGTATAAGATAAACCCATGTTAATATGTGTACTTTACATTTCTATTAAAGCACAGCCAAAAATATTGCATAATGGCACACTACAACATTGTAAGAAACTGCTAGAAGTTTTGCAGGAAGGAGTGACAATTGAGGTTTCCTTCAAAGTTCAAATTAAATTAGACCACCCACATGATCAAGCATGTGGCTAATAGCATCACGTCCTAAATCAGATTTAGATGATTTGATATTCAGAGTCTATCAGAGAGCATCATTGAATAAGATTAGTACCCAATTTGTAGGTCGTGTTCCAAAATCGATATATGCATTTCTATAGCTAAAGCCAATAAATGAAACCACTACAAAAACATCATATGCTCAATAACTGCACGATTATATACAGCCATTGATGAATAAACGTGCACATCACTTGAACCCAAGATTTGAATGGAACAAGATACTTCAGCGTCACATACCAAAGCATTCATAGCTCCAGCCTTCTTGTGATGCTGAAAACCTGGTCGTTTCTCACGGGAAACATAAACAAGTCTAGGTAGCTCATTTCCATCTGTATCGAGCCCTCCGCTATGACCTAAGAACACCTGTATGCAACATAAATTTTACTCTCAACTTGAACACATTGTAAGGGAGAAGCCACATCCACAAGTGCACTTGGAGAAGGACATATACCTGAATCATTCCAGGATGATCCCTTGGATTATTTCCAGGCCAGGGAGTTCCATCCTGCATTGTCCAGCCTTCTTCTGGCATCTTTTGAGCTTTGGCTACCAGGGCATTGATCCTTACTTTGAATTCTTCATACTCTCTCTGTTGAGCAAAATGATCAAAATTTAGAAGATCTGAAATTCAAAGTAAAAACTGATCACATTCTCCATCGTAAAAAAGAACCTTCATTGCTCGGCGCTCCTTCACAAATGAAGGTTGAATCTTGTCCTTCAAGTAATCTATCTTCTGAGCAAAATAAAACTCGGGGGCTCTTGGCTCAATATTGTACTTTTTGCAGAAGGGCACCCACTTCTTTGCAAACTCAGCAGTTTCTGAAAGGGCTTCAAAAGTCAACATAGCTGAACCATCGTCTGACACATAGCAAGAAACCTTATCCACAGGGTAATCGACAGCAAGTATTGACAAAACAGTGTTTGCAGTGACAAGAGGAGGCTCTTTGAGGGGATCCACAGTACTAACAAAAACATCCACAGGAGCCAATTGAGATGGTTCTCCATCACGATCATATCTGAACAAAAAGTAAGTGTTAATAAAACAGCAAACCCTGTCTTGATTATTAAAGTTCAAAACCCTGAGTAAAAGATATATAAAGAATCCCCACCTTAAAGTAAGCCTGTCAAGATAAGTCTCCCGATTAATGGGAGACCATTTTGGAAACTGATCCAGTATCCAAGACATGGCAAACCAAATCTCACAGATAACTGATGTCAGCCAAAGAGGGTATGCATCTTTAACAGGATGAGTCACACGATATTGTAAGAAGAAGCCCAGAATAATAAGACGGAGTATAATAACAACACGATAAGGGGTCAAGTGAGAAGAAGAAATGGGCACCACACGACTCAAAGGTTGTCGAGCATCATCAACCCTATAAGGAACAAATTCCATTAGATTCAAGAAAAATACAATATTTAAGTAGATGAAAGTTTATAGGTCATATTATTATATATTCAAGATCAAGATTATAACATGAAGATTGTTCTAGGCATCAATCAAATAAACATTGGAAAACAATCATTGATGTAATTACTTTCCAAGTTCAATCAGCTCAAAACGAAACACTAAGGCAAGTGACTTACATTTGCAGTTCTTCTCCATTGGAACCTGTCCCTTCGATGTCACCCTTCCCTTCAGTATATCTACCAGTCATTTGCACCATGTTTTTCTCCTGCTTGAGCTTCCAACCTTCAACCCTTTCTTTCCAGTCAACATTAGGCAGACCATAAGAATTCAAGTCCTTTGAAGGGTCTACAATTCTCACGGGGACTGAGATAGGAAAATTTTTTTATCAACAATTCATACTAACCATGAATATCATATGGTAGCATACATCAGCTCAACTTTATACCTGGTTGCCTTGGATCAATGTAGGGAAGTGAGTGAACCTTTTCAGATGGACCCAGAGGACCTGATGTAGTCCGCACAGATTGGGTATCAGGCGTCGGAATCTCACCAGACATCTGATCATATAAAGAAACAATTGGTGAACTAACAAATATAAACTGAAAATTACTAAGCAAATGGCTGGAGAACTCACAAGACAAATTCGATCATATATTAAATATAGAATTAACTTAAATATTGTTTTATGATTTTACTAATACCACCAAATACAGAATGCATATAATGCTCTTATACTCAAAATAAATAAGAATCACAGCAAAGACGAGAAAAACAAAAGGTCCAAAATATTCGTTGACACTTATTCTTCACTCTTAGATTGCAGTTCACAAATAACGACAATTTACCGCATTTCATGAGTAACAGCTACCACGCAATATTATTTATTATTTTATTAATACCACCATATACAGAATGCATACAATGCTTCTATAAGTGGAATAAATAAACATTTACAACAAAGAAGACAAGAAGGAAAAGGTCTCAAATATCCATTGACACTTATTTTACAGCCCTAGATTGCAGTTTGACTCACTTGATGAGGGACAGAGAGAGGGAGGGAGAACTAGAAGCAAGAAGGGAAAATCCAAAAAATGATCCATGGGCAGCAAAAACAATGAAAAACAATATAGTCATTGTGACCCAATACCGGCTGTCCATTGGTGAGGAGAGGAATTGGTTGTTGAGAATCATATCTAGCAGATGAAGAGAGTTCAGCATCTTCTCCTTCCCACTGCCGCCTAGGTTTCGTATTTCCTTGATCATAATTGAACTCATTCTCAATATCATCAACATCATCCTCATCGTCATCTCCCTCCACTCTTGGACTCCCTGAAACATAGATTCATTTTCTTTATTCCAAAAATGAAATACAGGATCAGACCCAAAAATACCATATGAAGGGGTGGCTAACCTTTGTGCCTCTTGTACCTAGTCTTGCACTGAGGGCAAGACTTGTTCCCATCTTTTCGCTCATATTCATAGCAAGGACGACAGACTGGGAAGGCACACTCATTGCAAGCAACAAAAACATCACCAGTTGCTGTTAATCCCACAGTATCGCCACATATTTGACAGATTTGGCCATTCAAATTCTTTAAGGGTTTGGGCTGCAGTGTGTACACATTTTATGAGTTAGAACTACAAAATTTGAACTAACCTTTTAACCAAGAAAAAAAATTAATTGAAGCATTATCATTTTCAAAGGAGATGCAATACAGAGGTGGCATGCCCCATCCACGGGGATATTTATACTTGATAAAACGCAATTGAAAACAAGTTCGATGCCATTATATTATTGATTTTTAACAAAGTTAATGACGTGATGGATAAGGATCAGAGAAATATGTACAGCAGTTGAGTACATCCCATTAATACCATCAGAGTACTGTGCTTATTTACAATCGTAGTTCAGACTGCAGCCAGACCAAATGGTGACCGACAACTTCCACATTCTAACCTACTATGAATAACTTCAGTTTATGAAAATATCCACAAGACATGAAACTAAAACATCAAGTTCCGCCTTGAATGCATCATTAAGAGAAACGTCAAATTCAGATTTCGAGAGCAGCAATAAACTTCTTCATACCCACCCATCATCATTTCAATCGTATGGTGAACCACCCCAAAACCAAAACCGAAGTCCAAGCATTTTCCATAAATTAATTGACCCAAAAAAGAAAAGTGTATCTGCCTCTGGATAACTTAGACAAGAAAAAAAGCCTAAGAAAATGCAAGAGGGGAGAAGGAGAGAGAAAGCCGCGGGATCAGGACTGACAGACTTAATTTCAAGGAATCTCCAGCGTCTATACCTTTTAGTCTCTTAGAGAACTAGATCTGAACCACAAAAGGCAATATAAGAAAGTAACCGAGAAGTAAAACGAAGCTGGAGAGCGCCAATTGAATCTACTGCAGAGTATTCAATTTGATCACTTCCCCTTGCCACTTAAAGGAAGGGGAAAAAATAAAGGAACCAAATTTTCAATCCACACAATCTCTCACAGAAGATACACATGAAGTTTTTAAACAACAACATTGTTCCCGAAAGGAGAAAAAACAGAAATCTTGAAAGGGATTTATAAAAACACTAACCCCGCCATCTGAATCGTGACGAATTCGGACAAGCTCGTTCCTTTTATACGATCCAGCCACCATTCCGGCAGTGGCTTCCATCTTTTCTGCAATTACGTTTCTCTGATCTCCCTCAGAATGTGCAGATCAATCAAGTTTACGATCGAAAAAGATAGTGAGGGAGATTTCGAACCACCGAGACGGGGCAAAGCTTAAAAATCTTCGCCCGCTCAACACGGCACCCTTCAAAGTCTCTCTTCCCTGTTCCAGCTGCCGATTCAGTCCCCAGTGTGTCTCCATCTGCTTTATTATACCCCTTTGGCTAATTTTATCGTCCTGAGGTATTTCTACTGGCTAGACCGGTTGCCAGTACACTTGCTTCAGTCCCGGTTGTTAACCTCGGTTGAGTTTCTTACCCAATTACTGTCAAGCACTTCAGATTTTCTCGCGGGGGATTAGGATTTTGACTGGGCCCACTGGACTCGTGGACTTATTACCCAATCAAGTTCAAACGCGTGTTGTTACTTGGCGTTACTCTGAAGAGACAGGAAGCTGTGTGAGGACTTCAGACGCCAAGTTTTCCGTGAACTGGTACCAGGCTGTCCTCCCCATTACCGGTTACTTTCGGTACCGCCGGTGTGCATATCAAACGGCTGTCGGTGCCACATGACATAATTAAAAATGTTAAAAAATTGAAATGAAATGAAATTGATAGAAAACTACGTTCCTAACCCCCTTGCAGGCTTTTTTAGTTTTTCCTTTTATGCTGGAGGGTCGTTAAGACGTCCTTATAATTTATACGAATTTGTTAGATATTCCATTATTAATTAATTATTGAATCGTGGATCTATTTTTATCTTAACAATTGATACATCATTGTTATTTCAACGATTTGCGATCCGGTACATGAAAATCACCCTCAATTTTACAAATCTCGGACAAGAAAATTTCATTCAATGACAATCGTCCCATAATAATTTTTTTTATGAAAAAATGATGATTACGTCTCAAAATATTAAATTAATGATAATTAGATCTCTATCATTTTTTAAAAAAATTAAAAATTTAAATTTAAATAATTATAAATTTAGGAGTTGTGATCACAAAATGTGTTTAAATATAAAGTGTAACTATTAAATTGTAACAAAAAAAATCTATTTATAACTACTTAAATTAATATTTATACCTTATTTTTAAAAAAATTTTATCAAGACCTATCTATCATTAATTTAAGTTTATGAGACGTGACTATCATTCTTCATTTCTTCATTTCATATTATTTTGCTTCAGGGCAATTATTTTTTTCTTTAGCCTGGGTGCCATCTGCCATGAGAGTCGCTTTTTAATTTGGCTTTCATGCCTCTATGGCAGTGACGCAGGTACAGGGAATATCTGATACCCCATCCACATCCGCAGACGATAGCAACCGCTCTTACGATTTGCATCATAGAACCCAATGTGAGGGAAATGCCAAAGTCAAATGCTACGTGTTCATTAATGTAATTAGAAGTGATTTTAGTTATGATTAATTTGGCATTTCCTGTTTAACGTACAGCTTCTTAGTTTGTTATCAATTTTGCGTTATCTGATATGATTACAATAATCGATTACATAAATTGATGGTTGCTGCCTGTTCCAACCCTCTTACCGGCTTGAAAAAGAGAATTCTTCCCTGGCCGAGAAAGTTGGCGTTTCCTGCCATCTTCCACGTTCATTGTTAGTTTACGTTTCTGAAAATAGATCTATCAATAATTTAATCCGTGATTGTGTCTAATAATTTAAGAAGCACGTTTTGTTAAAACTATTCATACTTTTAGGAATAGCAGACCAGAGCCAGTTAGGTGGGCTCTTGGAAGGCAATGCCTCAAGTCACACTTCCAGCACTATAGAGGATAATGGCTTCCATAACCACTGCACCGACAGATCACAGTGCCGTAACTAATATCTAGATTTTGCAAAAATCGTTGAGGTTAGTCAAAACTCAATTAAAAAAAAAATGATGCCCCATATCTGAATTTGCAAAGGCGAAAGAAGTGGTTGAGAAATTGAAACGTATACGATGAAACTCCCATCAGAGATCAGACTGTAAACAATCAAGGATCACGACATTCCAACGCACACCTAGTTCTTTCAGCTGCTTTTTCACTTATATTTTTTTTGCCTTTCAAGTTTCCTATCTCTTCCTCTATCTTCCTTTCTATAAGTTCCTCTAAATAGTATATTGTATCTCACATAGTTCCTTCAGCAATGGCTCCAGCACCAGTGCCTCCTCTCCTGCTTGCCGTTGTGTTCTTCAGTATCTGTAAAAGGGCAATAACACAATTACTTCGCAAAATCAAAATTCATATGATTACGTTTTTGTATGCGCAAATCGGCGCAATGCGTGTGATACAGCGCTTTCTGTTTTCAAACAAGCAAGCAATGAATAAAAAGAAAGGGATTTTTGTCCAACATACACACATTACACAATGAGTAAAATGATACAGGCGTTGACGCCTAGGATGGTTGCTGATAATTCTTGAATCATTAATCCCAAACTCAAGAGCTTTTCCCAATTCGCCTCAGTCAAACATGTTCCACTTTAAAAATCTCTAGAAATTCAATCTAACAAAAAATTAATAGACCCAGACCATGAGAAATAGTTACGTGGATTAATCAGAGACTGAGAAACTCACAAGTGACCTGCATGTCTTCACACTCCATCATCCGTGTTTTCCATTAGTTCCTTAAGTAGATTGAACCCACCCACGAATTTCTTATTCAAATTACGTTGATAGGGACAAGTCGGGGACTCAATTCCTTTGCAATAAAGACGACTTAAAAACCAGTAGTATCAATTAAACAAACTTCCCAAATAACAGCCTCTCATCCACATTGCTTCTCTCAAATCTGATTGTTATTTAACAAATTAAAGTGAAAGATGCAAGCCTGAAATCATCCGTGACATGGGCCAAGTTCAAAAACACGTGCAGACAAGCGCACAAATGGATCAATATCAACTCTAGGGACAATCATTGGCCATGATATACAGGTAAAGAGGAAAGACCAACAGGTTTTATCAACAACACAGCCCTACTAATGTTGATCAATGGGCATTGCAGGGGTTTTACTCCCGCACTTCTTTGCTCTAATCAAACCATATCATAACATGTGTCAAGGTCATTTCATATGCATACTTTCCGATTGAAACTGCTAATGTATTATAAACTGTGGATAATTTATTAATAACACTTAACTAACCCCGGTCCCCTATTGTGTTCAAAAAGCGACTTTTACAGCACAAGTCTTGAGCAGTGATTCATCATAGTTGATCTTAATGCCATTTGAAAAGGATTTGGTGCATGAATCATATCAAAAGCCAATTGGCTCAGAATGCTCATTGAAGAACAAACTGAAGTTGAGATGGTAACAAAGATATGACATACATGTCTTAGCATCTGATTCTCGTTCTGTAAGGTGGACAGCCTCTCTTCAAGCTCTGAATTCTTCTTCTCCAAGTCTTTAACCTTAGTTTCCAAGTCAATCAAATATGCCTTCTTCCTCTCCCTAGCTTGCTGCGCTGAAACTCTGTTCCTCAGTAGCCTATTCCATCCACATCCCACCATTAAGAGATTACAGATTTGCAGTTAACAAGCTGTGATGAACTAGTCGCAGGGAAAGGAGCAACAAGGTAAATTCAACTACTCATATTGGTCCAACCTCACGCGTACCTCTTTAGCCGCTTGCTTTCTTTGTCAGCTGAGTTTCTCCCTCTCTTCCTTTGACCCTCCACTGTCCCTTGAGCCCGGTCTGTAGCAGCACCTGAACCGGAGTCTGGGCGAGAGGCGGACGGTCCGGCGGTCTCAACGCCGATCTCCGGCACCCTTCTGATCTCCTCGTCACTCTCAATCCCTAGATTAAGGCAGATTTTTGAAAAGAAATTCAAATGATCTTTTTCAGCTTGCACAGTAAATGAAACCAATGCAACAGGAAGGGCAACTACGGCTTTGCAAATTCTATATGCAAATGATTTTTTTGTTAAAATACAGAAGTCTGGCGGCAAAAATATCAAAAACCACAAATTTCAGATGAAGGGACATGAAGCTTCCAGAAATGTGGAAGAATATTAACCATATTTATTGTGTGCAATTAGCTTCGTCTACATTTAGGCACTACTGACGGTCCGTCGGTGTCTCTACCGATACAGAGAGCTCTTTAAATGTTAAAGAGTTTATATTTGGCCAACAAAAATGTTAACAGAGATTATGATATCCAATTGATGAGATGATCAGCCGTAACAAGAGCAGAAAGGCATTCATAAAACATTTGACCTTCTTTTACTTCCAGTTGGAGAGCTGAACTGGATGATTTTTCGCTGCTCGAAGGCAGAGAGCTTGCGGCAATAGAACTTGTAGCTTGCTCCTGCATTTTGCCCCCACGAGACGACAAAGCCAGAACGAAACAGGAATGACCGAGTGGATTTCAGCAAAAAGAAAAAGTACTTGACGATTGCTACTTAAGGAAGAAGGAAAAAAGCGGGACGATAGATGTCACACAGAGAGTTGAGCAATTCACAGGAAAGATGTTGACAGTGTGATTATGGCCGTTGGATGTAACTGAAATCGACGGTAACAAGGGGACAATCGTGGAAAAATATAAGCCATGAGGAATCTGCACAATCAAAGGCTGCTTCACGAGATTATTGGTCAAAAATTAAAAAGGGGGGTTATGGGAGATCGTGGAGGAGCGTGGAGTGTTGGATTGGTGTTGCATCCAACGGACCAAGAATGTGATGGAGAACATGGAATGTAGACCGGACCATCGCACGTGCTCAGTAGATTCAAGGGTTGGCACCGTATAGGAAATGGAACAGGGTAGAGTGTGCAGGCATTATCCCCAACTTTTTTTAACAGGAAATTAATTTTTTTGGAATATTAGTTTTTTGGCTCTTACAGCATATGCATACATACATGTTTGTATCAATATTTTAAAAATCAGACCGTATGTAAGCCAACAACTCAACAGGTTTTAGTTTTCGCAATTTAGTTGGTTGATAAAATTGGCAGTATGATAATGTAGTGATTAAATAAAAAAATATTATATAAATATTGTATATCCACGTATGCAATGCACAAGACAAATCCAAAAACAACTTTAGGGGGCCAAAATATAAAATTGCATAATGATGGTTGGGCAAAAATTAGTCTTAATATTTTTTACAAATAAAAATAAAATAGTTTTTTAAAAAAATTTGTGACATGTAAATGTTATATTCCCACGCTTAGAACTTGCAATATCAATATGTGCAATCTTCCCCCTCCAAAGAGTCCAGAACGCCATGTTGCGTCGTTCTTGTGAACATGCTTCTTTAGTACTTGGTGAGCATTGTATTGTAGCCACGGAGGCCCCTCACAGGAGAGATTATTGTATTTTAGGGGTATAAGACCTTGAAATTTTTGTAAACTCGTACGAGTCAAATAAAATTATATTTTAAGGTAAAAATTTGAACATGTTCCTAATTTAAAAAGGTAAATACTTCATACTAATGGCTTTGGAAAGTTTTACACCAAGTTTAATAATTGGATTTGTTAACTACAAATTTTAAAGTTTTATCATATATTTTTAAATTGCGGTTATAAAATTAGAAAAATTGAATTGTGTTGTGAAAGTATGAAAATTGTCTATTTAATGTATGGTGTGTGTTTATGAATATAAAATACATTTATAATTATAATTCAGGATGCAATGTATTGATTATAAGTTAATACTAAAGATGATGAACATATATAACCGTTAATATCAAAAGTTGATAATTAATTGAATCTTGAGTATGTAGTATGTATTGTGATTGACAAGTAAATGGTGGATTGAGGAATTTTAACAAGTCGGTATATTCTATTTCATATTTTGTGTTGCATGTTGTCCAAGAGATTAACAAGTAATTGTTCAAATATTGACGAGTAAGTGTTTGAGTTGTAGCAAACAAATATTTGATCATTATGTCCCTTAAAATACCCTATTATTTGAAGTATTTTATGCAAAACATTTGAAGAGATTATCAACCATGAATTCTAATATTGACTCTAGTGTCAATTAATTGCCAATACACTGGTCAAATTTTTTTGTGAACAAAACCATAATCACCTTCTAAATTTGCAAAAAGCAAAAATTATGAATAGGTCTCATAAAAGTAACTTATTTAAAAATAAGTCTTGTAAATTCAAAAATCATGACAAAATCTCTTAGAACTTAAGTGTAACTTGAAGTTAAGGTAAAAAGACAAACTTCTCATGTTAAAATAATTGAATTGTATCTTGAAAAAAAAAACTAAATCTCTTCCTCTCCTATGATTGATTCAACCCTGGCCTATTCAAATGGTTCCTTGTTGCTAAAGGTGAAGCATGCAAGTTACAGAGGCGAGATGTGAGAACAAAGATGAAGCAAGCATGGACCTTGCGAACTAGAAGAAGGTGAATGATGTGGAATTAAGAGGGAGGTGAAGGCAAGCGAGGCACCTTATGAGTGATAAATGTGATGAAGACTCTGTTTAAGCTGTTTGTTGGTAATATCTTACCCTGTCATCGATATTATCAATGTTCTTCTTAAAGTTGCCTATGAATCCAACTAAGAATCGTATAGCCAATTCTTCTTTATTTGGTCATTGCATTTCAATTTATCATACTAGACTTTATGGGGCAGACTTAAGGGATGTCAAAGCATACCTCAATGGCCAACTTTCTTTGAAATCTTTATCTTGCCCTTTGATTAAAAAAAAACAATTACCTACAAATCTCATTTTGATTGCACTATAATTTGATTTATGGGGACTTGTTGATTGTTGAAGACTATGAACTATGAATTTTGTGTCCATTTTTTTAGTTTTTGTTGGTTTGATTTTGTTTTCACAGTTATAGCATCATACTTATTAACTATGATAAAAAAAATAGATGCAATTTTAGCTATAATATCTCATATATCTTCAACTCATATCAATGCATGAGAGGTTTTGGAAGCAATAGGTTGTATCTTGATGGTCCAAATGATTGTAATAATTTAAATTTTACCAAATGGCTGGATCTTAAGTTAGTCAAATGGCCTCATTGTTAGGATATATGTTCTAATAAATTGTTAGATATTTTAACAGACAAGTTAGATTGGTTTTGTCCCATGTCTTACTGTGAAAAGTACCAAGGACTTAACCTTGAGGAATATGTGTTGCTTGAAAATCAAGCTATATGAGATAAACCAACTAAAATTGCCCTTCTTATTCTTTATTTTTTTACGATTATGGCTAGCTAAATTAATTTTACTTCGCTTTTTTTTAATAAATATAAGGAAATTATGCTTTTGGGGGGGGCAGGTCAATGGCTGGCTAAATTTATTATCTTTATGAATTATTAGTACTCTTCCATTTTGCTTGAAACACACAGAATTGCCTAACTCATTGAAATGTCAAGTCTAAATTTAGATTTCATGCTTGTAAATTATGAAATTTTGGTTGTAGAAGAGAGAGCTGTAGATTTGGAACTTGTAAGTTAAAGGCACATTATGATAAAATCTTCCACAATCATAGATTTTATCATATTTACAATTGTCACTTACTAACTGCGATTTACAAGTATACATTCTTAATTTATAAGTCATATTTTATGTTTTACAATGTTAAAGCTCTCAACAACTCTACCTCTTCTTCAAGATCCCCACTTCTAAGAAGTTGTTAAAGGTACAATTATGATTGAGGCTTGTTGTTTTAAGAAAGAAATTACATTTGATAAGCTGTAATTTTTTATTCAATTCTTACAACTCAGATAACAAAAATTATTATTCCTTAAACAAAAGTTGTGTCGGGCCTTGTTATTTTTAATAAAGATAAAATGATATTTTCACCTTAAAAATCACCATCAAAGTCCTCAAGAACTTTAATAAAATTATGACATTTCGAGATATTAGACCATCATTTATATAATTTGAGAGGATTTTATTATCATTTTTTCTATAAGATATTAATTAAATACTTTTAACTTGGTATTGTCTAAGTCTACAACTGTGATTGATTTAAGGGGAGGAGAGGGGAGGGATTTTGAATATTTTTTGTTTGGTTCACGAGAGGAGAAGAAAGATAATAACTAGTTTATCATTATACCCATATATTATTTATACCCATGCATGCTAGCTAGAAAGTGTGAAAAAATATTAACTACAAAAAATGAACGAGGAGAAGGATAGATAAAATATTTTTCAAAAGAATTTCCAATATAATTAATTGCAAGCTTTTTCTTTATATATTTAAAAAAGTTATCTCCCTCGTTCCAATCTCAATCGGCGCCTCACCTCTCCAGTCTCAACCCCTTTTTGCCTCTCTCTTGCTCTCACTCTCACTCTCCCTCTCCCTCACCCTCATTCTCACTCTCTCCCTCCCTCCCACTCCACCAGATAGTTAAGGCTCCTCAAATCATGATAGCACCTTCCATGGGGTTCACCATGCTCCACCAGTCTTAGACAACACCACCCATCACATTGCACTCCCTTTCCACTCGCCAATGTACTAAATTCATATCTATAGCTTTTATTTCAATTAATTTAAAAATGTGAATGATTGCTATTGGTTGAGATGTTATTTTCACTAGCTCACTTGATTAGACTGCAACTAAAATGACAAGGTAGAAGAGTTCAATAAGACGATTATCCCGATAAAGGAATGCTGTCAAGGAAGGGCAAGATTGTTAGAAGTTTTAGCTCTCATCTAAAAAAACCCAATTTAAAAAGGAGTAATACAAGGAAAGAGGAAGAGGCATTTTATCTGGCCCCTCCAAATTTTTTCAACTAAATGAGGGGGAGGGGAAATTAATCCCATAAACCAAACATATCCTTGTGAAGCCCATACCTACTTCCTTTTTTGTAGGATCAGCGAGACAGGCCGAAGCCTGGGAAAGCCCATACCAACTGTGAGCCGCTAGTAGCACCAGCGACGCAGTAAGGCTCCAGGGCATGGGCCAAGTTATCACTATCCGAGATATTTTTGACCAGCATCATTATTCAATATAAACATTAAACAGGCCCGGAAGGGGTGGGGCACCTGGAGGCTGGAGGTTCCACTAGCGGAGAAGCAGCAGTATCCCACCCCAAACCCCCCCCCCCTCCACCCAGTGGTTCCATCGCGTCGACCATGGCATCGACTTCAAAAGTTCCGTCGTCTTCAACATCTGCATCCGCCTCATATTCTTCCAGGCGATGGGTCAAGAATATTTCGTCCATAGCAGCTCGCATCTACTTCCTCCTCATATTTTTCCAGATCCCTCTCTTCAGGTAATTCAAATTTCTACCTGCTTCTTGTCTTGTTTCTGGTGCTGATAGAATTGTAGTTGTTCATCATAACAACTGATGCACTCGTATTACGAATTTAAGATGCGTAAGGAAATCTTACTTGCACTTTTTTGAAGTCTATCATTGTGTTGATTCCTTTTCGTCGTACCTTTGGGAAAACATTATTTAATTTATGTTTAGTAGCTTCATTGGTTCATGGTTTAAGCGTTCAACCATTTCTTCTTTTGTTTTCCAGAACATCTTACTGTGATTTAGATCCATGGGCAGTTCAGTTATTGGATAGCCGTGAAGTGTGAAAAACAAATGAAATTGTCTTCGAGAGGGGTCACTGTCTGATCATTTGCTTGAGTTTGCTTGTCGTTGACTTTTTTCCTTAGAAGATAAATATCATATTGTTGTCTTTAATACATTAGGAAATAACTTTCGGTTTTATCATATTCCAAACTCAAGTTTTGTCGCAATCTAAAAATAAATCATTTCAATTGCGAATCTGAGTCACTCGTTGAGCATGTAACAGTTACTGTGCTCCTTAGATGCCAGAATTGTGAGATTGGTAACCAATCTGACACCGTTGATTATCAAAGCCTGTCATAGCAAAGTTGATCACGCAGTATTAGATCTCATAATTGGCAGCAAATCTGAGTTATCATGCCCTGCCGAAAGGATACTTAAGCAGTTAATTGCATGCTCTTTTCGTTGAACTACTGTTTTCACAAGGCAATATTTGGTGTCAAAACGTCTCATTAAATTGTCATTGTTTTGATAAATATGACTATAATGTGACTTTACATTGGTTGGACTTCAAGCTTTTTTAATCCTGAATTTTTCTTTGAAATTGATTTTCAGATACAATTTTTATGCCAGGCACCTGCTATTGAATTTAGATATTAGTTCAACAATGAGCTCACGCCTGTGCTGATAGATTACATTTATAACACATGCGACTAAAATTGTTGAGGCTCTCTAAAGTATGAAAATCAAAAGTTATTAAGGATCTCCTGTTAAGAGTTTTATTTATTGAATCTTCATTCTTAATGTAATGACTGCTTTTGGGACTAGCCTTTCGGGTTTGAGGCGGCCTGGTGGCAACTCACCTTTAAATTTTTGTTTGACTACCAACTATGATAACGAGGCAATTGCGTTTGTGTCCGTGGGTTATGTTGTTACAGAAAGTGCAACAATGTATTTTAAGATTGATGGTTGACTGCTTAAAATGACCTTGATATTGGCATGTTCTTGTTTCCACTTCAAATATGTCCTGTGTTTGCTGCGATGAAAAAACATGCAATCAAACTTGTTTAGTTTCTAATTTCTGAGATGCATATATTAATATACGTTCCTCCCTTTCCCCCATTATCTATATTTTTCTATTATAGTTAGATACTATACATTTTAGCATCCAACACGTCTGAAATATGTCTGTCTCTTTTACAGGGTCACTTGTAGATCTGGTGTCTGCACAACCCCAATGCACGTCACATCGTCCCAGTTGATCGCAAGTGAAATATTTCCCGTTCCTCTTATTAAGGCTCTCCTATATCCTGGAGCTGTTATAAATGGCCTTATACAAAATAAGACTGTTCCAAGCTGGGATGATTTATTGGACATATATAACTTGACTAGTATAAAGGAAGCTTCTGCAGTAACTGATCTCCAACGCTTAGAGGTTAGGCCACTCTTTTTGGTCACTTGTTATTCTCTACATTGAGTGGGCTTCTATCCATTCTCTTTTGTTATTGATGCTTGTCATATATTCCATTTTGTGGATATTTTCTATTTCTATTTGTCTTTCGAGAATAGTGTTATGTTTACTTTTAAACGATTGATGGCTTGGTGCTAAGTAATTGACCAACTGAAATATTTTTAGCCTTTGAGATCATGTAAAATTTCTGGTATATTATAATTAACCGTTGATTTGTGTTCATTGTCATTATTACTGTGACGTAACAATTTGTCATTGCTTCACAGGTTCTTGCAGGTAGCTATTTCTCTGTGGCAGGGGCGCTCGTGGGTCTTTTAAAGCCAGGGAGAATGAGCATGTTCGGGACACTTCTTGTAATTTGGGGACTTGTGAAGGAAGGGATTTTAGGAAAACCAGTAAATACTGACCCTTCTAGAGCTGTGTACGTGTACCCGACAATGCTGATTGCCCTGATATGCGCCTTCTCATCAGTGAAATATGATGTGAAGAAAGTTGTTGGATCAGTCCCTGCTCGACCTACTGCTAAACCACTTCAAAACTCATCCAAGTCTAAGCTTAAATAGCCCTTACTTGTGTTCCACAATTTTTCGGTTCAATTGTTTATGAGTACATTTCTATGCTTATCTCTTGTGTATTTATGGTCCTTATGGATTATAATCACATAATTTTGGTACCTCGGCAACTTTGAGTTTCCTCGGTAGGAAAAATCATTGAGGACATGTGGCTAACATAAGAATGTTTTTTCATTGTTTTTTTTTTGGGGTTATTTTAGTCAAAAAATATAAGTTCATGTAATAATCACTTGATAACAAATCAAAAAGTTTTTGTTTTCGTTTGTCATGACGAAATTCAAACCACACTTTTGTAAGATACAAGTTGATATTTACTATCTGCGCCCCTGTCAACTTTTTATTGATGACTTTAATCACTTTTTGTCTACAATTTTTTTTTTTTTTAACAAAGCAAAAATTGACCTGTTTGTGAGAGAGAGAGAGACAATCCCTCTATATTGTACAAGAGTCCTCGCTGTAGTAACTATCATCACTCAAATTAAATTATCCTGGTTCTCTATTTCTAATTAATTTGTACTTCCAATTTACTGATATTTAAAACTATATTTTATTTTTATTTAATGGAACGTTTTAATCTAAAAATTATTCATTGTACCCTTTAATCAAGGACACTTAAAAAAAAAAAAAAACATATCAGAAGTAAAATTAAAGTGCTTATCCTCATATACTTAATGTACTTTTATGCTTTATTCAATCAAATCAAAATAAATAAATTTTAATAGGTTAATAATATTAATAATAAGAGTTTGTTATACAATGAAAAATATATAAAGATTCCATATGTTTTTCGTTAGTTGAAGACAAACACTACAAATATATAAAGCTTAGTATATAAGTTTTTTTCATTTCAGAATTATCATGCTTAGGGATCACCTCTTTCAAAGATCTTCTGAGTTAATACATATCCTAATTTGAAATCCCATACTTAAAGTGATCATAGTCAATTAATTTTTCATTTGGATATGCGTTGTTATAAGTTTAAAAATAATTAAAAAATTAACACCAAACATACCACCAGTATCTTGAAATTTTCTAAATAATCAAATATAAAATAATGATAAATTTACCTAAGAGCTGAAATGCACCAATACTTGAGGTTTTTTTGTTTTTTAAAAAAAGGAAATGTACCTGTATCAGTTAATGGTGTGTGCATGTGCACGTGCGCGCGCTCATTTTTATTTTAACCATTCAGGCTTCATACATGTTTTAATAAAATTTTATGTTTCTCAAAAAAAAAAAATTGTAGAATTGATACAAATTAAATGTAATAGACAGGACATGGCGGGCCCTACATGGGGTTAAGTTGAACCGGCCATATCATGTTCGGGGCGCTTAACGATAAAGGAGCAAAAATGCAAAGAGTGTGAAAATTAAATAAATCCAATAGGTTGCACCCGGAGAGAGAGAGAGAGATGAAATCCAACATGCCTTCTTTATTTAGATGGTGTTGCTCAATTAATCCAATCTTAGTGAAGGTAGCTTTTTGTACTTAACATTTGTACGCTAGTACGCTACCATGACTAGAATTCTCTCGCTATTAGTACAAAGGACGATGGCATACACAAGAAGAGGCATAGACAGAATGCTCCAACAGTAAATAAATCACCAAAAATGGAAAGGAGAAGTTCAATATGACAATCCTTGTTTTATTGCTGCACCACTTGTATGATAGAACAAAGAGTTTGGATTAAAGAGAGAACAAGGAGTAGGATTCCAGCAACAGAAGCAGCAATTTGCCAAGGAGTGTTGCAGTAATCACGCCTCAAAGTGGCCTTCATGTTATGCCAAGGATCTTTACAGAAGATATTCAGGTCCTTGCAGAGTTTTGAGTAATGGGAATTGAAATTTACGTGCGTAACATTTTTCCAGAGGCTATTGAATAGGTTGGCCACAGAATTGGCATCCCCTAGCCAATTAAGGATGACTCCATTCTGAACCAAGACATCCACATCTTTGCTAGTGTTGATAAGAAAGTCCATAACAGCAACATAGTCAACAATGTAAGAATTAGAAGGGTAGTGACATTGCTCTAATGCTACTAAATTGCGTAACAAAGTCTCAGTCCAGTCCTCCACTTTCAACTGTGGTATTTCAAGAACTCGCCCCGAAAATTTTATGTCCATTAAGCACGGGCTTGTACTTTTCCTAAATCTTATCCCTGCCTCAACTAACTCAGTTGCGCTCTGAAGATGTACCAATGATTCATGCGATCTATTTGGTCGTCTACTTAATGGTTGTAGGTGAAACGTTCTAATCAAATCAGTGAAGTGGCTTATGCTGATATCATGAGGGGTTAATTTCATGTTGTTGTAATAGGCAAAGTAGTCAAAAGTAAGTTCAAGAAATGAAGGGAGTCTATGATCGATCTTGCTAGAGGGAAAAGCTATATTGAATAGCCTCTCAAGAATAAAGAAAGGTAGCTGATTCTCAAGTAAAAACAAATCTAATCTCATAGTAGTAACTAGCCATGGTTTTAACTGAATACTATCATCTTGGGACCAATCATCATAATAGGACCTTAAAAAGAGCTCAAATAAGAAACACGAATCCACTAAAATCACCTTCACAAATTCCTTAATACTAAGCTCAACTGTGTCTGAGTAACAACGCCGAACACAAGGCTCAACCTCTTCCACGGAGCTAATTAATCTATCCAAGCTTATGGAGGTGGAAACTCTTTCAGAAAAATGCTTGACATACAGCAACTTGAATTTTTCCATGTTTTGTAGTCTAGGATGCCCGTAGTGAAAGGGGCCAATAGAAACAACCTTAGGGGTAAAGGTATCTTCATTCAATTTGCGAATATCATAAGGTACCCTATAGATGCAGCAGTCAGCAGTCATGGCCGGTTCTGCCTCGTCCAACATTGCGTTAATTTCATTTACAAAATCATGGTGGTTCCTGATTGTCATCTAAGGAAATAAGCAGTGAGGAACACAAGAAAAATTGAAGAAACTAATGAAAACGTTGAAAAAGTGTAGGATTATAACCAACACATCACAATATCAGTACTAATTTAAGAATGCATTTGGTAAATGAGAAAGGAAACGAAAGAAGGAAAGTGACAAGACTCTTGCGTTTGGTTTGATGGAAAGGAAGGATGTTTTCATACCCATAGCATTTTTTAAAGTGCTAATGGGTTCCATCGAGCCCATTTTGTTCGTGGAACATTTTTGCAAGTATGGGAATAAGAATAAGAATAAGATTTGATAGAATGAGATAAATATATTTGGTATGTCATAGAAATAAATTGACATTTGTGCTTAAGAATAAGTTTTTTAAAAAGTTAATTAGTGTTTATAGATATCTTCCCATTAGCAACAGTCAAGAATGAAGAAAAGATACATAAAATGAAAAATAGGATAACAATAGATGTGGAATCAAATGGGTTGGAGCAGCCAAATGGAATTATGTCTGCGTGGCCATCTTTTAAGATTGTTTTTTATGGAATGAATATAACAGGCAAACAAAGATACAGGTAAATAGGAAGGTAGCTCTAAAGATCGATTCAGAGATTCAGCAACCACCAGAGTTCAAGCAAGCAGGTATCTGCATATGTCACACTTCTCCAGAACAGAAAGGTTTGGTATTGGAGAATCAAGGGAAGGATTACAAGATACACGTTAAATTTGATTTTAGAATAGAAAAGGAAGAATGCAATTTAAGGTCATAGAAATATGCATCGAGTAAGGCAGAAGTGAGGAAGAATGCATCCAAAGAACTTGGTAGAAATACGCTTGTTTTTCCCTTTGATATTATTATACACATCTCTGTCGCTTTAGAAATTTATATGTATACATTCATATACATGTATATGATTTGCGATCAATAAGACCTATGCAACGGAAGCATTACAGTTCATCATGGAAAGCAGAACACTGACAGCAAAAGGCATGAGCACAGAGAAACATCAGGTGACTGTTGTTTTAGTATTGCTGTTAGGAACATGTAGAGACATGTCGAACAATAGCAAAAGGTGCTGGATATCATTTTTAATTTTTCAATCAACCATAAGTGTCTTCCACACATGACAATGCCAGGTTTCACACCCACCTCGGATGGATAAAATTGTGAGCTTCAATTAAATTACAACTTTGCAAATGGGATTTCTAAGTGTCGATTGTTCTGCACTGAAAATACAGGACAGGTCCTTCATAAAAGAAAGTCTTCTAATGAACACTTAGAAATCTAAAAGCAAAACATAAAAACTTTTTCTAAATCTGAGTAATTGGAATGGACACTACAATTCAATAGTCGAAGCTTCTCCTTACATTCATTCTATTAATAGAGTTCCCGAAGTGGCTCAACATCAACTCAGTTAGAAAGAAGCTATGCTCCCCCCCCCCCAACAGATCAAACGGACCAACCTCAAAGCAAAGCAGAAAGAACAGGCACAGCATGCATAAGATCTAGGAAAATTAAGCATTCGAAGGTCAAATCCAGTATCTGCAAAATCCAAAAACCTCCCTCTTTCTCTACAACATTGCGATAGTGGTTAAGAAGCGATTTATTTAAAAGAAGTCCGAAATATATAATGATAACGACGCCTATGAGTCGATGAAATTTCTGATTTTCAAGTATTGAGAGTTTCGTGGCTTAGTCGGTGCAAGAGGATGAAAAAGTGAAGGGAAACAATTATAATAAAGCATACCTTGGGCTGTAATGTGTTTTTGGGGTACAAGAAGCAAGATGCTAAAGCAGCCACGAAGATATATTTCGCGTCGAGAGAGAGAGATGACTGATGACGAGCAAAAGCGGGCTGGGGAAGAATGATGAATAATTAAACACTACTGATAATTTTAAAGATTTTGTCTTCTTCATTTCCTGGATTTCTCCGCCTTACTAGTTTGACCCACCACCCACGTGCGAAAGAAAAGAGAAATAAACGGTCTTCAGCTGTCAATGTCGACTCGTAAGGTAATATTTTTTTCAAAAAAATAATATTAATATATTTAAAATCTCTCCACTTAAAAATATAAAATATTTTTATTTAAATTTTATTTTTAATAAAATAATTATTTATTTATTAAATTAATTCTATCTTTTTTTATTTTTATTTAATATAATATTTTATTATTAAAAAATATAAAATGTTATACTTAATAAGGACACTTAAAAAATAATAATAATTACAACTTAAAATGATAATAATATTTTATATTTTTTAATATTTAATTATTTAAAAATTATTTTACGTTTTTAAATAAAGAAAATATATATTTATTATATGTTTATTTAATTAAATTGATATATATGTATTTTAATGTCTTAAAGATATCAATAAAATTATGACATTATATAAAAAATTATTTTCTAATCCCTAAGAACTTGGCTGACATTTTAATTTGTTATGAAATGACATATTTGCCCTACTCCCTCCCTCTTTCTCTCTGATTCCCCGTCGTCTATGCTCTCCAACCTCTCTCCCCTTCCTTGCATATTTAATTTCTGACCAGAACTAGCTAGAATAACTAAATTTATGCATCGTTATATGGATGCCCCTTAGCTTCACCATCATCATCTATAACAAGCACATCTTCGACTCCAAGATATAGAATTGGCCCTTCCCAATCTCGCTTGTGTCCTTGTTCACGTCTTACATCTCATTAAGCCCATCTCCATGCCTCGCAAACTCTACCTCAAGTCCGACGTGCCTATCAGTCCACTCTACTCTCTTTTTCCTGTGGTTCTCCAATTCCACACATATACACCTCTTTGTTTCCTTTATTTAGACATTTAAAGCACATGTGCTTCTTGTTGTCGTTTTTTATTCAAGGGTGAAACCATGGCTGTCGGCTAACATGATCTCAGTTTATATTAGGGTTGTGATTTTGCTATGTGCAGTGTGAAGTTAAATTCCATGCCCAGGGCATTAGTTTGCAGATGTTGCCGACTTACGAGGGCATTTCACTTAACCCCACCATCTCACCGTCCCGTGTTGCCCCTGTTTGGTGTTCTTGTTTATTTCTTGGTTCAATATAGTATTCCTGTCTTGGGGGGATCACTCAAATTTTCATGTGGACTTTAAAATCTTTAAGGCAAATGTGTTTGTGCTTTTGTTTTAAGTCTTGTGGTCATTTTGCTTGCTGGGAAAACTTTGGCTTTCACCATGAATGTTGCCAGAGTGGTGAAGAATTAGTCGTTGGAATCAAAGAAGTGGGAGAGGAAGGAGAAGAATTGGGGGCAAACATGTTAGTTCACATAAAACTAAAATGATAGTGAAGTTCACAGGGCTAAAAAATTCATTACATTCATGATATTTATTTATCATTCATACATTTTGGATGAATGTTGTTACTATTTTTCCTAAATATAATAAGATTTTCAATTTGAAATGAAAAGACACCTTTAAGACTTCCAATTTTTTTCTCCTGGCTAATCTTCAAGACTTCCAATTGAAATTTGACAATTTTCAAATTGACTCCATTGGATTTATAAAAAATTAATGTTTTAATTGTTTAATTTTTAATTCTTCTGCAACTTAATTTTTCAATTATGATCTGTTATGATTTAGTCTCTCAACTTTTGACTTGTCTATAATTCAATCTCTTAACTTTTAATTCATTTATGATTCAATCTCTCAACTTTTGTTACTTTTATTTTTTTATATCAGTTTAGATCCCATATTAAAGAGTAAGAAGAGGCTATTTAATAGTAAGACATAAGCATTTATTTTATCTCATTTATTTAATAAAAATATTTTAAAAAAAATTTAAAAATAAGGATTAGGTTATAAGTGAATCAAAAGTTAAGGGATTAAATAGAAGTGAATCATAATTGAGAAATTGAGTTATAAGTGAATTAAAAGTTAAAAGAGGAAAAGATTAATTTTTGTGAGAATTATATTAAAGTTTCATATAAAAAGATTAATTATTACAAAATTCATCATCATTAATATAGTTTAGTTTGATTATTTATAAATCTTATAATAATTAATTTTTTTGTGCATGGGACCTGCTGTAATTCTCCCTTCATTTTTTCAAAATTAATCAACGAATTATATTTAAATTTTTAATTTTAATTTTCTTCCAGCACCGTCGCGCCACCAGAAGAAGGTTGCCGCCGGATGATTGGATGCTGTGTTGTTTTTGCCCCGCAGCTCAGTGCCATCAACTACTTGGCCAATCCGACTCCGGATTCTGGAAACCATGATTAACGGACTCACCGGAATGGAAAAGGCCTCCCCTGGCTTTGGAAATGAGCGTTGGAGGGTTCTTGAATTTTACAGTGGGATTGGCGGCATGGTACGCTAACCCTAATGATTTTTTTAATTTATTATATTTCATCTTTTAACTGTTGTTTTTCGATTGAATTTTGTGTTGTACTGTTTAGAGATACTCGCTGAAGAAATCAGGCGTGAATGCAGAAGTTGTGGAAGCATTTGAAATTAACGACAGAGCCAATGATGTTTACGAGCATAATTTTGGTCATCGTCCTTTTCAGGTCTGTTACCTAAGCCTTGTGTTCAGGAACGCGGCCTGTTTTTGGGAACAGTAGTTCATAAGTATGATTTACCTTTGTTGCGTGCTTCTGTTGGACTTAGCTCCCGTATTGGGATATTTGGTTAATTTCAAGCTTTATTTAAGCTAGGCAGAAGCTGCTAAAAGCAACAAAGATTTGCCAATGAGCCTCTTTTATTCATATATTTATTTGTTTTGGGAGCGTGGGTTTGATTGGTTTTGTTTTTCTACGACTGGCAGGGAAATATTCAAAGCCTGACGGCTACCAATCTGGATGGATACGGAGCAGATGCATGGCTTCTTTCTCCTCCTTGCCAACCTTACACTAGACAAGGTGGAATTCTTTGTCCTTCTAATTTCAGGGTTTATTTTGTTCTACAACAAAGAATTCCTTAAGCATCTTGAAATTAGGTCTCCAGAAGGACACTGGTGATACTCGGGCATTCTCCTTTCTTCAGATTCTTGAACTTATGCCATTATTAAAGCATCCTCCAAGCATGTTATTTGTGGAAAACGTTGTTGGATTTGAGGTTTGTTCATTTGATTCAATTAGTCTTACTTAATTTCTTTACCAATTTCTTTCACTCATTCTTCTTTCTTTTGTGTCTCCCCTCCCTTCCCCATTGGTTTCAGACATCTGATACGCATGCAAAAATGATTGAAATATTGGAAAAAACAAATTTTGTCTCTCAGGAGTTCATTTTGAGCCCATTACAATTTGGAATCCCCTACTCGAGGCCGCGTTATTTTTGTCTGGTAGGCTCTCTTAATGCTTGGCAAATTATTTGATCCGTATGTTTTCTTTAAAGATTTAGGATGTATTTTATATTATTGACCAATGAGCAGTCAACTGGCAAAAGGCTATAAAGTTTTGGATATGATTACATATTTGTGATCTCTCACAGTTGTGCCTACAAAATGAAATATTTGATTGTTGGGTCCTCAATTGAGTAAAATCCATTGTAAAATCTTTTGTTCTATGGTCTGACTAATAAAAAACAAAGCTTTGTCTGATCCTTGTCATCTACAATATAGAGCAAAGCGCTTTCTATTTGAGATGTTGTTTGATACTTTGTCCTTAGTTCAATGATATTAATTGCTGTATGGACAAAAATTATATAATAGCGAGGATAAAATTTTTGTTCAAGGACAAGGATCTGTTTTGAAGAAGATATTGTAGTACTGAAAATTGCACATGCAATTATCTTAAACAAATATCTGATCTTATAAAACAGAATGTTTTGATTCCATTAAAGAATGGGATTGAACACCTTGTTTGGTGGGGCGGTGACTGTGTAAACTTGCAATGTTTTCATGAGTTGGTTGATGTTGTTTATGCGTGCTTTTCCGCACTTTGATGTGATGGTCAAAGTTCTTGTTAATCACTTGACATGCAAATTGTGTTTTTCTCATGTTACATTTTACAGATGTTAGGGCAGAAGCAGAATCAACTATTCTTCTGTTTTCCTTTAAGTTTCTTTTTATTTGAAGACCTAGATATTTTTCATGAATCTTTTTTCATAATTATTGGCCCTATTCAAATAATTTTTAAGGCGAAAAGAAGACCTTCATCCCTTGTAAAAGAACGTCAGAACAGCATACCGATTCAATCTCCCAGACCATTATTTGAGCATGAAGATACAGTGACTGATGAATATGTTTTGTCGCAAAAGGACTGGGATAAGTTGTTGCAATCTTGTCAGCCAATTGAACAATTTCTTGAATTGAAGAATCCTGGCAATGATACAGACGTTGAATCTGCATCACTGGTCACTGATTTACCCGGAGATTCTGTTACAAGTTTGGAGAAACGTGATGTTCGTGAATATGCTGGGGAAGTTCTCAACAGAGCCTCTTTAGACCAGTATTCTGTTCCTTTGAGCTTGATAGAACGATGGGGAAGTGCTATGGGTATCCATGGCCTCATTAATTAGTTGCCGCATGTAAATTCACTGTTATAATCTGAGCATTATGCATTTTATTTTTTTAAATTAATATTGGTCAATATCAAGTCTTGGCCTCCTTTTCCTTAAAAGGGTTTAGATATTGTCTATTCTGATTCAAAGCGCTGCTGTTGTTTTACAAAAAGTTATTACAGATATGTGAAGGGAACTGGATCACTTTTGGCAACTGTCCAGGTATTGCTTCCAGTTTGGTCAAAATCCAAGTTTAAGTCCGCAAGTTTGCCAAAATTTCATTCTTGTCCCTTGTTTTTTGGTTTCATTTTGTTCTCCAAGTATTAAATTTGTTCAAAACCTTTACTATTTACCAATAATGTTTTTAGCTTTCTTAAAAATTTTCTGATTTGGATATGATCTATTGTGGCTGACTGAACTGGTCAATGCCAGAGAGGTGGTACGTATGACACTAGTTATTCTATACTGTCAGTCACACAACCAAAATGGCAAAAAAAAACCGGGGGGGGGGGGGGAGGCGGCACATATCAGTAAATTACCCAAAAAAAAAAAAAAAAATCAAATCAAACCAGATTTGGTGGTAGACATACGGTCGAGTATGAGGTCTAAGATCAACGTAATGGAGCAATTGATTGTATTTCTTCTCATTCACTTTTTCACCCTCCACTTGACTTGTCTTTCCATGCATTGCAGAGTTTGAAGAACGAGTCACTTGAATAATGTAACTTGTTATAGCTTTTATTACACACAAACACACTTGGAGATTTTTTTTTTTTGGAAATAAAACAATTACAAACAAGTAAATAACTAGTCTTATTTTTCATTCCACTGGAACAAATTTTCCTACACCCCTCAAACCCTGAATACTATCTGCTTTCCTTTCATACAATTTTGTTATTGGTTCTGTGGATATTAGAATCACGCTTCTTGCTTCCCTCCACCATAACTAAAATTTTCTAATATGCAGCCGGAGAGGAAGGACAAAACATCACTGAAGGAACTGTGCCTTAGATATTTTACCCCAAGGGAGGTGAATGAGTATACCTTTGTCGCATCATTACCTAGAATTTCAGTACAGACTAAATTTACTGGTGTCTATCCCTATTTGCTCACATGCATGAATGTATTTTTGGTAAACTTAGCTTAATTTCAGTGCATAATTCTAACATGCGAGGCATTGCAATTCTATAACTAGGTTGCAAATCTACATTCTTTCCCCGAAGATTTTCAATTTCCACAGCACCTAAGTCTTAGGCAGAGGTATGCCATTTTTTTAGTTTAAACTCTTATTTTTGCCTGTTCTGTTTGGAAGAACCTGGATATTGGTGTTGTCGACCCTTGTCGTTGTTCTAGTCATGGTATTTCAAGATATCTAGAATAATTAAACGGGGAGACAGCTGTGCCAATGGACACGACAGCCACGATCTATTGCCCGTGTTTTCATTTATGCCAATAAACTGTGTTGTTCTGCACAGGTATGCTTTGCTCGGGAACAGTTTAAGTATAGCAGTTGTTGCTCCCTTACTACGCTATCTTTTCACGAATCCTTCGTGATATTCGACCACATCATATGCTAAGCGGATTCGGTTTTCTCGTCCACGCCCGTCACACAAAATTTTGCATGGTGATGTGATTATAGAACTTGGTCATCTTTGAAAACGCTGTAGGTTCTTTTTGTTTCAGTCGCGAAAATGAAGTCTTAGGTGTGTTTGGCCTTCCTTTACCACACAATTCAATTTATAATGTAGTTCTTGTGACCGTTTGTCAAGACTGTCTAACGTATTATTAGTCATGTGTGCTGTAGTATTTTGTGAATGCGTGGCCCGATACCAAGAAATTTACTGTTAGTATTTTATTATATCATTTGTTTATCGATTTCGAGTACTCCTATCCTTCACAATCGATAATTTGTTGAATAATGAAGATGTATTATAAACGTTGTATTTTTTATTTTTAATTAAATTATATGTCTCCCTTGTCATATCCAAATGGTAGTGTAATTGGTTCGAAGAAGCTAGCTAAATTTGGCATGTCCAGATGAGTGCAAAATTTACAAAAATTAATATCCACACTGATTTTATAGAAGCCCTTTCTTTTATACAACATATTAGGGAGTTTGTAATGAAAGATTGGATGGTTGTTTTTAATTATGTCTTCAAAAAAGCTAATGAATGTGTTGATAAGCTTGCATATCAAGTATTTTAAGATAATTTAAATTTTATTATTTTTAATCAACTGCTTATAGAATGCTGAATCCTCTTGGAACTTGATATGATTTGATTTTTGTAACTTTTACAAGGTTTCTTTTCCTTATATTAAAAAAAAAATATTTGGCATGTCCAAAGCATCGACTTTGGATTTTTTTTTATCAGATTGATTTTGGATTTAATTCATTTGTTAAGTGAAAAAGATTAATGCGTGCATTATTAATGGCACTATTTATAGTTATAAATGGTATGGCATTCGTCCTCTAAATTAAATTTTACTGAACTGGAAAGTAAGGTTTGATAAAGGAAGGCGGTTCCAAATAAAAAAAAAGAATTAAAAAAAATTTCAATATGTGTTAGATCCACATTATCATAATAAATATAATTTCCTTGATTTAAAACGAGAATTGAAGAATTTAGCCCCAAAAAACAGAGCATTGAAGACAATTTTTATGGTTTTGGCTAACAACTATTTCGCTTTTATTTCAACACTTTTCCATCAGGGGTATGGTCTGCTTCTCGCATTTCTGTTAATTCGAACGTCAATTTTTTTTTTTTTAATAAGCAACGTTAACTTTATTTCAATCAAATATACAAATAAAACAGTTTCATTTTATTTCAATCAGAATTCAAAACTATATTTCGGTCAAAATGTTTAACTGTACCATATTAATATCAATATCAAGTTTATAAAAAAAAAAAAGTTCAATCATGAGATCGTACATGCATGTATATATTTTTTATTTCCAAAAGTCATAGGAGGGCTTCTTTTTTTTCATTTTTTTTTGGGGGCAGTTACAGGAGGAGTTTAATGCAAGTCCCATTAAATTGCTCATGAGAGTTTCCACCAAAAAAAAAAAAAATGCTCACGAGAGTTTCTACCAAAAAAAAAAAAGCTCATGAGAGTATAAATTATTAATTATCAATAAAAAATAATATTTCTGGTTTAAAAAAAAAGCTATTTAAGAAGCATCATTAATTTTTATAAATCAATTTTGAGAATTTTTTACAATATTTGTTTTGACTTTTAAAAATTATCAAGATACGAAGAAATATAATTTTTATATTTCAAAAAATATTTAAATAAATTTCGAATGATGGGGGGATATGTTCATAAAAATATGGAGATGTATCATAAAATTTGAAAATCACTGCATAAATATTTTTTGTGTGAACGTAAATATAAAATAATTTTATTTTTTTATAAAATATCTACAGAATAAATTATTTTTGGTAAAATCTCTAAACTATTTAAGTTTAAACAAATGTGCGTTAATCATATGAACAAAACGTTAAACATACATATAAAAATAAAAAAGAAAAAGAATGCGTTGAGCTTGTAAGATAAGAATATCCTAAGAAAAAGAACAGTATATGCAGCGCTTTTCTTGGAAATGTATAAGTTGATCTAATATTCAAACCCCGCAATACGGGCCCAGTAAGGTGTGGGTACAATTTCTGCGGCCCATCCGCCCTTTTATTCCCCTTATTCAGAATAATTATAAACTGTTTTTACTTTACTTTTTAATTACAGAAACCCTAATCTTTCTGGCATTCATCCGAATCGAATTTCAATCCCTTAAGCAATATTGTCGTTGGGGGAAACACTTCGATATTACGATCAAGAGTTCAAGCGATCTGATATTGACCATAGTCGAGGAAGGTCGGTATCAACGTTTTTAATTTTATTTTCATGTTTACTATTCAGATCGTTTTCTGATTTTGCATTTTTATTTTGTTTGTTATTATTTTGATGATAATTTCAATTCTCTTGGTTGCATTATTGCGCTAATTAATTTTTATTTCGATCTTCTCCGTATGATCCTCTCATATGAGTTCTTAATCTGTTTACTTTTTTATTCTGATCGTTATGGATTCTGGAATTTTTTAGGGCACTGTTTCCGTTATATTGGCCTAAGGTTTATTACCCCCTTCCCCTTTTGTAATTTTTCGTATCAATACTGTGTAAATCATGTATTTCTAGGGTTTTTATGTTTATTTATTTTTTCTACAGTGAATCAGTGAAAAAGATTAATAAAATAGCGATTTAATCATTCTACTCATGTTTTGTCAATATGATTGTGGTAATTTTTTATGTGTCTCTCATCGCAAAATTTACGGGTGGATACACTTTCAATTAAATAAGTTTTTGGGTAGTAACGAACTCATTCTCCCCTGAATGTGTCTTGTCTGTCTATTATTTAAGGCAAGAGTTATGTAATTTTTTTTAGTTATTTGCTATATTTTCTCCAATGAAAATATTATATATGAGCATTTTTTTTATAACTTAGCACCAGCATAATGATTCAATACATGCGCCTCTTCATATCATTTTTTTGGGTAAATTGACTACAGACAGTGTAAAAACTGTTTTTAAAATTATTTCCTTTTACTTGTTATTTTATACTCGGAAAATTTTCTTATACTTTTTTGGAGCCAAACAAGCCAGCTTCTTTGTCCTTGAATGTCATCCATGATTGTAAGATTAATCTTTGAGGCTAAGATATATTATGGATTTTTACAGGTTTCAAGTTGATTTAAAGTTGTCATTATGAGATTCAAAAGGGGAACAAAAGTTGAGGTCCTGAGTTATTGTGAGGCGCCTTATGGGCAATGGCGTTGTGCTGAGATTATCTCTGGTAATGGGCACACTTATAGTGTCCAGTATAACTGTTCTAGCTTGACTAATGAGGCCATGGTGGAGAAGGTTCCAAAGAAATCTATCAGGCCTTCTCCCCCTCTTGTAAAATGCGCTGATAGTTGGTCAGCTGATGATGTTGTTGAGGTCAATCATGCTGGTTGCTGGAAAGTGGCTGTTGTTTCAAAGTTTATCAGTGAAGACATTTATTTGGTGAGGCTGCTAGGATCCTGCAAGGAGTTAAGAGTTCACAAGTTTAACATAAGGGCACGCCAATGTTGGCAAGACAACCAATGGATTATGATGCGGAAGGTAGATTTCTATCTGATTAATTTGCTTATGATTTGTTTTTTTATTATCAAGAGTATTACCGCATGATTTTCTCTAAACTTTGTATTTATCTATTTGAGTATTGAAAACTTTTGGCAGTTTTATTCTGTTTAAATCTATCTAATTCATAATGAAAGTTAGGTATTGATTATAGTATTATTATTTATAAGTGGATGCTGCTTTAAATGGAAATGACATTCATTCAATAGAGCAACTTTTTAAACAATACAATTGTTATCTTGCTTGAGTCAGTTTAAATTTGAAATATTTCATGATCACTCTGAAATTTGATGCTATGCCTTGTGCTGATTATTTGTGCCCTTACCTTCACTGCAGGGAAATTCTAGAGTTGGGAAGTCTGGCAAGAATTTGAGCTTTAACAGTTATAAGATGAAACCTGAAGTTCCTCAAGCTAGAAATGATTGTTTTCCCATAGTGGATGGAAGTGGGCTGCGGGAGTCTTATCTAGTGTCATCCACGTCATTGAAGAGAGTGTCTCCTTATTGCTCCTCTTTCATTGATACTTATCCAAGAAAAATGAGAGCTGTTATGAATGAGGAAGTGCTTGAAAAGGTAGATGCTGGTTCTTACCCAAGTGAACATATGGGTGAAAAATGCATGCTTGCTTCCTTTAATAATGGAACAAATCAATATAATGAAATGGCGATGGTGAACCCTAATAATGGTACGTCACATTGTCTTGAAAGAATCAGTGATTCTAATGATTCTTGTAGTGATATTTGTTCAGTTGGCAGTTGTAGTGTGATAAGTAGCGGCCCAAACAAATTCTCTAGTGATATGTTAGCAGGTCTTTGCCAAGATGCAGATAGTCTTTGTAGCGATGCAGAGTCTTTAGATGTTGGAGGTGAGGAAGAAAAATGTTCCCTTTATCCAAAAGAGGATATAGCAGCCAGAATTCATAGGTTAGAGTTGCATGCTTATTGCAGTACTCTAAAAGCTATGTTTGCTTCAGGTCCCCTAACTTGGGAACAAGAAGCATTATTGACTAATCTTCGTATTTCACTCCATATTTCAAATGATGAACACTTGTTGGAGATAAGGAACTTAGTTTCTTCTGGTCAGCGTTTTTAATAATTTCTGCAAGCAATGTTAGCATAGGATAGTTTATATTATGTTCTGATCTATGTACAGCATTGTAAGGCTCAAATAAGAAGACCATAATCTTGGTATTCATCTTGTAATTGTTACTAGAATTATTGTGAATTATTACAAGCTGTGAAGTTCCCTACTCTTTTTTTGAGAAGCTATTTGAGATTTAAGTGATACTTTTCATTATTTAAATGATAATATAGTTGTGAACTGGTACATCTGGAATGATTTGCTGCAGCTACGCGGGATTCATCTAATTGTTTCTTTGATAGCTGTTTGATGCTATGACAATAATTTTATCACAATGTTGAAAAGCTTTTTTTTCTTTGCTTTGAGAATCCTCACTGCTTGAGTTGGGCTGTGGCACTGTAAACACGTCAGATGCGATACTTCAATTATGATGTCTTTATGTCAGATTCTGTGCTTAATCCTTGTTGGTTTCTTTCTGCACTTCTATATCATTCTATGATAGTTAAACTCTGTATAACCAGTCAATGATCAAGGACTGCGACTAGTCTATGTAGTGCAGCACAAAATATGGCAGCTTACATGATGTGGGTAAACTTGATTTGCTGTCTATTTGATAGCGCACCAGAAGTTTTGCTTTTTAACTATTGATGAATCGACTACATTTTCCAGGGCCAGTGTTGGAGGCCTGCATGCCTTGCTTCCAAAGGTTAAACATGATGCTAGGTTTGCCACTTTTCTCCTGGCAAATTAGTTGATGACATCTATTACTAATTTTGTTACGAATGACAAATTTCTGACCAGTGTGTGCTATCCTCGTTTCTGTTTGAAATATATAGTCCATTTCAGGTATGGTTAGAAAGGACACTTGCTGTGTCAAGTCAAACATGAACTTCCTAATAGCTGCTGTGATATAACCGTGACATGGAAGTCTAGTTCTCGCTTGTCAGGTGGATTATGTTCCTGGAAATGGCATACTCTATCCTGATAATTGAAAAGCCTTGTGATGTTGGGCTTTTGGTATTTTTATGGTAATACTAATGTCTTAGGTGTAGGCTTGTTGGATGCGTTAAGGTTTTTATAGATATTCTTTACTAATGGCCTGATTCTAAAGTTAGAACTTAGAATCTGCTTTAGTATTAATTGAAGTATGCGAAAATTTTTGAAAGGCTTACCTTTTGCAGCTCTGATCCTGACATGTTGGAATTGACTGACATAGATCATATTCCAACATTGATTTTCGGGTTTTTTTTTTTGGCTTGTGAAAATTGTTTTTTTTTTTGTTTGTGAAAATTGTTTAAGTGATTACTTAATGTGAACCGCGAGGGAATCTGAACCTCTGCTGCCAAAATTGGTTCTACCCCTCTGCATCCAATATGAAATTCACTGTTAAATTAGTCTAAATTGATCTTAACCGTTGTTTACAACCTCACAAAATCAATTACTCATCCTCTCATTTATTTCTGATGTTTTTGCTTCATCTTTTTATATCATCAAATGGCTTCCTCGAAATGCGCGTATCATCTAATTGCTTCATGACTGATCCGAAATTAGACCTTTAAATGCTGTTAAACTCGGACCCAAAAAAATGCTGCGGGACTTAGCGAATTGATTCCATACTACGTCGTTTTGGCCCTCGATGCGGAGAGATGTTACCAATTTTGCCAGGGAAGATTCAGATTCCGAAAAAGCGAGCGAGGTGTTGTAGCACTTTTCTGCTGAACCATCCATTGTCTGCAAATCATTAGGCAGACAAGTAGATAAGGATTTACTCGTATATGATAAATGTTATCTACTTATTTTGTACCCTTTGGGAATAATTTGCCACACGTGAGTTTGAAAGGTCTGCAATACCGATCGTGGCTTTGGTAACACGCGTAAGAATCTAGCAAGCGGAATCTGTAGATTGGCTTAAAGACGCCCGCAAAAGTCCACTTGGCGGTCCGATTCTGGCATTTGCAAAATTGATTTGGCCCCTTCGCCCAAACAAACGATTTGGGTCGGCGACTTCGATGGTTATGGGGTATGGTTGACGAGTCAGGGCCATGCAACGTAATATTTTCTCTTCTGTTCTTAGATGTTTTTTTAATTATATGCTCCACTTTTAAGTCCACATTGTCATTAAAGTATGATATGGGTATATGTCCCACTTAAGTCCACGTTGTCTCAGATGAAAGGGATTCGAGTCCTTTGACTGTCAATTCCTAGATTTTTTTTTTTTGGTAAAATGAATTGGTGGGTAGGCATTAATAGCATGAGGTTATAAGTGGAATTGAACAAGTGACATTCTATCTATAGGAGGTTAACTCCTAGCCAAGTTTTCTAGATTTACAAATGTATATTGTAAAATGCATATATTCATATGACAATGATCATAGCCTTATTCCATTGAATGAAGTTAGTTGCATGGATGGTATTATGTTATTGTATTCTATTAATAATCAATTCTTTAAGTTTGTATTTAGATGGGTAAATTTTAGTTGAGAATTTAAATTTAAAATCTCATATTTTTTGTTTGAATGCTATAAAAAATTTTAAATTATAATTTTAAAATTCTTTATTTGGATCTTAAATAATATTTTATATTTTATATTTAAATTTAAAAGTAACTTAGATAACGTTGGAGGTCCGGGCGGTTGATTTTCACAGGGATCGGATTGCCAACATCAACTAGGATTGAACGATAGACTTCCTTGAGATTTTACCATAGGTGACAACTGAGATCGAATAGTCGACATCCTCGATATTGGATCGTGGGCAATAATTGGGACAGGATTGTTGGTAGTGATTTGGGTAGGACTGCAAGTGTTAACAAGGACTAGATAGCTGCTTGCAACTAAAATCTGACAGTTGGCTCCCATTATGATTGGGACCAGCAATTTTGACTGAGACTGGATTGACAATCTCAAATAAGACTAGATTATTGACAAATTGGTCTCAATTGAGGTCGCCAATCTGGCCTTGGCTGAAGCCATCGGTCCTTGTCATGTTGGGATTTGATTGTTAAATCCCAATGACAGGCGGTTGATGAGTCTCGATTAGCATTGGAGGTTTTATCCTAGTTGGTGTCGGCAGTTTGGTCTCCATGAAAGTTGGCCATTTAATCCCAGTTGTTGCTAGCGGTACAGTCTCCATGGAACTTTGCCATTCAATCCTGGTCACAAGAAGTGGTTCGGTCTTGGTGAAAGTTGGTGGGCCAGTCCTAGTCGTCGCCCGCAGTCTAGTCCCAATTAGCACTAGCTGTTTGTCCAAGTGAAAGTCGGTCGCTAGATTTTGGTTGGTGATGGTGGCCTAAGCTAAGTTGGCAGTGGTAGCTCAACCCATATTGACATGGCATGGTTTGATCTTGGTCACAACTGGTGATCTAGTCTTCTTTAATGTCATCGACAGGCCAGTCAAATTACAAATTGATTGAGGCATGATTTGAAATAATATGATTTAGAAAGGATTTCAAATTATAAAAAGATAAAAATAAAATTTGATTTGGATTTGAGTTAAATTTAAACCCATACATTTTTAATTATCTAAACAATGAATTTGGCTCAAATTCACATCCAAATTCAAATCCAAATACATCCAAACATAGCATAAATATATTTTTTTATTGGAAAGTCTCATTCAATAATTTAAGGTAGCGTTTGGATTGATAGATTTAAATTTAAATTTTAGAATTAAAATATTGCTTTTTAAATCTCACATTTGAAATTCATGTCATTAAACTTTTTTCTTTTGATAGTTTAAAAATTTTTGAATGAAAAAGAGATGAATTGTTTGCTAAAAAAAAAAAGAAAAAGAGATGAATTGAGATTCATGAAAATTTGAAAATTGAGAGTTTATTACTATTTTTAATTGACATAAGATGAGAAGAGATATGAATGTCATAGAAGTATCAATAATAAAAATGAGAAGAGAATAAGTGTTTGAAATAATTAAAATTTCAAAGGATTAGGATGTAAGAAAAAATTAAAATTATAAAGAAAGTATAATTTGATATCAAATTTAAATTTATAAACTTTTATGTAATGAAAAATTTAGTTTAAATTTAAATTCTTCAAATCCTCATTAATTCACACAAGGCATAAATGAATTTCTTAATTTTTTTTCTTACTTTTTACTGAATTTATGAGCATCTAATCAAATGCTTTTCACATGCTTTTGCACCCATTACAATCTTTCAGGCTATATCAATCTTGAGATAATGATAGAAAAGCACCCACAAAATAAGATAATCTCATTTGAATCCTTTAAAATGGCTTATTTACTCTGACGAGCCAAGAAACTTCTCTGGAATTATTATTATTATTATTATTATTATTATTTTTACAAAACTACCAAATTAACCCTCGGTCCAACTCCACACCTATTACCAAAAACCAAACCACAGCTCGCTCTTAACAGTGACCAAAGTGATTTTAGCTTTTTCCTCTAATGGCTACGATGAAGGTATGTTGCCTGCTCCTTCGTCTCATCACCACAACCTACCTGCGACACCACCAACAGCTTCTGATATGCCGGACAATCTGGGAAGAAAAGTTCAAATGTCAAACTTCCAGAGGAAGCTTACTGGAGCATTTAACCCTTTAATTTCCAAATTTGAAACCCATGCCTCACCCGCCATATCTACTATATATTGGCACCTAATCTTCTTGTCCAACTTGTGCGCTTAACCTGTTCGAAGAAATTCTTTAGAGAAATGCTTACCTGTGGTTCGTGAGAGATGTACGTCGTGAAGAGAGATGGACATCAAGAAGCGGTCCATTTCAAACAAGACAACTGCTCGATTGAAGAAGCTCAGTTATGGACCGAGCACCGAGCGACGCCGTCACGGTGTGGATGGTTTCAGAGAGAGGAAGGGAGGAGAGGGGAATCGGACGAGGGAGCTGGATTGAGGGTCAGTTTGGTAATTTTGTTAAAAAAATTTAATCCCAGAGAAGAACCTTAAAACTTCTTAACGATTAGACCCATCTGGGATTCTTATATTTCATGGGAATTTTCTTATCATATTCTCATCAATCTTTTTCAGTTCCTAAGGTATAACATTTTATTTTAAAAAAAATTAATTATATGACTAAATATTTTAGGGAAAATCACATAAATTCTAATTCCCAAAGAATCCCATGAAAGCATAGATGACCCTAAAGTACAATGAACTTTAATTGTAATTAATTTTTGAAATACATTAATAAAATACACTCTAAAAAAATAAAAATATTATCTCCCTATGGTCACAGGATAAAAGTGAATTATGGTGAGTTGATAACGAATTATTGTATTGTCATTCTTGTAAGTTCAAATATCAATAGATTTAAAAATAATTAATCGTGTTAAATGGAATTTAAATATAATTTTTCCTATTTTTTATATAAAAAAATTTATATTGGAAATTGACAACTAATCACTTGTAAGTATTCTAAGATTAGTTGTCAATTTTCCATGCTAAAAGTTGTCAATTCCTTATGCTAAATTTATTAATATATCATTGACAAGTGACATTAAAATTAACCATTTTAATATAAAAAATTGATTACTGTATAGGAGATTGACTACTAATATGTTGCAATTAAGATCAAGATCTTTATAGTTGGCTAGTAATATTTTAGATATATTTAACAAATGATTAAGGGTGAATTTTGCCTTTTAACTAGTTAAGAAAGTGACCCTAAATTTAATTATGAGTCATTTATATCTCCTTAACCATTAAGATTTTTAAATTTATCACCTTGCCCTTTGTACAGTTAATTTTTTTGGTTAGTTGGGCCCACATTTAATTTTTTAATATTTATTTATTACTTATTTTATCCTAAATTATAAGACATTTTTAAACAAAATCTCACATACCAATAAACTTCATTAAATACACTAAGAATTTTAATTTTTCAAAATAAAAATATAAAAATTTAAAAACACCCTTCATTTACTATAATTAAATTTACACTTAATTAGTATTAAATAGAGAGAGGGAGAGAGAGAGAGAGGATAATATTAAAATAAGCCTATTTAATAAAACTTTAATTTTCTTAATATGTTTTATATTTTGGAACGACAAAGCTATCAAAAAATGTCTTATAATTTAGAATAGAGAGAGTATAAAATATTGCCTTATGGACCCCACTAATATTTTCTATATTTTTTAATAATTTAAAAAATTCTTCTCTTACACCTTCTCTTACCCCCCTTCTCTCTCTCTCTCTCTCTCCATTGTTCGACCAAGACTTCCTCCTCCTTTTCTTCCACCTCTCTAAACTCCAACTCAGCTTTAGTTTCAACTCTGATCACCTTTTCACCCTCCACATTCTAGGACGAGCTACCTTAAGATCAACCTAACCCACCTTCATGCATGTACGTGTCGCTTATGGATGAGAGCCACCCCAAGATCAGCCTAACTAAGCTGTTGCAAGAAGGTAACAATATTGAAGAGTTGAGTTAGCTTGTCACAGTTTTTGATAGTGGCTGTGATCTTCTTGGACATCCTAATGCTTATACCTATTAAAGGATAAGAAGGACAGTGAAAGAAAGAGATGAGAAGATGATGAAGAAGAGAAGACGATTGTAGAGAGAGGGAAAGGGGAGAGACGGAGAAAGAGAGGAGGAGAGGAGAGAGGGTGCATTTGGTTAGCAAGGTTGAGCATCCATGGCAAAACTTACATGATAATAATGATATTCCCTCAATTTGCAATTTATTTAGGATAAAGCTGCATTTGCAAGTTAGCATGTACAATATGAAGAAGCCGCTCAATGTTGCTATGTATGGAGCTCATGACGAGTTCATAATGGCTCTCAAATACTTCACCCTCATCTTCTTTATCTTCTCTCTCTTCTGCCACTCTCTCTCCATCAGGTTCATCAACCAGGTTAATATCATCAACATACTTTCTCTCAACTTCATGCTTCTCTCTCTTGCTCGGGTTGCTTTACTTTGGTTGTCATCCCTCTTGCTTGATTAAACCAAGGTAAGTGAATTGGAAGGGAGAGTGCTTCACTTCTCTCTCTTGCAGAACTGAATTCATGACTTACAACAAAGTAAAGCCAACATGCTCCCACCAACAAGCCATAAGTTCAATAAGAAGAGGGTGAGATGGAGAGATAGAGACGGAGATGGATGGAGGAGGAAGAGAGATTTTTATGTTATAAAAAAAATAAAATATTAGGACCCAATATACAATATTTTATAATAAAAAATATTAAACAATTTAAATGCGAACCCATGTGACAAGAATAATGTATCACTCAACATCAGACACAATCAGCAAATTTTTGGAAGCTAAGAGATAAAATTAATTTTAAGTTAAATTTAAACTAATTTATAATCTTTTATGCACCGTTCAAGAGCAATGTTAACCTTTAATCCCTTAACAGAGAGGCTCCATGGACAAGTAGCGGCAAAATCTTCTGGAATCCAAGAGATTTTCACGCCGAACTGAGTCACTAAGTTTACTCCCATGTCCTGCAGAAGTTTACCCCCATGTCCTGCAGGGCATGGGTAGGGCACTCACTAACCGTCCTGATGACAGTCACAGAATAACTATATTACCACACATTCTCTCCAGCCATTGATCCCTAAAAATTTAAAACGAGATAAATGTCTGTCCTACCTAACCTTTACAGCAAAATTGCGGTCCCAACATAAAGAACATTTTTACACGTTTTTATTTTTGGCCTGTGAAAGGGGGGGGGTGGTTTCCAGAAGTATCCTTTTCAAAAATTTCCAAAGCATTTCCTCATGCATGCCTTCTTAGTTAAGAATAAATATGCAAATGCAAGGCCATATTAAAAATACAACAAAACTACAAATGTATTGTGCTCAAGACGGGTAAGTACGAAGGTGGTTATTAAAAAAAAATGAAAGACGGGGAAGTACTATTTTGGGCAACACAATGTCAGCTAACATAAGGCTCACATCCCGCAATGTACTCAACCTTCGTGCACAAATATCCGCGTGTTCCCCATAACAGAACAAGGGTTTGGCTGTACATCCGTTCAATCGATAGCGAGATCTAGCCAATAAACTTCCAGGAATATGGCTGATGTGATGCTAAATTTTGTTTTTAAGATAAAAAAAAAATCAAAAGGTAAATTTCATACCCTCAAATATCAATGGTACAAACCCAAAAAAACATATATCTTAGCATCATACACAAATAGCAGCGTGTATGGAGAAAGTTTCACAGACGCCAAGTCTATGAAAATATGCTCCGCAGTATTGGACGCGAATTTTACTCAAATGCGTCGTCGTCGTCGTCTGGAAGGGGTTGAATAGCAGCTTGAGCAAGCTCTGCCTCGTGCCTGCAACACCAACAATGTAGAAATTCAGCAAACTACCAAGAACACAGCATTTTGAGGATGAAAAGAGTTCCAAAAACACGACATTAGTTGGAAGTTTAGTGGGTTAATTTCTTTTAGCCGCATATATAAATCTAGCTACTGTAATTCCCAACTAGCCTGTGAGGCACAATCGGCCAGATAGTTCTTCAGAAAAATTGCTACCTTACCGCTAAATTATGGGAGCACAATCATAGCTTAAAATTTTCATAATCAATAGAATTGCACGAGAAATTACTGTTGCTGTGCAGCCAGATCAATCTGAACTTCCGGTGGAGCCAAGGCAGGAGATTCTACGAAGTGCAAATTAGGATCACTGCAAAAATGATGCGAAAGGCAACAGATAAGTTACACAAATTCTGGACAAAATAAATCGAATTTGATGTCTGTATTAGAAGACAGTGGCAACTAACCCAGCAAGTTTCCTGGCAAGGTACAGGAAAGGCTTCTCAAAATTGTAGTTACTCTTTGCTGAAATCTCATAGTACTGCAAATTCTTCTTCCGGTGGAAAGTAACTTGCTTTGCTTTCACCTGCCTGTTCTTTACGTCAACCTTGTTGCCACAAAGAACAATTGGGATGTTTTCACAGACCCTGAAATTGCAAGCACAGACTATCCATGAGATATTAATGATGTAGGTTATCATTACTACTGAAAGCTAAAAGGTTTATGGGTTCCAATTACTGACCGGCAAAGATCACGATGCCAAGTGGGGACATTTTTGTAAGTCAGTCGTGCGGTAACATCAAACATGATAATTGCACATTGCCCATGGATACTGCATCATGGAACACCATGTCTTATAAAACAAGACAAAGCAAATATATCATCAAAAAATTTGAGAACTCGTCTTTTTTTTTCATGCATGTCAATTGTCACTGTACAATTAGTACCTACAAAAGCAAATTTGTTTGCAGTAGATAAACCAAAACACATTAAACTAATTAACTTATCAAATTAGGATAATCGTCCAAGTGAGGTAGAACTTTCATTCAAGAAATGGAAATGCTAAAAAAGTGGGAACCTAATCAGGGAGGCAGTTCACAGTTGCCATAGGACATAAAAGCCAAAATCAAAGCCATTACAATCAATCATACATGAATAAAATTTTGCGTGAGCCAAACAGAAGAACTATGCATCATTATAGAGAAATTCATATGTTCACAATAAAATTCTGTCCCCTATATTGCCACAGCATACCAGGTGGACATATCAAATGAGGAAAAATTTGCAAACGAAACTGAAATAAGCTTTATAGATAAACTCACTAATATCCATCTCTGAGACCACCAAATTTCTCTTGTCCAGCTGTATCCCAGCAGTAGAATCGAATCTTCCCACAGTTTGTGAAAAAATCCAAGGGATGGACTTCTACCCCAATGGTAGCTGTTTGCAGGACACAAAACTGAGTCAAAATCAAGATTGACGAGAACCGCCAGCGCCCGCAGTTAACATATGCAATCATAAATTTTACGTTCATATTTCTTCTCAAATTCTCCAGTTAGATGCCTCTTCACGAACGTCGTCTTGCCTGCATTATTCAAGAGAAGTCCATTAAAACCAAACAGCCAACGGCCTCGTGTATGACTAGGAGTTTTAAAGCAATTGTAAATTGTAAATGCATTCATCAATCCCCAACCCAGAGACTTATACAACCGTCACAGTGATACGAAGGCACACAGAGTACTAAACTTCTTAGCAAACTGATCGGTACACGCGTAGGTTTACAAAACACTACTTTGGCGTTGGAAGACATTCACCCGGACCCTAACCGCCAAAGAGCTGTGCTACTAAAAACATTGAAGCTCAACGTGTACGCCAGATGACAACATGAAGAGGTAGGGTTGCCATATTTCACCGGAATCGATTCAAAATAAAAGTACACCACGAAGCCCTAATAAACCACAGAGATGCATGAAAGAAAAATGAAATGTACAGATGTCAAACGCACCAGTTCCACCATCACCAACGATTACGAGCTTGAAGCTGGGATAATCAACAATTTGCTGGTTCGGCAAAGCCTGCATCAAGGTAGCAGTAAGACCAAATAAACCTCGTCAAGGAAGGATTGCTGATTCGATTGGGAAATGAAATCGGTTGAGTTACGCAGGAACGGGAAAAAAATTCACAACAAACCAGAGAGAGCACAAATAGGTTTTGAAGTGAAAGGACAAAAGGAAGAAAGATACGTACCATGGCAGAGGAATGCAGCGAAGCAAGCAGGATTGAGACAATTTTTTGAACTTGGAAGAGTGTAGAACAATGTGTTGGCTTATAAGGGAGGGTTTCAATTTGGTCAAAAAAACAAAGGGGAGGGTTTCAAGTCTGGGAGAGGCCTAGTCAAGCGTCAAGCTGACGCAGCAATCTCCACCGTCCGATTAAATCTCCTCCGCGAATTTGAATTGTTCACCTTGGGGAATGGAAAATGGGAAATGGATTGGGCTTGCCGCTCACCCCATGAGCCGACGTGTTAATTACAATTAGACTATCGATCTTATTCGCTTCAGATAATTAAAAAAAAACTAATATAAAATTATTTATAATCATTCACTGCTTTATAAATAATTAGTAATAGTAATTTTTATAATGAAATGTTGATAAAAATAAGGTATTTTAGGAATTATATATCTTTATAAAAAAATTTAATTATTGGTTCAAAAGTTAGTGACTTTTCATGAAGTTGAGCTTGAGCCTCAAATTTTTCTCCAAATAAATTGGATAAAATTTAAATAGCTTCTTCTTCCTTACTTTATTTTTTTTATATATAGACCTCAATATTATATATATTTTCAAACTTATCCAATAAACAATCAGAAGAGTTTTTATCTTTAATGTTAAAAAAATACTATATTTATTTGGAAATAATTTAAACACTCTTTTTAGCAAATAGCTATCTCTCGGAAAATACACTTCACGAGAAATTAACTTGTCATGAAATTAAATTCAACCAAACGTTTGTATGTACAGATGGATCAAAGACCCCAATTATACAAAGGCTACGTAAGAAAAGACACACACAGTACAGAATCACGTTCCTGGCTTGGAAGTTGAAACACAGTCCCCCCCATCCAGGGATGCATATCCGTCCCATGTATACAATTACGTATCAACACAGAACAGCTGAGAATGCTTTATTATTTTATTTGGCTTGCCTCCGCTCAGCTTTTATGGTGGATTGTTAATTTTAACTCTGCCTACAATATTTCGCCATCCTTTCTCGGGCTCATCTGCATAAAAAGAAGATTCATTATCGATCAAAAAGCATTTTCAAAGCTGCAGCGATGGCACTCACAGAGCAACTGATATTGTCTCGCTGTTGAGTTCTTTCACATCCTTTTATATTTCAGTATGACAAAATGACAGCAATTTTGCTGAGATTTTAGTTTTTCAGGCGAATTATGGCGGGACTTTATGTATTTTAATCTTGTCACTGCTATTATAGAATTGATCTTTAAAAAAAAAAATATTTTGCTTCTGGGGCTTGCCAACTCATTGATTGAGTTGATTCCTGTGGCTCGTTACGTGCTGTTCTGTCCTGTATTTCCTTTTAAAAATGATTACTATGTACTACTTATTCCTAAATCGAGAGGCTTATCATCTTCTCCAGTTGGTGTTGTTTGATTCATTAGGCCAAGGCACATGAGCGCATTTTGCAGTTTCAATCACGTTATTCCATACATACTATACTGTATAGTATAGACTCCTGTTCCCCATATATGAAATCAAGACGACGCTAATACCATTCTCTGTTTAAGAAAACATAATTATGCATGCGCGGCTAGTAAGGCTCGTAATAACAATTGTGATAAATTAGCTAGATCCATTTGTTATAGTTTACGAACACTCAAGAGCTTAACGTCATCAATGACTGGCCCACACAAGGAAGAGTAGTCATTGCTTCTCATAGTGTAGAATGTGCTGAGGAACATGATGCGAGTTCTGGGACTAACAGCCACAAACTTGAGAACCGCGCGTTTAAACCCTCCCTTTCCTTTGGACTCGTACGGCACTTTCATCGTGTCTTTGCCTGCAAAAGCTTCAACAATCAGAGATCCTTCGCATGCGTTGTTAGCGTCTCCCACTGCGAATGAGAGCACGTAGGTTTTGCCAGGGACGGTTCTGGCCACTTGGGCTATGGCACTCTCTTTGCCGGCCACGAGCTCCACGGCTCTTCTTCCTTGAGGAACTGAGAAATGATCCGAGTCTACGTATTTCACGGCCTTCAGAGACTCTACCGTCCATCCCGGCAACGGCGAGTGGCCGTCTTCAATGTTGGGTGGGATAAGCACACCCCAAGATGTGTTGGGGAACACGTACGGTCCTTCTTCAAACCCACCATTCTTCAGTATGTTCCCTGCAGAATATTTAACATCTTACAATGATCAATTACTTTCCCCTCATTATTGAACACTAAAGAGCTCTCACACACACACACTCCACGGCTGCAGGATTGGGTATCTTTTTTGCTTGCTTAAATGCTTGGTCCCTTTCTGTGCCATGATATGACTTAATTTCATGTCATAACATTTCCCTGACATGTATATTTTTCTTGGCAGATTCTATAAGGGAAAGTGAAATTCAAACCTTCACCTAGCTGTTAATGCTTGACAGTAAAGAGTGATGTCCCTACACAATTAAACCGGAATCAGACTACCATTACGAAACCAGACATAATTTGAAGCCAGTCTGTTAGTATCAGTAATCCTTACAGAACGCAGTATCAGTATGCATTATTGGGTTACATAAATGTCACTGAACAGCCTATCTAACTACCTCAGTGGGGCCATTAAAAGCAATTTGGACCACAAAACAATCCACATACCAGCGTGAAGAGACTAGAGAGGGTACAGAGAGAAGATCACTCACTGTTAGTAGGTCTTGGAGGGTATAAGGCTTTGACAGCAACAGAATCAATGAGTGGGCCACAGGCTGGGTCCTCCTCCACTCCTGGGTTGTGGATCAGTATCTGGGCCTCTTGGTATTGGGCCTTGAAGGCCCAAGCATAGGCATCCCAACCATTGCTGCTGTACAGAGTTTGCATTGGAAGCACACCAGAGTGAGGCGAAACAGACACGTTCAATTGCTCCTCTTGAGCACATGTACGTGCAGCCACGAAGGAGATGGAATAGTACATGCCCTTTACTACCTTTATGCTTTGCCCAATGGACGCCTCGTTGCCAAGCCTCACTGCATAGGCTCCTTCCGGGACCACCAGCAACATATCACCCTGCCTGTGTCCTGATTCTATGTACTCCACGAAGCCTGATATTTCCCACTCCGGTATGGCCCGGCTGCCGCCAATTACCACCGTGCCGTTCATGTCTGATGGCTTGGGACCCTGCTCAAAATTCCCATTTGCCAACAGTCCTGCATCATTGTATTAGAGCAATATATGACCACTAGGCATTTTAAAATAATCCTGGAAAGTGAAGTGTGAGAGAAAATGAAGAGTGAAGGTGTGGCTTACCGTCGGAGAAGGAGGAGGAGACATGGAAGGAGGAATATAACAAGAGAAGAGACAGAGAGATAAGGCATGCCATGTTCGGGGGACACTGGGAGGAATGGCTTATTAGATGGTAAAAAGAAGCACGTTGCTTGGCGCAGGGCAGGTGCTGGCCGAGCATGGGCTTTTATGCATGCCCGCTTATGAGAAAGCACTCGGATTTCACTGAAATATCAATTATGCCACTCATCCCCTGCATTGAATTGTAATTAAAATAGAAATTCTCACTCGATGGCCTATCTCGTGTCTCTTGTTGTAACTAGTGATTTTAAAAACTAAACAGCTAAAATCGCTGTTTAATCTGACATTTTTTTTAATGAAAAATGAGTTATAATATTACTTCTAATCTCACATTATATTAATCATTCTCACCTTTTCCTGATTTAAAGGGTGTTTCTGTCATTCAATTGGTACGGATTATCTCTTTGTTTTTGTACCTTTTTCCCTGCCTGTCATATCTACCCCACCGCCACCAATCCACCGTTACGTTTGCATAATTTAAAGGGTGTTTCTGTCATTTCAAGCAGTAATGATTTTGATTTGCTCCTCTGTCCTCTCAAAGCGGTAGACAATGCATGACCGATTTTTGGTTGTATTGGACGTACAGATATTGTAAATATATTATGGACTTCAGAGAGAAGTTAATATTATAAAAAAATAATATATGTGTGTGTGTCTGATGATACATGGGAATAAAAGATGTTCGTCAGAATATGAGTTTTTTTTTTTTACATTTTTTATGTGTTTTCTTCTTTATTTCAATTTTAGAACAAAATATTATAAATAACTTTAGAGGATGGATTCTGGATCGTTAGAGGCAGATTGTGGACTATAATGACGGATGAGAACTTTCTTATACGACTATATACATGTGTGTGTTTTTATAACATGCAAATTTAATGCAAGTTTTTAGACAGTTCAATTGTTTGTAAAAAAGGTCTTAAAAAGAGGTAAAAGAAGTTTAATTATTCGTGATTTTTATATCAGATAGAAAACAGTCCATCCTTACCAAAAAAATCTTGGATATTTTGGGAAAATAACAGTCGACTTATTATTTTTATTTTCTGGTTTGATTTGGGGGGGTTAGCAAACGAAACAAGCAAGTGATGCTAATTAAGAGAGCAGTTATGATACGAATGATTGATCACACACATGGACGATTCTGTGGAGGAACATAACATGTGCAATACATCATCTTTGGTTGGAAAACTTAAGTACTTGGGATCTTATCTTGGATGATATTATAAACCAGAAGGAACTGGATTTGCTCATGTGAAAGTTGTAAATAAATTAAAATACTTCGCTCTCTTTGGCGTCATTCATATCTAGTTTATACTTGTAAATTTTCAAATATAAAATTTAACCCAGAATATCAACAAGCGTTGGTCCTAGCACCAATGGATGTTTATCCCAGAGGAAGGGACAATGACCGCTTAATCATGATCTCGAGTTTGGATTTATATGAATGTGAAAAGGATGTTTTTAAAAAAGTTATCTTGATTAAATTGATAATATTTAAATTTGACCTAGTTAAATAATCATATAAAAATGGCCTGAAATTAAGTTGAGTTGTAATCTCACTCACCACCTCAATCAATCTAATTAACACTGTAAACCAACTTGGAACTTTCCGGGAAAGAAAAAAGTGTAGGAGCAAAAAATGTGAGTTGATATTAAACTGCCGAAAATCACTTCTATGAAAATATTTCTTTTCAATTGGCTCTTGAAGTGCTTTGCGTGAGCGTGTTCACTTCGATATGAGAGAAGGAAAAAGAAAAAAGAAAATTTATATTCAATAACCTGATAAAAGACTTATTCATAAAAAAAAATTAATAACAAGTTTTATTTGAAAAAAATAAATCTATATGTTTATTTTAATAATATTTTATTTTATATTAGTCCTTATATAAAAATAAAATTTGTCAAGTTTTTGAATGTGATTCTTAAAATAATAATAATAGTAAAGAAGGAACAATTAAGGGCCCATATGAAAAGCAGCCTCTCATGTATGCACTTAATCTGGATTCCAGCATGTGCCCGTCTTTGCTATGAATGATTCATGGTTCAAGTTAAAATTGAACCGTCTACGTTTAGTCTAACTCAATTATTACATTAGGCTTGAATGGCGGAAATGATCGTTTTCGTGCCCGTTTGGTTAAGTAAAATAATCGATTTTTTCATTGAAAAAATCAATTAACCAAAAAAAAAAAAAATCCAAACGTCACCGTTTGTCATTAATCAACTGTTGGTGTTAAAATCGATTTTCTTTTTTGAACGCTGTATTTGCGAGCTTCTGATAAAAGCTGATCAAGGATATTGGGAAAAATTATAAATAAAGGTAAAAAAAAATAAAAAAAACACAAATTTTAATAAAAATAAACTTCAACCCTCTTCTCTTCTTTTTTTTTTTCATAAAATTAAAACTTTAGATCTTATAAAAAATTACTAGCATAAGTTCTTATTAACTACCACCATTCACTTAGTATTTACTATAAAAATAATTTAAATAAAATATTAATTAGTAGAGAAAATTAATTTAATTTAATTTAAAATTTAAGATCATTATAAAAATTATTGTAGAGGTCTAGAAAGAGAGAGAGAAATTTTACAACATTTTTCATATTGTTATATTTTTTATATTACCAAAATTTCAAGACAATGCTTAACATTTTTGTTAAATATGGCTTATATCCATGATATCATTAGAGATCAATTTTATATATTATCATTTTATTAGTTATTATAAAATTAATGTTTGGTATTTAAAAATTAAATCTTTCTCTTTTATTAAATTTATTTAAATTAAGATATATTAAGTTATTTATTTATGTAAATTAAATTGTTAATATTAATATAATTCTAATTTTTATAATTAATCAGATATATAATTAAAATAATACATTTTACTTCTTAAATAAAATTTAACAAATTTAATAATATTATATACAAATTTATCAATAATTTAATTTTGAAAGGTAATATATGGTAATTTATACAATTAAAATTGATTCAAAATAAATTATTTAAATATCTTCAATCATGTTAAAATTAATTTTTAAAAAAATAATATCTAAATAAATTTTTTTATAATATAATTAATTATAATTAAAATTAATTATTTAATTAATTATTTTTATAATTTATTATATTCAACTAAAATTTAAATAGACACTTTAATTATGACCAAACGTTAAATTTAGGCAATGGTCATGTTTGGCGTTTTGAATTTTGAGATGTGAGAATGGACCACAACCAAACTTTCTACGTCTTCTCATTTGTTAAGAGGTGCAAATAGAGCCTTAGATGGAGAGAAGAGTCCGACAATGTCAGTCATGCCTCCACACCTGACAACTCTCTCCCTCTTTTGCTTTAACCTATCTGGTATATCTAGCGGGGCCTACTAATAGTGTTGGGGACTTGATCTTTTTGGTGGGATGGCTTTTCAATTACACTTGGATCAAATTGATAAGAGAATCATATTAATTTGATTAGATTTCAAGTTTGAATTTTGACAGTTGCGTTAAATATTTGGTAGGAGTACTCCACGCTTGATAGGATCTCATAAGTTTTCAATTTGGATTAATTTATATTCCATTAGGTTCCTTCATTTTTGATGAGATAGGCTTATCTAAGACACTAGGTGCAATACTGAAAAAGAATAAGAAGAAGCTATTTCCCCCTAATGTATGTTCTGGATAAATTAGTTTTTTTTTTCCGGTTATGCTTTGTTCGTTTGGAGAGAAAAAGTGAAAGGAAAATTAAAAAAAAATAAAGTTTGCCCCCATTTGAATGAGGAATGAAAAATAAAGAAAAAAAAAAGTAAGGAAGAAAATAAAAAATGAAACCATCACATTTTATACTTTATCAATCTCTTTCTTTTATGCAAAACCTCTCTTTCCTACTCTTCTTTAAATTCTTAGCTAGGAGCTACAATGTTTCATTGTACTTTATAGGTGATTTATATTTAATTGTAATAAATTATCTCCATTCAATATTTTAAATAAAAATAATATATTTTTATTAAATTATTTTGTTTTAAGATATAATATTATGATGATATATTTCTAATAAACAAATTGATTTTAATTTTTTTTATGAAGTTAACTTTAATATAACTTTTCCTTTTAATTTGTTTTTTATAAACATAATATATGAAACATGACATATTTTGATATAAGGGTCTAATAATTATTATAATATTTACTCATTTTTTTTCTCCTTATTCTCTTAGGCTCATCCAAACATAAGGGAGGATAATATTTTCTTCTTAATTTTCTCTGCTCTTTATTTTTTTCCTCTCAACTTTTTTTTACGTCCAAACAGGGGGTTAAGGAATGTTTTTGGTTCTCATGTTTTTTTAATAAACAAAGGATTAAACATCTTTTTTTTTTTTTTGAGCAAAGGATTAAAACATCTTGTTGGTTGTTTATTGCTATATTGCACTTTATTGACGGACAACGGTCTCATATGCTGGTGTCTTAGGAGAGGCTGATCCCATGAATCTCCCCACAAAGCAAGTTCAATGGAGCCTTTAAGCTCACACCGGCATAAATTAAATGTGCTTTCCTCCCTCGATATTTCTCTTCCATTCTTTATGTGTTTTCAAATTTGATTACAGTAAATGAGTGAAAGAGAAAAGGAGGCAGAGGCGTGTGGTGGAGAGAGGGGAGCTATGTCAAATGTGGGGTGCACAGCCACGATTGAGTTTTGTCGTTTTGACTGGATGCTCTTGGGATTAAGATTGTCATCGCCACTCACTATTATCCTTGTTGATTCATTTCACTCCCTCCCCACTATTGCCTCCTTATCAATTTCCTTGATAATCAGTATAAGTGAGGCTTGATTCGGTTATGCCTTTTGAATTCTTATAGACACATTCATGGCATATCCAACATTTGCCTCAATAATATATTATATAAGACAAAATTAACTAATTTCATGGTTTTTAAAGGGTCATACTTTGCACTTGTAAAAAGTAACTTTCTAACTTTACCCATAACTCTATCATAATAAAATAGTACCTCTCAAAAATTTTAAACAAGCTAATTTACTGCAATTAAGAAGGGGCAAGAATGAAACAAAAAACTTTTACTACCACATCTTCTTAATATATTTCCACTGGTTCTGAATACAAGAAAAAGTAACAAACTCATACAATTTAAAAAAATTAATAAAATGTAATGATTATATTTAACAATAAAAAATTAAATTAAATCATCTCCATAATTAATAAAACAAATTTATCTAATAAAAATGAATATCAACTTTATGATAAACAATTTAAGAAAAATGTCAAACATGCTTTCTAAAATCTCTCACTTAGAAATAAAAAGAAAAAAAATTCTATTATACTTGAAAACGAAATAATAATAAAGATCTCACCATAGCCTTTTTATTATTACCAAATAAAAAAAGAAGAAAGAAACACGAGGTAAAAGCCACACATAAGTTCAAGTTAAGTTACATTGCTAGGCACCATCTGATCATAAACCAATAGACTATATGATGGTTAATTTCCGGATTGTATGCATAGCCCAACTCGTACTGAAACATTGCTCTGAAAGGACTAACTCGGAACATCAACTTCAGCCAAACATGCAAGTGACATATGAAAGGTTTTGTATATATTTATTAGATAGCGTTTGAGGACGACGGTCCTGCTTTTCAAAAATACGGTTCATGAACTTGGAAAAGGCAAGGTTGTCCATCTTTCTTTTCCAATTGAAAGGGAAAAAGAAAAAAACTAACAATACAAATTCAAACAAGATCCCACTCCAATCGAAGCAGTTTTAAGTAAAATTTGATGCTCTCAAGGAATGGTTCTTTGGTAAAGAGGCAAAGCTCCCAATTCCTCGCGCTCTGCTCTCTCCTTCTTCACCTGCAAAACGTGGATAGCAAAGTATTTAGCTGCAGTTACCACACTACTATTTTTAAAGATTAATACTTCTTGTTCATGCAACTCAGCAAAATACTGATATCAAGTAGCTCATATAGGAAAATTCTCGAGACAATTTCACAAAAAAATGGTTACACTCAAGCGCCAGCTCAACACAAATGGATTTTCTTTTGTTGATCATCATCCTTAAAATAATTACATAAACCTGTGTAAGGAGGTTTCCACGGTTACTAGGGCAAAATTATTCTGCAAGTTTTTTCTCCTATAGAAAAGGTCATTTTTTTAGGGTAATACATTGTTTTGGACTTTCGGCTCATTATCTACACATCACATGCCCACATGATTATGTAGTAAGGAATACATTCATTCTAACCTTAAATTATGCCAAGTCAACAATGAATATGGAAAAAGAAAGTACTAGATATGGCAGAATATTGTCAAGTCAAGTGATGAAGAACTTGACAACAAGAAAGACAAGTACATCGGAGCAACAGAGATCAGACAAAACCCCTCCATGGCATGAGGAAAAAAATTGATAATTAGCACGCTCAAGTTATATCCTCTCGTAAGCACAGAAACATAGGACTATAACACAATGCAAAGGATGGGTATAATCATGACACGTAAAATCAGCCACGACCACTGTCACCACATATTTAGTTATTTAATTTGAAAGTACTTACAAGGGCCAGCATATCTTGAAGGTAGCTTCTGAATGGTGTCTGCATCGCCTGTCATAAGGAGAGACATTAGCATTTACATCTTAAATGCAGTTTATAAAATTAAACTTAGGTTTCGAATGATAGTGGGGATGTCGCTCATGAAAGTGTCCATTTTCATATATGCAAGCAAAATGCATAATCCAAAGGTTTGATCAGATATGTCATTCTGACTCCATTAGACCATTGGTTCAAAGTATCAACATTTCTATCATATATATTCAGAATTTCCATGTTCAATTGTTAATGAAGCTAACATCCGCTCCTACCTTGCTATCTAATCCAAGGCCAGTTACCAATTTTCCATCAAGTACAATTTTCAGAAATCAACACATTTTTTTCCTGTCAAAAAGGCTTCTTTCCGTAATATTTCCACAAAGAGCTTTACTAACCTAGAAAAGAGAACCAAGCATTGACAAAGAGTTTTACAAAAGGATGGAGTGGTTAATGGTTCAAAACAAAATTCCTGATATCCAGGTGTGCACAACTCCGTTTATGCGCAGAACAATCAAGGAAATAATAGCCAGAAGGCATAAAGTAGGAAGAACAAAGAAGAGGCGATGAACCTGAAGATTCTCGGGGAGGTACTCGTGCTTCATGGAAAGGTCCATAGCGCGCTTAAGACGCTGATTGCGTGCGTCAACAATCTCCCTAGGCAGCCGATTCAGGGCCTCCTTCACATCAAGATCGTAATACGGATCGTAGAGATCATCATATCGGAGCCCTAATTCCCAAAATTAACATTAAAAAAGAGAAGGTATTCCGAAAAACAGTGACATAGATAATGGTTAAAAAAAAAAAAGTGGGATTAGGGATTAGAAAAGAGAGAGATAGGGAGGAGGAGGAGGAGGAGGAGAAACCGTATTTGCGAAGGCGTTTGGACATGGATTTCATGTGCTGAGCAGCCAACCAGTTCTTCCTTGGATCCAGAAATGACTGCAAGAACGACGCCATTGATCCCTCTCGCTGATTCACTCCGCGAGTGCCCTTTCGTCTAGCTCGGGCTGTCGCTGATTTATTTGATATCTCGCGATGAACTTAGGAGGAGCAAGGGCTTTCTTGTCTCCTCATAATGACTCTTCCTCGGCTACACGACGACGTTTTACCTGCTCTTTTTCCCCCTTTTTTAAAAAGAAATTAAACATTATCTTTTTTATTTTATTTTATTTGTTTTTCCACTAACTTATTTTCCAAGATTTATAATATATTTTGTTTGACTTTCCAAACATAATGTTGGTTAGTTAAAATTGGTAATTCAAATTTAAATAGATCAGGCGTATTTTGATCAAGCTGAAAATATTATATCTTTTTTAAAAAAATTTTATAAAATTAAGCATTGTTCTAACTATTCCGGAGCAAATTTGAGTTAACTTATTAACCTTAATTTAAATTACTTACTCTATTGTTAATATATTAAAAGGTACATAATTTTTTTTTAAAAAAATGTCAACTCAATTAAATTAAATAATACTTATATGTTATTAGTTATAAAATATTTTTAATATGTTTTACTGAAATTAAAAAAAATATTAAAACTTGTTGATTATTTTTAAACATTCAACGAATTATTAACTTTGTTTCTATTAAATATATATATTTTAATAATATTTTTTTTTGACATTCAGTTAATGATAAAAGGATTTGTTATAAAAATTTAATGATATAATTTATAAATATAATTAAAAAAACTTCTCTCTAATAGAACTGGAGATAGTATATCTTTCTTTAGCCCAAAAAAATTTAGATCTTTTTTTTAATTCCTAACATAACCTAACAAGTCAAAAATGTATATAATCACGCTTTATTATTATTTTTTGGTCTGAAATAATCGCGCATTATTAGACATTTCAAGCAAAACCATCTCAGTATCGATATTGTTTGAAATAGTAAATTAATAATCAAAAGCGGGCTTCTATCATACAAATTATACGTGTTTTTTCATGGTGACACAGGTTCTTAAACTATATAGCAAGAGTTGTTATGCGCTCGTGCTTATGTTATAAAACTTGTTGCAATCACGGTTGCGCCAATTATAGATTTTTTTTTTGGTGAATTGATTACATATTCAATCATAACAAATTCAATTTCAATTAAAAAGAATAATTATCACTTTAATTGATTATCATACTTAACACTGAATATATTAATTTAGTGTTGCCAATTATACGTAGTAGTAAACAATTTAAGCCAAGAGAAAACATAAATTAAAGGAGGACTTCACTTTCTTCAATGAGAAAGTACTAATGTATTACATGTACATGCATGGAATAATCTTGTCACCATAAATATCACGTTTTAATTGAAGGTTTTTTTTTTTTGCCAACCATTTTTTTTTTAGAAGATTGAGATAAAAGCCAATACTCTTAATCTTTGTTTGCAAATATATTTTAAATCCGCTACTTTCTGCTAGTGTTTTTTTCCCCTGGTATAAAAATAAGCGAATATTTGACCATATCAATATTTTGTCGATTTAATGCCATCAAAAAAGTTTTTATTCTTTCCCATTTGAGAGAAAAATGATGTTACAATGCAAGCTCACCAATCAATGGTTGGCATTCAATCCAAATATGTATTAAAAGAGCAATCTGAGTGTGTGAGGGCTTTCTTTCCTCAATGAAAAGGCTGTAGATGCGAGTGTACGTAGATTTACATGATTTATATATAAACAATCCAAGTTCGTTTGTCTATTTTTGAAAAAAAAAATTGTTTTATTCATTAGTCGTACATGACAGAAGTCATTCAATTAATGTCATGACCACGCAATAAATTGTAATCCTATCTATCATCCTAAGGGATATATCAAGAATAGTAAAAGATGAATGTTTTCATTTCCTCTCTTTCTTGTAAAAAACTCTCTTCCTCCAAGCCCACCAAACCCTTGTGATAAATTTCTCAAAGGAGGGGAACAACGAAAAAACTCAAGATACCAGCAATGAATTCTAAGGTATTTTCCTGCTGCAAATTCAGAGTCTGTTTCAGAGTTCAAACGATTCCTTCCCTTCCTCCCACCGAATCCTTCCAGACTCCAGAGAAGATGATCTTCAACCTTAATCTGACTATACAAAGAATCATGAGCACAAACTCTCCTGAGGATTGCTCTTAATATGGGAACCCAATCCAGATATCTTAACCAACAGCCAAATCCATATCATGTGTCGAGATGGCGTCTTCTGGATCAGCCTGTCTACTTTATATACATCCATGAATGCCATACTTTACCACAGATATATTTAAAGCTAGCTGTGAGGAGGTGTTCTGTAGGTTCTAGTTGTTTTACCCATTAGTATTTGTCTTCACTGTTGAAACTCATTCTATGCTTCATCTCTCCCCTGTGGGTTGTCATCTCATCCAGTAACTCTGCATCAAAGAAATCGTCAGATTTCTCATCCGCTTCCGGCACTTCAGTGGGATCTTTAGGGGCACCAGCAACTTCCTCGTACTCAGAAGAATCTAGTTCCTGGAGATCGCCATTGCTGAATACCTTGGGAAGCACGTGCTCTCTTATCACTATGAGAAGGAAGAACGGTAGTGGAAACAAGACCCCCCCAATAGGTATCCATGTCACTCCGAAACAGAACAGAAAATACAGACACTGCATCAGTGTAAAGAGAGCTATGGTTTTGAACGGCACTGACTCAACGAACGACGCATGATCGCCTTCCAAAATTCTGCCAAAACACAACCAGAAACATCAGAACTATCATTTGAAGTGACCAAATACGCAGGGTGCAGACATTATATATGCAAGGGGGCTTACTTGTGACGCCTTCCTGGGGTGATAAAGAGAAGCAATATTCTTTCCCAGAACTGATTGCCTGGTAGACTGTCAATGGCCATATAAGCGAAATAACCCCAGAGAACTGAGGTAGGTATCATTCTGATAACCGGCATGGCAAAAACGGATGCTCCCACCAGGAGGGACTGCAACAAGTTGCTTAACCTTTGCTCGTTCACTCGGACTGGCAAATAAGCATCAATTTGTTTCTCAGGATCAAATTTTTGTTTCACACCGTCTTTCTCATAAGGTTTCATCACAGCCTCTTTCAGAGTCTCCAACTCTTGTTTCTGTTAATTCCACATTCAAAATATGGCACAAAATTAATGGATTCAGATGCTCTTCAAATGCCTTCATTTGTGCATAAAGCCACCAAATACCAAGAAAACCATGCTTACCGTTGGGGCTGTATCCATTTCTATGAACACATCGTGCATCTTTCCATATATTTCAGAGTTGCTCCTCTGTTCCTGAATACATTCCTTGGCTTTTTTAACCACTCTCTTGCGCATCAACTGAGAATTAATCAAGTTATATGAGTAAGAATCTGTTCAATTTTATGTTAAAGAACCTATCCAGCACTGATTAAACCATTAATGCAAAGTAAATATGATATTAATTACCTGCCTCTTAAGAACTGCTAAACTCTTGGTATGCATGGGGGATTGTGGAAGGACTCCATTGGATGGAGGAAGCCCAAGAAGACCGCAAATCAAAGTCTAAAAAGGAATAAAGATATTATAAATATGAAATCATCAAGAGAAATCAGAAAGATCTATTCTCTATGAAGGAACTTGTTAAAGTTTGGAGGCAAAAAAATAATTAACGAACCATAATTCCAAGCAGAAACATATCGTGGTGGTAGGCATCTGGATTTTGAAGGTTGAATTCCTTTTGTTGAGCCATCTGGGAAGCTACATTGTGATCGAAGAAGTATAAACCTGCCACCATCACGGCAGGGATAATTGCCGCAAAGATGTAAAGCACTGGCACCTTACCCATGTCCTGCAGTTCGTAGTTTCAACATCAGATAGATTTTGTGGCTCAAGCAAATCGTCACTTGCACTTCACAATTTTGAGCAGTGCATCCATTTCTCATTGAATTGAAGCAAAGTAACAGTGGTATAACATCAATACCTTGACTACGGTCCAGTGGTACAGTGACGCGGCTTCCCAAGGAAGAGGACAAACCAGCCTTCTGGGAACACCGTGTGGAATTTTGGCCGGTGTCATATAAGATAGCGCAGACCAAATCAAGACCACCGCTGGAACCCCATAATCTGCAACGAAGGCTCGCATCCACCCTGTGAATGCCACGGAGAATACGAAAGTGGCTGTGAGATAAATTACGCCTAACATGAGTCCATAAAAAAGCTTTTATTTGTATGATTTCATTTACCTGTTCCGTAACGCCATGATCTTGCAGTTCTGCTTTTGTGGGCAGTGAGAAGTACCCCGAAGGAGAAAATAATAGCAAGTAAGCCATTTGCATACAGCCATTGAAATTGAAATTCCTCCAACATTGGATTCTCATTCTTAGGTATTTGGAACTCGGCTACCAGTCCCTGCGATTCAAAGTCAATCTCAAATGTCAGGTTGATCGCTCAAGTTAAATGTAATCTGATTGTGGGGAATTTGTGGTTTCCTTAACTGTAGTTTCCTATTCTATTTTATTTTATTTTATTTTATTTTGCTTGATTTTAACCCTTTCAAAGTAATTACTCTCTTTCTTAAAAAATATAAAATACTTTTTAAAAAATTAAATATTAAAAAATATATGATATTTTTAATCTTTTAAGTTATAATAATTTTTTTAAATATCGTTATTAATGATGATTTTATATTTATTGTAAGATATTTAATAAGAGTAAATATTAAAAAATAAGATTAGTTTAAAATTAAGTAACTACTTTATCGAGAGTGAGATTCGATTAAAAATGACCTATATTTTTGAATGGAGGGAGTATTATAATTGATTTTGTATAATAATTCAAATTTATTAGATTCATTAGGATTTCGTGTTATATACAATCCCCAATAAATATGATAGAATAACCAGAATAAAATGAGAAACTACAATCAATGATCAACCGTAATTAGATTACATTGCATTAATAATTTGCAGTCAACTTCGCTGGAAGGAGAAAGCAATACCTTTATAGCCTCTTGAATGAAAAGAACAGTAATCAACATGCCAAATAGTTCCCCTGCAATTCTCGTAAATTTGTTGATGATCGTGCACGTATTAAAAACTGCAAGCAGAATCAACATGATTCCTGTCCAAACACAAACCCTGTACGTTGATGAACAAGCATGTTAGACAAAGATCCACTATGATGTGGAAATAAACAAGAGTTGATTAAGCCCCCCCCCAAAAAAAAAAAAGAACTTACCAAGCAGCCCAAGGCAGAAACAGAGCAGCACCCAGTTCTGGCCTTTGTTTGCAGATCTCGTACAGATAAGTGTACATTATAGCAGTGGGTTCAGCAACCCCCAAAATCAGCAGAGGCTGGCCACCAAATATCGAGTGAATAATTCCACAAAGAGCAGTAGATGATAATGTTTCCACCGTACTCAATGCTCCATCTGATTAAACATGCATGTTTTTAAAGCCTTTCAAACGACTACTATAATTGCAGCAAAAGCGACAAAATAGCTTTTAACTTTATACATATACATATATATATATATGGCAACGAAAAATACAAATTAAAGCCGTATGGGAAGAAACGTTTACCAGTATCTCTACTGAGCTGCTCTCCAAAGGCGATAACAGGTAGAGCAGAAGCGAAAAAGATGTAAAAAGTTGGACCCAATATCCTGGCATAGCATAGTTAAAGTAAGAACCATTCATACATTAATTACCAGTTTGCATGTAATTAAGCCTAGAGTATAAAGGAGAATTACTTGAAGCCAGAACAGGTTCCTGTAATCCAGTCTTGTTTGTAACATGTAGCTCTTCCTTTAAAATCTTTAACTATTCCCTGACCCGGTTTCATGTTTCCCATTGCTGACGAAGGAAAAATTTACGCAAGGGTTACATATGAAAAGGAGTGATTCACATGCAAGTTTCAGAAAAGAGGATTCATCAGCGTCATCAGCAGGTACAGCCATAAAAAAGCAGGAAAAGGGTACCCCTTATACATATATAAATAATTTAGAATCCATTTCGTCTTTACCGTTTTTATTCTTCGACAAAGCTTTTCAAAAATATTACCGAGCAGAACGTGTAAAGCTGGATTAAAGCATGCAACATACATATAAGCGTAAAAAATCGGTTTGACTGCGTGTCCGGTAAGAAACGATTGGGGAATGAAATAATAGAATGCGGCTCCACGAAATTTCCCAGTCGTCATTCATCATTGGCGCAAAAGAAAAATGAAAAAAGAAAAACTCCATAAATGAGTTTATAAAGAAACAGACATTAGTTGAAAACAAAAGAAAACAAAGCGGCATGATCAGGTTGATGCAACAGAGAAGAATGAATGAGGACGCACGTAGTATTGAGGGGGAGGAGGGGGCCCACGGGGACCCTCACGGCAAATTGAGGAAGGCGATATTAGTGCGAGGGGAGGGCTGAGGCAAAGATGAACGGCGGAGGACCCTAATTTCTGGTATTTCCTTTCTCTCTCTAAAGCTGGAGGCCAGAAAGAGAGAGAGAAGGAGGTGAGAGAGGCCGGAGGAGAGGGTGGCAATTGACGTGCAAAAATTAGAAGGTTCAGCCATGCAAGGCGGTTTTTGTGGGGCCCAACCTTGAACCTCCATGCTTCTGTGTCCAAGGGTCTCGCTCGATTTGCCACGTCCCTGTACTTGATTTTTTTTTTTCCTTTTCCCCCCCTTTTATTCTTGGTTTGACCAGTGGTTTTGAGGACAGACTTTTTCCTTAAATCCTATGAATTCACTGATATAATTGCTATAATTCCTAATTAGGATCTTTTAAATTTAATACACAATCTTTGACTATAAGATGACAAATTTAATTACAATATTTTTTGATAAATTTAATTTAATTACAACTTCTAGTTTTGGAAAAAGAGAAAGAAAAACTTGATATTCTTTTCTTTCATTTTTTTATAACATCTTTTATAAAAAGAAAGTGAAACATTTATGATGTTTTTTTTTTCAAAAATGCCCTTCATAATTGCATGATATTAATGGTTGAGAGAGAAAATTACATTGTTGTATCCCAAAGAGAGAGAGAGAGAGAGAGAGAGAGAGAATTATAGTGATATTAATCAAAGGGTAATTTTTTTAAGTCAATTGACAATCAAACCATAAAATATACAACACTATAAGGTAAAAGTAGTAAATCATGCTTTTTAAAAAAGAAAGAAAGAAAAGAAGCTAAGTTAAGAGTTTGTGAGGTTGGCTATGGAGAACTAGCTTCCTAATAAATTGGGCGCGCCATCGCTATTGGAGTGCAGGCATGCATGTTATGTTCACGTAAGAGAAACAAGTCAAGAATGACGCATAAAAATGGAGCAATATGCCGAAACTTGGACCTGCATGACACTTTATGCTGACGAGTCCCACGTTAGGTGAGGAACTAAGGTTTTTGGATTTAGCAAGAGCTACAGCGAGAAATGGCAACAGTTTGTTAACAATGTCTCACTTTACATCACATTCTTGCAGATCAGAATTTCAATCACGTTAACCATGAATGCCATTCTAATCTTGTACTATCCAATACAAGGAGAAAGAAAAATCATGGCAAAAGATGTATTGTGCTGAAAAAATCATGGCAAAAGATGTATTGCGCTGAAGCAACCTCAACTGCGTATATAACAAATGGATATATATTTCATTTTGACATTTGTACTGTACAATTAACATATTCAAGATATCACAGGTAACCTATTTATATACAAAAATCAAGGGATCGGTAAATTAATCTATGAATGCGTCTATCAATTTCCCTATCTCTCAACGGCCATGCAGGATGGCAGTCATGAACACATAAAAAGGAGGGCTTCGCGGGTACGACCAAGCAAGCTCAAAGCTGTGGCAGCAATGTGGTGTCCAGTCAGTCCTGCCTGATCAAGCTGCTCGTTTGGTGATGCATGCTCTATGTAACTGTCCGGTAAGACAATAGGTCGCCACTGGCAGAGTCGATTTGGAAAATAAAATAAGATATCAGACGGTTGGCAGTTAAAATAAAATCGATGTAAATATATATTGTAGAATTTATAAGAAATCCCACTATCCCCAGCTTTGCTAAAATCACTCATGAGAGGCTTGTGTTATAAACTCTGTAAGTAGGTTTTGAAAGTAAGATATTTATGTAATTTTAACCAAATTCGAAAGAAGTTTATATTAACATCGAAGATAGAGAGGAAGTCTTCACAATTTCAACAAATTAGGAGAGATCTATGTAATTTATTATAAAATTTACCATAGCTTTCTGGACCACACATGAACACATATAATTCTTGTCTTCAATAGATGGACTTCCCTAAACAAGAAAAAACTGACAGAGAACGGCCTCACCACATTGGACGGAGCAATTACCTTAATTTTTCCATCAAGCTGTCCATCAAGAGCGAAAAATTGGGCAACATGAGAACCAAATCCTCCAATAGATCCTTCCTCAACAGTAATCAGGAAGGAATGGTTCTCACAAAGCCGCCTGAGAAGACTGATGTCCAGTGGCTTGCAGAACCTTGCATCAGCAACTGTGACCTCGATCCCTAGCTTTGAAAGAAGTGTGTGGGCTTTTAGGCAGTTCTCAACCATTGATCCGTATCCCAGTAAAGCAACGTCTTTTCCTTCAACAATAATTCTTCCTTTTCCAATCTGTGTATTAATATAAAAGACCTCAACAATTAAAAGAACAAACGTCATGTTATCTTATATTATGAGAAATCTAGGGGAAGTGGAAATCTCAAGTTAAGTTTGTTATGGACAAACTATCAATTAGTTTACCCCTTTCTAATTTATATAGGCTTTACTCAACCTGCAACGTATCCTGAAAATAGGGTGCCAATAAATTACCTCAATGGGTACTCCATTGCATGCAGCGCAGTTGCTCCTAATTATAGCACCTCTTGGATACCGGAAGCAAATTGGCCGATCATTGACATGACTAGCAGTAGCCACCATGTGCACAAGCTCAACCTCATCAGATGGTGCCATGACTATCATATTTGGCAAACATGACATGAACGCTATATCAAATGCTCCGCATTGGAGGGGACCATCAGAACCTACCAATCCTGCACTTGTAATGACAAAACGCACTGGAATTTTCTGTTGATCAACATCATGGATCACCTGCATACGCACAAAATAAAATGTTAAAAATGAAAAATCCTATTCACAATATCAAATCACTCATTGATCGTAACTTCAACATAAGTAGGTGCACTCCCATGGGGGCATGCCCAGAGAGAGAGAGAGAGAGACTTATGCATACAATAATAGAAGTAATACTAATAGTCCATTTCTTTCTGCTTCACATTAAGATCGTTGCTGATTTCAACTACAACTACACTTCTCTTACCAACCCTGATTGTCTGTGAAGAACAGATGGTTGTTACCATGATAATTTATATAGAAATACGGGTGAGAAATTACTTGGTCATAAGCTCTCTGAAGGAAGGAAGAAGGTATTATGCAAAAAGGCTTCAATCCACCACATGCCAAACCAGATGCAAATGTAACTGCATGTTGCTCAGCCATACCCACATCGAAAAACTTATCTAACATTTTTTCTCGAAACAGTTGATGTGATGGTTCCATCGTAGGTCCTGCATGAACTACCACAATATCTTTATCTTTCTCTGCTTCCATGACCAAAGTTTCTGCCAAGCAATCACTATATGTCCGAGGTTGACCAGCTTGATGAAATGAATCAAAGCTGCTAGAACCTGAAAAATTAAAATAGGTAACTCGTGAGAATTGTAAGACCTAATTGGCCATTATTGATAGTTGGCAAATATGTTATAAGCGAGGTCATAAAGAAACTGAGCTGTCATCCTCTGACGTGCAAAAGGTTCTGAAGACATGCCTTTGCACTCACATGAAAAAAAAAAATAGAAGAGGATGGCCAACTCCAGGCAATGCATGTTTTAGCTCAAAGTCAAAAACAGCTTGGAAAAAAAACATTTTTTAGCATATATGGAGTATTATATGCTTCATACGTCAGTCACTCAGTCATAAGAAGCCACAAGATTTTTACATCATTTAAGTCCATCAATCAATGAAGAAAGTTAAGACAAAAAGAAAAACAACAAAAACAATATGAAAGATGAAGCAATTCAGAATGTGCATGTGCATTTTGTGTTTCCAACCCAAGCAAAGGTGATTTCATTTTCTGAAATGCTTGGTAACTAAAGCAGAGACATACAACTAAATGTAACAAAATATTAAAATAAGAGACAGAATAGAAAAAAGCAGTACCGTCCTGCTGCTTTTCTGCTACTGTACTCAGATTATATTCCACTCCTTGGTTTTCACCAGTTATTACATGAATCAGGACAGGGCCCATTGAATCAAGAGATGCTACTTCTTCTAGAACACAAATTAGCTCCTCAATGTTGTGTCCATCCACAGGGCCAATGTAATACAACCCAAGCTCCTCAAAAAGAGTGGATCCTAGAGGACCCATCATACCACGTGCAAATTCATCAACTTTAGCTGCTAGTTCATGCATACCTCCACCAATTCGTTTTGTAACGCCCTGACAAAAACAAAAACAATCACTTCAATGTAATGTGAGTACAAAGAATAGGAGAAAAAGCTTTAATTGTGTTGTCTACAATGAAATCTTGCAAGGGCCCATAAAGCTCAGTGCCCACAACAAAATATATAAAATTCATCTTTTGAATTGAACATATCAGATTAAACAGATCAAAGTAAATCTCAACAGAACGAATATTATTATTATTGAAAACCAAAAAAATGAAAATGGAATTTCTAAGGAAGGATAATAAATAATAAGTGCATGTCTATTTTGTAATGAAATCACAAGCTTGCCCGGAACCACTCTAGCATGTAACAATGAGAAGAATAAGAACATAAAAGGGGGGAAAGAGGATTAAAATTGGACATGCAAATCTTCCCTAGAGTACAGAGAGAAAGAAATATCTTTCAACCAGGTTGTCAGAGGATGCCACATGATTGATCAAAACCAGAACCTTTCAATGGGGGGTGTGCGTGCGTAGAGAGAGATACAGGGCATACCACCATTCATATCAAGATATTCTAATTAGTATTTCATTACCGAGAAAAATGCATTTTGTACTAGTAGTTACCACATTTGAAGCATGAAAACATGATTTTTGAAGATCAGTACGTCAAATATAAGCGCCATAACTTCAGCATATGGATCCACATATAAGGAAAACAACTTATTCAACATTGGTTTACAATATAGGAGCAGAAGAATACTTTAGCAACTTCTCTAAACCTTCGGAAAGATTTACTGGACTGGATCCTGCTTAGAGTACCAGATAATGCATTGATTGATGCCTTTGGGCCCTCCTCAACTTTTGGATGTAAAGAGTAACGGCAGTCATTCAGAATCACAACCATATTTGAGTCCAAATATCCTGCATTGCTCATTGCTTCATAAACTTGACCAGCCATAGTTGTCCAATTGCTGATAATTGCAACTACACGTTCTCGCCTCCCCTTCATATCCCGTGCAACTGCCATACCTGAAATTAAACAAATAGATGACTTCAAGATTCATTTGAGACATTATATATCGGAATTTGATAATTGATGACACAAAGTTGCCTCTTTCAATGCAGAAAAAATTATCTCATGCCAATCCAGATGAATTTTCTCATGATAGTGTATAACAGCAAGGAAACAAATAGACCTCAAAATTTTGCCAAGTATGATTGACAGAATTGGATTCACTAATTACCAAGTCCAGCAGAAATGCTGTTGCATCCATGACCTGCACCGAATGCATCATATTCACTCTCAGATCGAGACGTAAATCCAGAAAGGCCATTCTTTTGTCTCACTGTCTTCATGAGGGATCTCCTTCCTGTAAGAATCTTATGTGCATATGTCTGGCAACAACATATTGATTAGATTACATGATCCAAGTAAGGTCATTCAACAGTTCGTTAGAAAATGAAATCGAAGAAAGAGGTATCTTTCATAAGATTATAACAAAATGAACTAATTGACAGGCATAGTATATCAGCCTTTAAACTTCACTCTCCTTTATTCCCCAAAAGGAGAGAAGGAATTTAAAAAAAAAAGGAAAAAGAAAAGAAAAACGGGAACAAGCATTTATGGTAAAATCTTACTTGATCTCCAACATCCCACAAGATCTTGTCCACTGGAGCATGAAAAACATGGTGTATTGCAACGGTCAGTTCCACCACTGCCAAACTTGCTCCAAATGAAATGTGTGCATTTAACATCATCATAGACAATTCCAAACGGATTTCACCTGCCAGTTGCTTGAGTTCCTATAAATTATGGTGTAGGAAATAAGATCTTGTGAGCTTGCCAGTAAAAATGATGTAACACTATCACCAAGAGGAAAAAGATAAAAACGCTTTTGAGCTTATAACTAACCTTAAGAGATAAGTTCTTCAAACAAAGAGGACTATCAATTGCATCAAGCATGGGTGTCGGCACTTTCTCCCAGCTGAAATCATCAATATTAGGACGTGCACATATACGGTCTACAAAACCCTGCATCAAGATCATGTAAGATACAGCTCACTCTTCAAATAATTAACAAAACATAAGTTTTTACTCTAAAATAGTTGTTAAGGAGAAAATGCACAATTAAGATTTTAAGCTTGTCATACTTCTTATATGTCTCTCATTTGAATGTTACAGTCACCTTAGAACCCCATATCACATACCATGCTGTATTTCAATCCATAGATTCTAACAAGTATACCTCAGATTTGTCAATAAATATTTTCTTTGTATTTATTCCTCAAGATGATATTGAAGAAGACAGCGTTTGCAATTTTGTAACTGGCAAAACAACCAAAGGGTACTGACTGATCTTCATAAATTCACACAAGACTTGTCCAATAAATATAATAAAATCCTTCATACAGTGATAGAATAGTTGATTGATAGGCTTTGTAATTACAATCAACCCAAGAGTAAGAGGAACGTCTAAGAAAATTTTCAATCTTTGAGGTCTCTGAATAATTAAATCCTGGAAATAAAACTTATATGGCTACATAAATTTTCCTCTTGGCCTGTCATCTAACACCGTGTGTATATAATAGTATGTTTGTGCAATGCCAAGCAAGATTCATCACTGCCTTATATTTTGAGATACTCAAGCTAGTTAATTGACAGCCTGACACCATAGTAATTTATCCACGTTATCTTACTACCATTCTCCCACCTAGTGGGATAAAGCTTCTTGTTGTTGTATCTTACTGCCATTAAAGCTTTTACAATCCAGCAAAAACCATATTAAACTAACCAGATTTCAAACTTTCAATTTGTTAGCTTTTGGATGGAAAGGGGCGTAAAAAAATGCCAAACTTCACGTGATTAATCACAACATATGCCAATTCTTGAATTTGTTTATTTATAATTAAAAACTTTTGTTCCGTCGAACCCTTTCGAAGTCTGATCAGTTCTATAAACACAAGGAAAATACTGAGAAATTAGGTAATTTGAGTAAAGTTCAACAAAATCAGGCAACAGAAAAATGAAAATGAATAGGATTGCACATAGTGAAATTTATTGTTCCAATGCCTTTGCAACTTAAGCATGTGACTTAGATGAAATTCATAGTTGCGTCTTCCTTTAGAACGATGATAGCATTACAACATGAAGTAACAAACTGTAAATGCTTATCTGCAAACTGTTTTGTTTGGGGGAAGTGATTGAAACCTAAGAACCCTCCAAAGGAAGGGGACAATTAAAATACCTTTGACGCTGTGGAGGACACAGAGCTTGGGCACAAACTAATTCTTGAAACGTCAACATTAAGAGGAAACTCGGAGCTTGAGCTATCCAGTTTCTGGATGGAGTGAACGGCAAGTCCAAATGGGTATCTAGCAGATGCAGTACCCATCACGAAAATTGATCGAAAACTTCAAAATTTATTGAAAATAACTGGCAGTGGTAAGCATGATTCCCGAGCTGCAGCTCTCGAGCATTAACAAAAATGAAAAATTGACAAAAACCGAACGCGAATCCTGGGTGAAGTTCACAAAACGACAGAAGAAACATCGAAGGGTATCGTAGAAAGACAACAGACGAATCAGCCCAGTTAACGAGGGCCGGAGTCTATCGTCGCATTTACAACAGAATTACTGGCTCAAAATATATATATATATATATATATATAAAATAAACTAAAATCTCCCTTTACAATTTTATTTATAAATTATTTTTATTATTATCAATATTAATATAATAAAAATATTAAAAATAAAAAAATAAAAAGTTAAATATATCTTTTAAATAAAAATTAAAAAGTAAATAAATTATATAATATTATTTTTTTCTCTTTTACATTTTAAAAATATTTAAAAATTTTAATTTAATAAAAAACAATCATATTAACTAATAAACCTATAAAATAAATCATATTATACTTTTAAAACACGCCTAATATACAAAATCAAGGCGAGTATTTGTTAACTATATATGAATTCATAACCTTCTTTTCATCTATCATGAATTAAAACCAATAATAAAAAATAATACATTTTTATAATTATAAAAACTTCATTAATATACGGATTTTTGTCAAGATATATTTATATTTTAAGTGGATTGAGTATTATTGTATTTCTCTCATTTTGCTCTTCATTTAATGAATCAACTATAGCATGATTCCACACAATAGTTTTATCAGAGACGATTTTCTGAAAAAAAAAAACTTTTTTTAAAATATTTAGATAATAAAAATAAAATTCTTTAAAGAAAGCGATCGTTATTTACTATTTCTTTATTATATTTGAGGATAAAGGGAGTGTGTATTATCAACCGACTCAGTCGTAGTTTATAGCCCACAAAGGGATTAAAACTTGGATGCTAGACGTTGATTACTTTGAGAAATTTTTACATGCACCCAGCCGCATTATTGATGCTCTATTTGAAAAAAGTGTATTAATTCAGTTAAATGAAATTTTATATATAATTATTTTTAATAATTTTATTTTTGGAACAAAGCACATCTTTAATTTATTGTTTTCTCTCTTTGTTATCATTAAACAAAGCACATAATTTTATATGATAGAATATAAATGATGTGTTATATTACACGATAATGATTATTATTACAAATGAAGAATTTTTTTTTTTTTTGGTTGGGAGTAGACTAAATGAAGAATATTGGGACTATTGAGCTAATCCATTTGCTAACTCGCACATCACAATGGGCCTAAGTCCAGAAGCAAAAGACTTCTATCCCGTAATTACATAAAATAAAAAAGAAAAAATAGGTTAGTTTAGGAAAGAAAGTCGTAATAAATAGGAGAGGTTCCGTGCCTCGTGTCATTTCGGTGTCTGTCGGGTTCATTCCTTGTAGATTCGGCAAATTGCAACGGAAAATGTCGGGAAAAGGAGCGAAAGGGTTGATAATGGGTAAAACGCCAGCTGCCAACAAGGACAAGGACAAGAAAAAACCCGTTTCTCGCTCCTCTCGTGCTGGTCTTCAGGTTTTTCATTAACCCTTCTTGATTTTCGTGTTTTTCTTGCTCTCATTTCATTCTCATAATTCACGTTCCCTAGTGGCAAAGCCTTCGCTAATTCGTCGTTGAGTCAATTGCGTGTCTATGGATCGTTTTTGGATCCGTGCTTTATTTGTATGCGAATGACATTCATATCAGTAGGCAGATGATTACAGTTGCAGGTCGCAAATTTCTGCAACATGCGCTATATGGTATAACGACCATATAACGTTTACACTTTCTGCTCATAGTATTTTCTGTTCCTTTTACTTTAAGGAGAAGTAATAGTTGGATGCTCTAGTTGATTATCTCATCGGTTTCTCGTTTGCTGAAGCGCACATGAAATGGACTTGTTTAAGGTGTGTATGTATCTGTCCAAGTTATAATAATCCCTCTGGACGGGACTGAAGCCTCGTATGGATGTAGCTCAGTGGAGTAACTGATTACAGATGCAGTGCTTGATAGCTCTACATTAGCTTTGACAGGATGGAGTTGATTTAGTGATTTGGGTTCTCTTATATTGAAATTCTCGTGTATATGAGCGTGGTCGGAAGAAGTGCAGCCTGCGGGCCTGCAGGTTTTAGTTATATTGTCGTTGAGAAAATATGACTTGTAGGGATTAACATTCATCTTATTCCCCATGCTATGATTATTTCGATGGTCGCTTCCTTTTAACTGTTGAATGCATTAATCTTTAATTTCTACAATCGCCTTCCAGTTTTTATCAGGACTTGGCTTCGTTATGGATTCTTGTACTTGTTAACTTCAAAGAACGAATTTCTATTGGAATTTGAGGCTAAAACCTTGTGGATTGGTATAATTGTCTTTATGTAAAGGAACGTTTTGCATGATCTTGCATTCCTCATGTCATTGCCCTGAAATCATATTCAATACATTTGTCATTATATCTAGCACACCTCCAGGCATTGGTTTGTATGTAGTTTTCCGAAAGCAGGCAGCCTTAAACAATTGGCTGTGTGATATGTGTTAAGATTGATTGAGATGATAAGTGATGCAAAAGAGGAGGTCGGTGAATGATGCTTGGCTACCATACATATATGCTAATAGTAATATTTAGTGGTGGAGGAGGGGTTGTTGTTTGGTAGGTGAGAATTGTTGTTGCTGATTAATATTTTCCCATGGTTCTTCAAATTTTACTGCTCCCCTGGTTGGATCTGCAGAAATGTATGATGTATGGTTTGAATTGTGACGAATTTCTAGGAACATCTTTCATCATTGATAACTGTTAGTGTAATTTTGTTCCTTGATATTCTTCAAGGTAACTGATGCATCACTGTCTTGTATATTTTTTCACAGTTTCCGGTGGGACGTATTCACCGACTTCTGAAGTCAAGGGTGACGGCCAGCGGACGAGTAGGTGCAACCGCCGCAGTCTATTCTGCAGCTATCTTGGAGTATCTTACTGCAGAAGTTTTGGAGTTGGCTGGCAATGCAAGTAAGGATCTCAAAGTGAAGCGCATTACGCCAAGACATCTACAGCTTGCAATCCGAGGAGACGAAGAGCTTGACACCCTCATTAAAGGAACTATAGCAGGTGGTGGTGTCATTCCTCATATTCACAAGTCTCTTATTAACAAGTCGTCCAAGGAGTAAGGTTTCTTGTGTGCCAGAATCGACCATGGAAAAAGTGGAACTCTGCTGTAAATGGGAGGATATTTCATTTTGAGGATAACTGAGCAGTTGCTCTAGTCTGATGCAAGCAACCTTCTGTGGTAATTTAAGTCGTGATCCATATACGTATTAACAAAATTCCATGGCTTGATTGGCTTCTGTTCTATGGCACGCAATGCAGCTGGAACTAGCCGTCTAGGCCTGTTCTTCGCATGCTGTTAGTCACTAACAACTGTGTAAAGTCTATACTTATTAAAGCGAACCCGCAAGATCCAATTGAAACAGTAAGGTGACCAGAAAATAAACCGTCGATTGGACTCGCCCCAACATGTCATTTCAAGCCGAAGCGAATGGGGTAGGATTTGCTCAAAGAAGTTAAACTTGATTTAAGAGCTGGACATATCAGTTAAGTTGAAACTTTCTGGTAACTTACATCTCCCCCTCAAAATCACACACGCTTAATGGGATTCAACATTTTCTCATATAAGACATGGCGCAAGCCCGGTCATAGCGTGGGTTTCGCGAGGGGCACAGGCTTGATTTACCCTATCAGTAATCTAGCTCCTTATCTCCCACCTACTTCTTTAATTTTCTTTACACCATTGATTTGAGGATAACTAATTTATTGAAATTACAAAGATATACTTACCCCTGAAATCTGCAGAACTTCCTCTCAACCTAAAACATTTCCTCTGAACCAAATTTTGTGATTTTTAGATTGAAAAAGTTACATTCTATCCCAAAAAAAAAAAAAAAAGTTACATAAATCACAAATTACTGAGTAAATTGCTATTGACCGCCCCCGCTGGCATTGGTAACTCCTTTCACGACCGCCAATTCGGAAACTAAGGCAATATGATCGCTACCCCATTTCTGTAGGCATACAGAGAAGGCGTTAATAAAACTCAAGCGACAATCCATTCAAAAGCAAAATACCTAATGTGAAAATTGATTATACGGGAGATGTAAGGAAATGAGCACTGAATTCACGAGATAAAAATTCAGATGAACAAGAACTAAAAATAGGGTCTGGACAAGCACCGGTAAGTAAAATACCAAAATGCTCATCCATCCCTCTTACAGTCAACTCTATTGTGGAACGCGTCACAAATATGAAGGATCTTTTATATTCACAAAAGACGATGTATATGATGCGCCACGCCAGGAGTCTATTCACTCAATAGCACCCCACACGCCATTAAAAAGGGAAGGTTGTGGGTTTAAACCTCAAGTAGTGTAGGAGGGGTTGTGCGTGCCTGTCATTCTTCCTTATAGGGAAGGGTCAAGATAGGCGTGTTCATGTAATTGATGTACTTCCTCCATTTTTATTTATAAAATTAATGAAGGCTTAATTAACACAATTAATAAAGGGTATTGCAGTTCAATTTTTTATTTTTAAACATAATTAATATAGTTAATTGATTTTTTTAAAACTATGTGATATAGTTTTTTTCTCTCCTAGAAATAGAAATGGAAGGAGTATATGATACAATTGAAAATAGATTAAGAGACTAGAGTCTAGTCTAAAGATAGAACGTGAGGTGAGTCCTACAAACAATCACATTCTAAACCTTACAATAAAATACCTTTTCTCCCAACTAATCTTTCAAACAAAAAACTACACATTCAACCATACCTTTGTTGGGAATCCTGGAGTGAATTCCATAACTCGTTTGGGAATCGGAGCAAGAACCCTAATTGTTTGGAGACCATCAGATCGCCTGTATCCCAGATCAATGAGAAAAGTATTCTATCAACCTCTCGTAGACCAGAGATAAGGATGCAACAAGAAAAATCAGCTCTTGAAATATTAATTGATAATGAAAATCAGTTACATCAGATATACTACTTCGAAAATCATAATGTACGTCCTAGAACATCAGAGATAGTATTTTTTTTATTGTATAATTATTCTGATTTCAACCCAAAATAAGCAGGCAGCAGGGGGTAGTAAAACAGCAACCCATAAACTTTTAAGAGTCTTAGCACCTACCAAATGTAGTCAACAGTACCCAAGAAGCGTCGGTGATAACTAGTCACCAAGGGTTCTCCATTAGGGTCCCTAGTCCCTGGACAATACTGCAGGCATGTAAAAAGCACCAAGTAACAGAAGAATAATAGAAGAGCAGAAGTTTTAAAATAGTAATGATGCAACATATCTCAATTTGCATTTTTTAGAACTACACAAGCAAGAATTATGACAATTTCTCCACGAAAAAAAAAGTAGCAGAAGAATTTGAGACCTACCATAACTTCAACATATGTGCTCCTGAGAGGCAGAGAGTGCTCCAAGAAGGTGCAATCTGAGTTTCCTGTAGCAGTCTCTATTTCCGTAGGAGTCCACAAGGATGGATTATAAGTGGTACTCTCTGCATCAACAGATATAGATTTTGGACGTGAAGGTTAGTCAACCTCCACAGCATCACCTTGTGCATGAAGTAGCTAAGTTGTCAGTAGCAGAATCCAGGGGTGAGCAAAACCGAACCGAAACCGAAAATCGAACCGAATCGAATCGAATTTTATCTATTTGATTTTTCGGTTCGATTCGATTTTTTTATTTTAAATATTTCGGTTGATCGGTTCGATTCGGTTAGTAAAATTTAAAATCGAATAGACCGAACCAACCGAATTACATATAATTTATTAATTTATAAATTATATTTAATTTATAAATTATTTTATTTTTATTTTTATTTTTTATTGTAATAAAGAATAAAAAATAATAACATCACTTGAAACCCCATTTCAATCAGTCACTCTCATCAGTAGGTATTGTGACTGGATTATGAGGCTATTATTTGATCATCGGTGTTTATTTATGGTTGTTTATTTGATTATCCATGCCTTTATAATATTTGGGCTTTATGTCATAAGGGTACAATTAGAATGGGCTCATATTAAAAAAATAAATACAAAAAAAAGGCCCAATTTTGTAGTGTTGTTTGTTTTAATATTTAAAAAATAGGCCCAAACCGAAAAACCAAATTAACCGACCGAACCGAATTATCAAATTTCGGTTCGGTCCTTGTTCGGTTCGATTGGCTTGTTCGGTTCGATTCGGTTTTCATTTTCAGTGTTATTCGATCGATCGGTTCTGCATATTTTGAGACCGAACCGAACCGAACTGACCGATGCTCACCCCTAGCAGAATCCAGTTTGTCAGACTTACCTGACTTTTCAAAATCTGTCCCAAATGATGAAAGGAAGCCTTCTTGAGCAGTATGCAATGCGGATGTAAAAGCATCAATATCTTCACCACTATTTTCATGGCCTAGCATATCTTTATCCATCTCATCAAAAGACAGTTTCTCTACTTTCTCTTCTAATGGAAGGTCAATGTCCGTGGATTGCCTTGATTCGTCAGCTTGATATGAGGGTAAAGTGCTACTCATTGGGACATCAGAAGTCAGCTCAAATGATGGGCTTTCTTCATGTGTCAAATGAGGGGTTTCAATAGAATCAGAAATTGACATCTGACTGGACAGGCTAGTTGAAGAAATTTCTGCACTGGGAAGCTCTGATGACTCGGGATTTGTTTTGACCCTGAAAGATTGAGTGTCTTCGCCAAGGGAGGTTGAGCAATTGCCAAACTCAGTGTGCTTATTTCCTTTAGGAATATCCAAGTTGAATTTTTCACTTAATAATTCTGGATATGAAGAAGATACAGCATCTGATATTTGTTCTGCGCATGCCATCCCAGCTTTATCAGGGGAAACAGCTGAAGATGTCATAAGTGTAATGTCCTGAATATCATTGTTTATATGATCAGCCAGCAACCTACCTTCATTAAAAGATGTAATGGACTCCTCTTTTATGCCATCAACTTCATTGATAGTCATATAATTGTCTAAAGTAGTCTGCTGAATAACCTTCTCTCCATACGAAGCACTGCTCCCATTTTCACTTTGCACATTTATTGAAGACTTAGTAGACATATTCAATGCAATCTGATTATACTGACTTTCCACTATGTTATCTTGATTGTCCAATTTCTGCAGATCTGACGAACAAATATTTTGTTCAATGGTAACTTCCTTGCTACCCATGACAGATGTGTCTTGAGCAAAAGCGTTTGCAGATCTTTCACTGCATTAGTTTGTCAGATGTTATGAGATAAATTAAATTAATTTAATAGCATAGACACAACATGCACAGAATATACCTAGAATTAGGACCTTTAAGCCATCGTTTGTGAATCTCAGCAGAAGCTTGTCCTGATACTTTATCCCTATCTATTCCAGACAAATTTAACTGCAATAAAATGAAATTATCATTTTTGTAGCTTAATCGGTGTCGATCATAAAACCTGAAAAAAGAGAGTAAAGGACCACGAGCATACCTTTTGCTCTGAAATAAAGTTGTATAATGGACTCTGAGACCAGATTTTTTTTTTTAAAAAAAAAAAGAAGTTAACATCACAATATAGAAGCAGCATTTCTCACAGAATGCGCGCCAAAAAAGTAAAGTGGAAAAGATAACCTTCGGGGTACAATTAAAATCCCCACATATAACAACCGGAGCATCATCCCAGATTTTAGAAACAGCCTTAGCTCTGTCCAGTAGCACTCTAACCTGCTTGAAGTAAATATATAGCAGAAAGCAATTACAAGAAGAACGGAAGCAGCTGATGGAGTCACTAGTCAAAATAAAATGATATGAGATATATCGTCCAGCATTTACAGAGATAAGAATCTGACAGACTGACATGATGCACATTCATTCAAACTTGCATTTCTGTCAAAATTAGCAAGTTAACAGACTGAAAAATCCACATCAAGCAACACAATATGACTCAAGATGCTGGTTAAGGACATGCCAGCCAAATATGCCGTAACCAGAACCATGTTTTGGATAATCATAAATTATTCATCGACAAACAGAGTGTAAAGAAGAATGATCTTTACAAAATGGGTGCAATCAGTAAATAGAGAGTATCTCTGTAACATTAATTAAATAGTAAAGAATTCAAAATAGAACAGTTTCAGTTGCATAGAGACAAGATAGAAACTAGTAAACATGATCCTACAGGGAAAGTAGCATTTGCCATGAGAAAGGAAAGAAGTACAAAGATGGAGGGTAATAAAATCCTCCCACAATGAAATCATGTCAAGCAATGACTGTTGAATCAAAAGTAGGAGTAATCTTCCACAGCTTCAAAGAGATAGATATATATCAAATTATTTGATATGGCAGAAGGAGATGAAGAGAGAGAAAACAAAATAGAAAACAAAGAAGAAATTGAAAGAAGAGACAGAGACCAGAGATAGATAGAAGAGAGAATAGAGACTAAATAATACTTTTCAGATTCAATCATAAGCGTAGCCTCATATTACAATTAGGGTCCCTTATATAGGTTCCCAGATCCTTTATTCTCTGCAGCAACTAACTAATTAAACTCAACTAACCAACCAACCGACCAAATATTCTTTATTTCTTTATTTATTCTCTTCATATCAATGCTCCCCCTTCAAAACCCTTGACTACAATGAAACCTGAGCTGATGCTACAGCTTTAAAACATAAAAGCCATCTATCTTGTTTATCCCAAAGACACCTTCACATCACCAGGACTTCCATGAACTCATAACCACTGCCCAGTATCAGCTAGAATCAGTTCTTCAGGTTCAGGAGGAATTTCAATAAGCTGTATCCGCATCTTCTCATCTAGAAAACATCTGTGACCTCAGAAAAAGGGTTTGCAGCAATAGAAACAAAGATTCTTGGCATGAAACTCATCAACACCTGGTGGGCTTAGTGTCTTTGTGATTCTCCCATCAGTTGGTGAAGAAGACCCAACTGATGAAGAAATAGAGGGAACATGACCTCTTTTTGAAGAAAGAGGTTGGGACATGGCCGAAAAGACACTTTTGTCCTTAATGAAATGGGACCCGCCATCTCCAGCTGCCACTTTTGCATCCTTCCACCTTTTGGACGAATATGAGACATGTGGAAGAGGACCCAATAGACCAGCCCAAGATGATCAATCTCTCCTACTTTTGTTGGAATCTTTGTACTCGGCATACACCTTCGTCAAATAAATCTCCTGCAACCTTGTGAGAAGTTGAGCATCCTAGAGAGTAGTTGGCTTAAGTAAATGAACAAGTCTAGTCTAACAAACCCTTCTTCTAAGCTTTCAAGATAGGTCTACACTAAATAATCCTCTGTTAAGTCAAGTTTAGGTGTGATTTCATCAAAGGAGTCATTGTAGTCACCAAGACTCCCATTCTATCGAAGCCTCATCAGTTTGACCATAGCTGCCTCATAAGGAAGCTCAAAATGCTTCTTGATAGCCTCCACATATTCTTCCCATCCTATTGCTCTCCCTGGCAAGTACATTCGAGAGCTTGGTGCCATTGAAATGCTTTTTCATCTAGATGGATGCTAGTCGTCATGACCTTCCATGCTTCACGCATGTCGTCAATCCAAAATTAGCATTCGTATTTCAAAATCCAACTGAGAATATCATTTCTTTGAAATCTAGGAAACTCCATCGTAGTGAAACAAGTTGGAGGCTGGTAATCATGGTGCTTGTTTCTTGATCAATGATGATCGCCGCCACTGCTGTTCATTGAGTTTCAGCTATTACAAGATTCATCAATGATGCGAATCAGTTGGGCAACCTAAGCCATCAACATCTGCAATTAGGTCTCTAAGGTACGAACTCTTTCATCATTCTGTTCTGCCATTCTTTGGGACGTAGGCTTGGAGCAATTCTTGGGCATGTAAGGCTGAGGAAAGAGGTCTGTAGATACCACTTGATATGGTGGAAGGAGATGAAGAGAGAGAAAAAAGAATAGAAAACAAAGGAGAAATAGAAAGAAGAGACAGAGAGAAGAGATAGATAGAAGAGAGGAGAGAGACTAAACAATACTTTTCAGATTCAATCACAAGCATAGCTTCAGACTACAATTAGGGTCCCTTATATAGGTTCCCAAATCTTTTATTCTCTGCAGCAACTAACTAACTACCCTCAACTAACTAACCAACCAAATATTCTTTATTTCTTTATTTATTCTTTTCATATTATTATTCATTCTAATTCCTAAACTTATAATGAACTAAAGATTGGGCAGAGAAAATGTGAGAGAATTTAAACAAAGAACCTGCCTCACAGACAGTGCATACCTGGCCAAGCTTTATTTCTCCTCTGTTGGGATTGTAAAGAACATGTATGTTACAAATCACAACTTTATTGGAGCCTGTTGAGCTGCAGATACCTTGCAACAATGTTAGATTGAGCACAAAAATATCAAATAGTAAGGATGTATAATAATTAAGGAAATGTGTGTGCGCGTGCACGTGCGCGTGCACGTGCACGAAAATCTATAACACTCTGGATGCCTCAATCATGAGAAGAAAAAACACAGCCATTCTAATACAAGTTAAGCTCAAGTCAAATAAACTTTGACCTCATACACGATCCAACATTATAAAGCTTCAATATATGAAAATCCTGTGAATTTACAGAAAAATTCATGTCTTCTGAAAATTTTAAACATAAACCTTCCAAGACAAGATACCAGTCATGTTGACTTTCTTGGGAAAACTGGAACACATTCTAGTGGTTCATTTTGCTTTTTGTCTCTATTTCAAAATTACCATAACGTAATTTCTTTTTCTAACTTCGCGTGGGAGAAGCACACTGCTAAACAAAATAGATTTTTTTATGAACAAAATAGATTGCACCCATTATGGCTTTTGTCTCTATTTCAAAATTACTGTAATGTACTTGAAGTGGATATTGAAAATTTCTGACTGCAGGGAGCATTCGTCTAATACGTTCATGTAAGATCAATGCATTTACCAAGTAGACTGCATACACTTTTTAGAAATACCTTTTTAACCGCAAATATAGTGTTCCCATTGCTAATATTCATTTCAAATTTTCTTAGAGCTTACAATCTAGTTCATTTATGATATATTCAATGACAGCAAAGCTCTCTTACCCTTACAAGAAAAAAGAAGAAGATAGAACTCAACACTTTCCCAGTAAAAGAAACAAGTTATATGGAACTGAACATGCAGCCACTTTCTCAAGAACATAAAGTTAATAAAAGTGAACAAATCCAAATTACAAAAGGATGGATAAATACCTTGATGGTGGAAACCCATCTTGATTCATTAACTGTTCAAGGTAGCAAATTATGTAAAAGGAGTGCATGCACACTAAGGAGGAGAAAAATTAGCTCAAAAAATAAACAAATACAAAACTAATATGAAAGTATTATCATGTACCTCTAGCACACATATCTGAGCGACATTGTCCCTAAGTCCCAACTTACTAAACTCAATGCACTCTTCATACCGCAAATTGAACCTACCAGATGCAAGCATGAATAAGATTATTTTCATTATTATGTGAAGAAAATAACACACTAAAGTCGCCAGCTAGCACCAGCCAGGTCAAGCTAATTGTTAACCTAAATTTCATGCCAAAAACAATAATAATTTATACATAAAAAGTGCAAGAAAACACAAAATGGGTTAGAGGTATTAAAATGATCACAAAGTATTTGAGGCATGCCAAAAGGCATTTGAATTGATTTATTATTATCTTTTTTATTTTTTCGTATCATGTTCTGGGCGATGTATCAATCATACTTTGCGTGAAATTGAATCTCCTCCCCACAATTTTAATCATAGTGCTCTCTTGAGGAATTGAACCCAAGTTGATAAAGAGAGATATTATCCCTACATCAATTGATCATACCCCTTTGGACTATAATAATCACACTCAATGCTACATTTCAAGCATAAAGCCACAAACAAGATGGATTCTTATAAATGTAATTTTGCCTCGGAAAATATTTAGCACAATAAATGCTGTTAGTATCATATTAAGGCATTGAAGTTACATTAAACAAATGGAAAGCAGCATTTAGGCTTCAAAATCAGCATGGTTCATGTTAAAGCTGTAAAGGACCTTGATGTTCGCCAAAAGATCGCACAGCCATCAACTGGATTACCCGTACGCATCTATATGTTAAATGAAACAAAATTAGACTTAATCATGCAGTTCAAGCCTTTTTGTGGCAAGAAGCAGAGTATAAGATGATTAGACAACGAGCGGATAAATATATTAGAAGTTAAAAAGAACACTTTTGAAAAGTGATGATGCTGAAGATAGGAAACTTCACATGAACTGGTTATAACTTGGCTTATAACATTTGGGAGAAATGACAAAGCACCCAATCCATCGAGTAAATGATGTGGCACAGCTGTTCAATATGTCCACCAAGTGAAACATAACTTTTTCTCTGTTTGACTCCACATGGACACCATTCATTCTCCAAAAGATGATGGATTAGCAACAAACTCCTAACAGCCTTTATTGTGTGGGACACTCAAGTCTTTCAAATTCACAATAATTGATGACATATCTTGTTACATATTATCGTTAAATAAGTATGAAGAACATTGTCTCTTGATAATACTTACAGAAGTTCATTCAAAAAACGGAGCGTCTATCAAAGCAATGCCCATAAAAATTAAAAAGTAGCATAGTGAGGATTGAAGAAGCTAACACACCTTCCAGATGCCACTGTATCCTTGGTGCTTCAACTCCTCCTCCAAATCATCAAATCTATCAACCTCCTGAAAGAGATAATATATTAAAAAGGAATATTCTTTTGATGGTCAATCAAACATTCTAAGTTTAGCTCATACAAGCACAAAAGATAACTAAGAGTAATGCGATCTGCACATTAGACCCTGAGAATAATTTCAAAAGCCGAAGGGCAACTTCAATTATTGTTTTGAAACTAAGAATAAGTAATGAGATATTAAATTGAATCTCCCCTTCAATATATCATTCTCATATAGCCAAGTGCAACATCTGCAGTTCATATTGTCTTGTACAAACCAAATTAAATCATGAAAAGCACCCAACAGATTTTGAATATAAAGACAGTTCATATTGCAGATAGATAACCTGTAGACACATGATATCAGGCGACCACAATCCAAGTTCAAAAACTATATTTCTCTTTCTCCATTGCCAGTCCAACATCCAAGGAGGTATGTGAGAGTAAAGTTTGCTCCGGTGATCAATAGCAAGGTAGTCGGCCAATACATTATATGAAAGAATTATAAACCGTTCTGTGAAGTATAAAAAAATATTACAGTAGAACAAACAAAATTTGAACACAAGATAATCTTATGACTTCAGAGACTAAAACACCATACCATAGCCATTGCTGTACATCTAATGATTTAGAATTTCAAAACAATCAAACATGAACCACATAGATGGAAACAAATTTGATCATGACATGTCCACCTCTCAGTTGCAAATTCTTTACAATGTTATCCAATTTACAACCTTTTGGAATTAAATGGAAAAGGAAATAGGATATAAAAATCTGATTTTATAGATGAGAACCGACCATTATACTCTTACTTTTAAAACATATTAAAGAGAATAAGAATTATTAAATAATTATTACAAGTGTATGATAAACGCTACAAAATCTTTCCTTCTTTTCCTTTTTCAACATGACAGCAAAGATGCCCTAAGCTCCTACTCTGGGCATTGAGAATGACTGAAGTAGTATACCGCATCATTTCTTGCCACAGACTAATGATAGTCATAGTACCATTCCTGCCTGGGCCTTTCATCTTAAGAGAACCTAGCATCTTTCATCAAGCATGAATAAAAACTTCAGCAAAATCAGCTTATATTGTTCTTTGTTAGTGTTGACTTCCCGAAAACAAAATTTACCAATCAAAACCATGTCATTGCTCAATAAACTTGTATAGAGAGATTCTTAATAATAGAATGTTTGCAGACTCTTTCTTATCATAAAAGTAATGACAAAACATTTTACTATCATGAATTAAAAATGTAGACCAGTTTAATATTACTTCAACAGAAGCTTCCTGGTTATGGGATACTATGCTTAATCAAAAAACCCAAATCCATTAACAAAAAGAAAAACTTCCCTGATAGACATCTTTCTAAAGCTAAATTTGAAGACCATCTTTAATAAGCCAACAATATTACAATTACATGGGTGTGAAGTTACCGCAATGAGGAGGAGGGGACGCAGCAGCATACTCCCAATCTCTGTAATCCGGAGGCCGCGGTCGGACCTTTTGAGCTCCATTGTAAGGAGGAGGGTGAGAAGGATGACGAAACTGTTGAGCATGGTTATAAGGAGAAGGGTGGCGACACTGTAGGGCATGATTATAAGGAGAGGGGTGGCGAAACTGTTGGTTCCGATGGTAAGGTGGGAAAGGTCTTGGATTGAAAGATGGATTCCGGTCTCGCCTTTGGTTCGCGAAGCTTCCGCCTCCATCTCGCCGGAATGCCGAATTGACATCTTGGACTGACTGGAAGTGCTCATCGCCAGTCACGAACTCTTGCCTCCCACCGGAATAGGGACGGTTGAAGAATCCTCTTCCACGTCGACGAGGCTACAAAAGAGTAAAAAGTGCACATTAAACTTTCAGGCACACAAATTTGTGCTTGCAACAGTACATGTAGGCATCGACAGTGGGAGAATACATGATGGTTCGGAAGCATGATGGCAGCGTTGGCGTCAGAAGCAGCGGCGCCAGCGAGCAAACGGAACGGCGCACGTCTCATTGTAGGAGGAAGCGAGAGGGAGAGTAGGAAGGGAGGGGAGCAACTGATGGGCCATTGCGCGTGAGGCGGTGACCTGGCGCGTCTGCGCACGCACGCTCATTGATGTGACGCGTGGCACATTCCCTCCACCCCGCGGGGGGCCGGCTGGTGTGAAGTTTTGACCCTCAAATCCCTAGTTCGAACCTTGAGGAGTCAATTTTGTTTGAAACGATTAGTAAACGAAGAAAGGAGATATCGAAACACAAACGTCCACGGCAGAAGGATCAAACACCTCATCTTTCGAAGACGATTATGGCACCCGTCATCACGAATACAAACTAAGCAGAGATTAGGAAAGAAGAAGAAAACGGCGATGTCGTTTGGTTCATCTCTGTTGTGTCCTCTGTCTGTTTCATTTTTCTCCAAGGTCAAATCTTCCAACACCCCAAATAAAACCTGGTTGACTTCTCGCTTCAAGGCTTCTGCTGAGGTCCCCGATTTTCTGTCTGCTAATTGGTATGCGTCTTTATTTCGCCCCCATCCTCCTGACGCTGTTGCAGTGCTTGCTCTTGATAGGATTTTGACTGTGTTCTCTTTTTTCAGCTTGTTTCCATAGGACTATAAGCTAACCCTAGTTCCTTTCTAGTATTACTTGAGAAATTTACCGTAGTAAAATGGAATTCGTCATCTTCTTTTCAATATTCGTGAGTAGAGCCGGTGTATATTAGTTAAATGCATGGAGTAAGTATGCAATAATGCATTATTGAAGGTATGGAACTGACAGAGCAAGTTCCTTATTCCTCGGTACAGTAAAAATAACGCCAAAAGATATTTTTGGGATAAAATTGTTAGTTTTACCATCAGTAGCTTGCCTTTCTTTGATATGGATTATGGAAGACCTTGACATTTTTTCCCTTTTTTTGATAAAAAAGGAAGGCCAATTTTTCCCCGTTTTATCACATAGTAACTTGCAATATTTCGGCTTTCTGTTCTGCAGGCTTGAATCTCGCAAGAAAAGGCCTTTTGGCCCAAGATTAGATGTAATTCACTGACTATGCTTGATAGGACTGATTGACTTTTCCGTGTGCTCCTTTTTGTTTTAATTATTAACTCTTTGTAAAGTTCAATGCAGAAGAAGCTGTACATTACCAGCTAGAAGCATTGAAATACAATGACCAACCCCATCAAGATTATGGGATTGAGGTTATGTACAGGGTAATCTTGTTACCTAAAATTTTCTAAAAGCTATTGTGCCATCCAGGACACAGCTTGATTCGTAAGCCTATTCTTCTGCTATTGCAGTTCGCTGGATTTGATCCGTTTGAAAGATCAACCTATTTTGGACCATTTTTTGATTTGGGCCAGGTTAGTAATGTCAGGTTATTCTTACTTTATACGGATGATAATGTTTATGTTGACCGTGTTCGCTTTTGTCAAGTACAGTTCGAAAGGTTTAGGCGTATTTTTCACCATTCAACCTATCGAGTGCTACTAGGTCACAAGGAAAGAAAGATTTTGAGCAGTTTGTTTGTGGAGGAGGTATCGCTTTTATTATTATAGTAATGCGTATTTTGTTTCTAAATTTATGGCTTTGTGCATTGGGGTCATTTCAAGTAAGAAAAACATGTATGCCTGCCTGTGTATTTACGATTTCCAATACGTTGGTTAGTTCATAATGTCCTTTTGCAACAAAAAAAAAAATCTTCGTTTATACCATTGATCTGATTGATGAACTCTAAACAGAATAAATATAAGCAGCGTGTTTGGATCCGAGGAAATCGACCAGAGGAAGAGGAGATATTTCAATTTACCATGGTGCAGGTCTGTTCATGGCACCTTTCAATCGATGATTGCATTCGTGCATGGCATTTCATGTTCCATTTCAAGCAATAGGCATTTAGAAGCTTGCTTCTCATAGGGATAATGCTTTTAGCTTTACATTTTGTCTGTCTGTGTGTTTTAGATATCAGTATCAGTAGTAATAGTAATTATATGTTTCATACAGTAGGCAGCTCCCATGCATATCCCATCATGTACATGTTTGATGCATTCCTGTGATTAGTTCTGAGTTTTTGCTGATTTCAGTGGGCAAATGGCGATCGCCGTTCTCGTTTTCTTATTCAATAATCTCAGCTGTTGTGTCGATAAATCTATTATATGGCCTCTGTTACGATGTAGCGGCTTTTTTCTGACTGATCGGTGTAATGTAACTAATGTAATCCATGCGTTGCTCGTAACTGGCAGAGAGTTGGTGGTTGCTGGGATGGTTATTGGTTGACAGAGTCTCTACTTCATGATAGCGATACATTTGCTGGTGGGTTGGCGTATTGAAAAACTTGCAAGGATCAACTTTTCATGTGGCCTCGTGTCCAAGCAAGATCTGCTACGAGTCTATTAGTTATCTCTGTAAAATTTGTACATAAGCAATACATCCAGCTAGTAATGGGGGTTATAGCTTGCCTCCAGATACAAATTTGACTTTGGCAGGCTTCTACGGGCTTGTGTGTGCACAAACACGCACATGTATGTACGTATATTTACGCCCAACCCACTTATTCTACATTTACCTAATTTAATTGTCCGTCTCGTTCCTTTGTCATGCTTCAACGAAAAATTGTTTTGGTTTCACGAAAGGTCTGTGCCTTTAACACATTACTTTTCTAGATTGCAAGGGGACTAAGTGTAACGGGCTGTTTGGTTCGATTTCATAAATTAAGATTACTTAATCTTGATCGCATTTTTACTATTCATGTTGTTTAGTTGGTGCAAGGTAGTGTAAAGATGATTACATCATGCAATCAAAAATTACTTGAAACATTAAAATTTGGATTACATTGGGGAATCTATGTAATCCTCATTCCTAGTACCAAAAATCAAGCTTTTGTTATAGTACTCCTTCCTTTGTCTTACCTCACTTTTATCATTGGACACTAAAATCATCCACCTTCTGTTGCAGCGATTGTTATCTATCCAAATTTGTCTTCCCCATCTTCCTCCTCGTTCCTTTCTCACCAAACATCACCTCCTTATTTTTCTTTACTGTTCTCCATTGTCCTTGTGAATTTAAACTTGCTACAACCTATTCGAAATTCTCACTATAAATTAATGGCGGCCACTTCAAAGTTCATACAAAGTACTATTGTACCACCAACTTTGACTTCTTATTGGATACCATATGTAATCTTCTTCCTCCCCATTATCTAGTTGATGCTACCTCCCTCAATCTCTACAGCTTCCATTGATCCCATTGTCGACACATTAAAGATCTAATTTGAAAATTGATTTTATATGTTGATTTTTCAATTTTGTTCTCTTTTAATTTTGAAGGGTGTTTGTATTGCGATGGGAGGAAAGGGCAAAGAATTTTTTTTTATGGTGTTTAGCTTGTGTTGGGCTAGGAGGAGACCGACCATGGTGATCAGCGAGGATTGACAAAGAAGATGGAATTATATCTTTTTATGAGGGTAGTTGCGTTTTTTTATATTTATGTCAATTTAATAGAATATAAATATTAAGTTTGATTCCCATACTCTTAAATAACATATCAAACAAATTCTTATAATTTCTGTTACATTCCCAATGATTCCATGAACCAAACGGCCATAAGGAAATGGCAGAGAAAAGGATTACATAAAATTCTCTTAAATTTGAAAGAACGAAATCGCAGTACAGTGATTTAGAAATAGCATCCTTTCTCTTTAATATCAAACAAAACAGAAGTTCAGCGAAGTATCACCTTTGGCCAATACGAAAACATCAATCTCCTCTCAGTTGCTCTAATTTGGCGAATCTAGTTTTGATAACTGATGCCAGAATTCTACCCCAAAAAAAAATGATGCAAGAAAGTGACAGCTAAAAATTGAGAAATGAAAAAGCAAAAGAGCAGCACTGTGACTCGGTAAATTGTCTGATATTTCTATTGCTGATAACGTTGATACTGTTAATTCTATCAAAAACGATTGTGGCTCTGCGTGTGTTGCTGAGTTTTGCTTGGAAGAGAAAACAGAGAACATGGCTAGCGATCGAAAGCCAAAGGCAGTGATTGTGGGGGGAAGTATAGCTGGGGTATCAACCGCACTTGCGCTCTGTTCCACAGGCTGGGAAGTGGTGGTGCTTGAGAAAACCAGTTCACCTTCCACCGGAAGTCCCACCGGAGCTGGTCTCGGACTCGATTCTCTCTCTCTAAGGATCATTGGTTCATGGCTTTCTCAACCGGAGCTCCTCCACCACTCCACCATACCCCTTACCATAGATCAGGTCCGTTCCGCTTTGAAATTTTCAATTGCTTTGCCTTCTTCGTGCTTCTTCGCTTATGCAATCATTCGTTTCTTTAATTTTTGTTTTTGTTTTTTTTTTTTAACCTTTTGGTACGATTGTGCTCAGGGTCTTATTAGTTAATCGAGGGGTTGTGAACTGAAAACGGTATCTCTCAATTCTTCCCTTTATTGGTTGCCTTAAGTGAACTAATGAACTTATGTTTATGTATTTTTCTGAATTCAAGAGTTGAAGTTGTAATTTTGGAATCTCTCTAGCAACCTTAGTCTTTCTCAATTAAAACAATGACTTCATTAATTTATGGTTTCTTGAGCAGAACCAGGTAACTGATAGTGAAAAGAAGGTGAACCGGACATTGACAAGAGATGAAAGTTTCAACTTCAGAGCAGCACATTGGAATGATCTTCATGGCCTTCTGTACAATGCATTGCCACCGAATGTATTTTTGTGGGGTCACCTATTTCTCTCTTCTCATATTGCTGATGATATAGCCTCTGTTGCAGTTAAGGCTAAAGTTCTGAAAACGGGTGAGATCATCGAGATAGTAGGGAATCTGCTTGTTGCAGCAGATGGCTGTCTCTCCTCCATCCGCCAGAAATTCATCCCTCATTTTAAATTGAGGTTTCTGCCTCAAAATGAAACTGATTCTAGCGCGCACACAATTACCTTAGCATGTGTGGAAATCATTGGGGACTGATCTTGCAGGTATTCAGGCTATTGGGCTTGGAGAGGGGTTCTTGACTTCTCAAAAGCTGAGAATTCAGAGACCATTACTAGCATCCGAGAGGCATATCCTGATCTTGGCAAATGCTTGTACTTTGACTTGGGATCAGGCACGCACAGTGTGTTCTATGAGCTCCAAAACAAAAGGCTTAACTGGATTTGGTATGTCAATCAACCAGAGCCTGAAGTCCAGGTAATTGTCCCTCTTAATACTTTCATTCACTAAATGAAAAAGAACAATTTACACGAACATAACTCAAAAAACAAAAAGATCTAGCAATTATCTTTCATCATTAGCTTCCTCCAACCATAGAGGTGGTAATAACCATTAGCTTTCCTGTAACAAAGTTTGCCGGCTATTTGCTTTCTAAATTTTCAGGGAACCTCGGTGACGATGAAAGTGAGTAGAGACATGATCCAGAAGATGCTCCAAGAGGCGGAGAAAGTTTGGATTCCTGAGTTGGTAAATGTCATGAAAGAAACAGAGGATCCATTTCTGAATTTCATATATGATAGTGATCCCTTGGACAAAATATTCTGGGACAACGTGGTGTTAGTAGGAGATGCAGCTCACCCCACAAGTCCTCACTGCTTGAGGAGCACAAACATGTCCATATTAGACGCAGCAGTGCTAGGAAAATGCATAGAAAAATGGGGAGATCAAAAGCTACGATCAGCTTTGGAGGAATATCAATCCATTAGGCTGCCAGTCAGTTGGAAGCAAGTTTTACATGCGAGGCGTTTGGGGCGCATAAAGCAAGGTTTAGAACCTTTCGACCCCAAGTCACCCAGGCCAGAGGATTGCCAGGAGCTTCAGCAGAAGAACATACCCTTCTTCAACCACGTGCCTTCAATACTTAATTCCATTTGATTGCCTATAGCAGTAAAGATATAATCAATTAGAACATCAATTTGTGTATTACAGTGATACCAACATGTGTTATAATCAATTATTGTTTCTCTTGTGTCTTATTTCTCTCTTCATTGTTTTACTTATCGCAACTTGAAACTAAAAATTCTCATTATTAATGCACTAATTCGCATTGTTTTCAATATTAATTCAGAGAAACACAAAATCACCCGCCCCTCGTTGATGCATCAATTTGTATCCAGCAGTGATCCCCTTTAGTGTTGTAATGATATTACTTCTCTCACACGGAACTCTAAACATGATCTCCTGCAATTGCCTTGTTGACACTGAAGTACAGAACAGGGAATTGTCTTGGAGTCGGAAGAGTGGGCGGTATTGAAGGGTCTCAAGTTCGTATGGGAGATGGGATTCAGGAACGTTATCTTAGAGTCTGACTCCAGAGTCCTTGTAGAATTTCTCCAGGAAGAACGCACGGGGCGAACGTCTTGCAGTTTGGTCTTGTTGGAAATTTCTAAAATGTTGCTCTGCAACTGAAAGGAGGAGATTAATTATGCCCCTCGTGATCAGAATCATGTTGCGGATACGTTGGCAAAAAGAGGAATAGATGGATCTGAGTTTTTTTATTCTGTTCTTTTTTTGCCTGAAGGACATTGCGTAAAGGGGGATTATGGGGTCTCAATCCCCAAACTCTGTTTAGTTTTATTTTGCAACTGGGGTTAAGAAGAAGAAGAAGCAAGAGGAGGAGGAGGAGGAGGAGGGATTGTCTATTGCCTTGTTGAACAAGCAGTGTTTATATTGGCCAAAGATGTTGGCATGGGTGGCCCAAATTTTTTCAAAGAGAGAAGGTGATGAAAAATTACATGCCCTATTTTAAAAACTTGCCTCAATTTTTTTAAGCTAGGTTTAAGTTGTAAACTTGTAATAATAATTTTCACTTTTATAGCAGGGTCCCACCCTCCATATGGGCTGTTCTTTCATTTGCACTTGGGCCTACCTTGTATAATGTGTAAGGCTTAGGCCCGTTTCCTTTGTTCACCAAGAAAATTTTAAAAAATGGAAAAATGGAAAAAAATGTTTTTCTAAAAAATCTTACATGAAAAAGATAAAAAGTGGGGGAGTTCATAGATGGTCTAGTTTTTTTCTTTTTGATTGGATAGATGATGTAATTTTTATTGCATAGAGGATACATTTTGTCTTGGACAAGAAAAAAGTAAAAAAAAAAAATTGCAAAACAACAATCGCATCGATTAATTTATAGGTGTATAGCTTCTCTTTGAAATTTTGAAAATGGGCATTTTAACGAATTAAAGTCATTTTATATATTAGATTATAATACAACTATGCATGACTCAAGATAAAGTAATTTGAAAACCCTCATTAGTAAGATTTTTAAAAAAAATGGCCTTCAAATGTGTAAATTTCCCAAAAAGCCCACACTAGCATGGGTTCACGAAATTATTATTGTGTCGTGTATCCTGGGGTGGTTAATGTACATGAAACAATCATTGTCCTTCATTTTAGCTTTCGCACAAACACAAAGATGTGATGAATCACAAGGCTATAAATCAACAATAAATAAACACCACTGCCATGGTGATCTTCGCATAAAGCTCTCAACAAAAATGGACGAGATCACCTACATCTGCAAGCGAACAGTTGTGAGCACAAAGCCAGTTGAAGCAGGAAAGAACTTTCCCTTATCAGTTTTGGATCGTCACATGGAGAAAAACCACATCAGAATGGTGTACTATTACCCCAGTTCTCCACCTGATCAAGCAGATATCGGAGAGGTCACCAAGAACTTGAGAACCTCTCTGGCAGAAACCCTTACCTTCTTCCCCATAATGACTGGACGCTTGATCAAAGACGAAAAAGGCCACTGGAAGGTTAAGTGCAACGATGCTGGTGTCAGAATGGTGGAGGCAAGAGCCAAAGGAAGTGTTCACCACTGGTTGAAACATGTCAACAGAGAAAAAGAACTCCAACTCGTCCATTGGGAACACATGTTCCATAAACCTTATTTTTGGTCCACTTTTTACGCTCAGGTAAATATGCATGTGTGTATTAATTTTTACACTGGTTTGAGTGATATTGTATCAGAATAGTGATACTGGCTTTGTTGGTGCAGATAACTGAGTTTGAAGAAGGTGGCTTTGCAATAGGGCTGAGCTTCACTCATCTCTTGGCAGATACAACTTGTGGGACGAGGTTCATGAATGCTTGGGCTGATATTTCATCGCTACGCAAAATGGTTGCTCCTCCTTTAGTTCACCCACTTCCTCCACGCAGACTTGGGAACAAAAGCCCTAACCACCGACCATACACTGACTTGATCAATCACTACCAATCCTCTATTCTGAAACCCAATATTATTAGTGTCACAGAAGCAAAATACACTACCATCAGTTTTGGGTTCTCAGACGAAATGGTTCGAACCTGCATGAGCATGGTTCGAGCTCCCGGTGGACCAATTCTCTCACCTTTTGAAGCCTTAGCTGGGCTTTTCTGGGTTTGCTTGAGCAAGATTAAAGGAATGGATGATACTGGGCTAGTGGATATGTCTATATGCTTGGATGTGAGGAAGGCGTTGGGCTTGGACAGTGGCTTCTTCGGGAACTGCACGCTTTATAATAAGGTGCGTGCAGGGGATTTAGGAAAAAATAATAAGTTGGCACAAGCAGCAAGTGCCATCAGAGAAGCAGTGTCAAAGATGGACAGTGAAGGAATAATGGATTTGATTGAGTGGCTTGAAGATAATGATATGAATTGTCCAACGATGATGAACGGCCATGATGTGATTTGTGCTAACATAGAGGAAGTGAACCCCTATTTAGCAAGGTTTGAAGGTGAGTTTGAACCTATTCGTGTGAGTTATTATGCAGAGCCAGTTTTAGGAGAAGCGCAAGTGTTGATTATGCCAGCGCCACCTGGGGAGGGTCCGCTAAGCCGCGTGGCCATGTTGACCCTTCGAGGGGACGAAGCAGTTAAACTTTGTGAAGATGATCTCATCTCACACTTATCTCCAACTACTTCCATGAAAAGCTAATGAGCTTTTGGTGGTTTTGTTGGAAAAGAAGCATCATCAAATTAAGTGAATTAATATTAAAATAGGTTTAGCGTCATATCATACCTGAACTTCGTGGATGAACCTTTGTTATCATGTTGAAGAAAAATAGGTCAGATTTTGCGTCAGCCGGGAGTCGAACCCGGATCTATTGCTTGGAAGGCAATTATCCTGACCGTTGGACTACTGACGCAAGTTGTTAGTCGTGGGCAAGAATGAATACAGAAATTGACAACAGCCACAGTTAAAATCGGTAGCAGCGCGATTTATGTTATTCGAAGGCTTTCTACCAATATTACATATATAAATATATATTTGATATGATATTTCACGGTTCCTTTCCGCTCATAAATGTAATGGAAAGAATTAAATATTTAAAAATATAAAATATTTTTTATTTTTAAAAATGTAAAATATATTCGATATGATATTTTAGATTCTCTTTCTATTCATAAATGTATTGCAATTTTTAAAGAATTAGATATTAAAAAATATGAAATATTTTTAATTTTTTAAAATATAATTATTATTTTTTTAAGTTCTTTTATTAAACAAAACATTTTATATTTATTTTAAAGTAAAATATTTTATTAAATAGATATAAATATGATAAGATAAAATTAATTTAAAGATAAATAATTATTTTATATTAGGATATGAGATTAAGTTAAAAATATTTTCTATTTTTTAATTTTTTAATCAAAAAAGTATGTCTTTCATGCATTGCTGGGCTTACATACGAGAATTGAATCATATGTGCTGGGTTTTGGAGGAAATGAATAATGCAAACCTGAAAGTTGTCAATTTGAGTATCTTTAGTTTGCCTATCTCACCCATAATTTAAAACGATTAGATTTCTCAATTAAATTCGCTATATATACGAATTAAAATTATCTTTCAAAAAACGACCTTAGTCAAATGATCCTTAATAAGTACATTACCTTCTCTAATTTCTCTCTCATTGTATTGTTATTCCTAAATCATCTAATGAAAGGTGAGTTTGCGAAAATCTAATTAAAGGTGAGATTCTCACGCACGGAGAGGGTTTTTTTTTTTTCTTTTCTTTTCTTTTTCCAGTAATCATTTGGGAAAACTGTTGATTTATTAAATTAAATCGTTATTTATCCCCCTCATGGTCTTCACACCTTCAGGTATGCTACATAAAATAATCATATTTTCCCTTTTTTTTATTAAAGAAGAACGAGTTTTTTCCCCCTTTTTGGACTAAATTATATACTATTCTCCTGAACTTTAAATTACATACATACATATATATATATATATAGAGATTCCTTAACCTTTAACCCCCCATCTCTTATTTATACAAATAAGTGTACATAATTAATTTTATACATTAATTATCTATAAATAACTTAAAGTTTATGAGAGTTATTCATAAATTAATCAGAGTTTGAAAGCTTAAATGCATACAAAAATAAAATTTAAGTGGTATAAAATTAATGGCTATAGGTTATTTGTATAGATCTGGAGTTCAATGAGGTTTGTTATTAAGTTTTAGAAGTTAAAGAAATCATCTGAATATGGTTCAAAGTTTAGGAAAGTTGTGTGTAATTTAACCTTCCTTTTATAATATGAGAGGTAAGTTCACAATAAAGATTATCTCTTCAAGATATATACTAATTGCAAAGAGTATATCTTTTTCAATTAAATTGCTACATATATAAACAGATTCAAACTCTCAATTAATTAAATGGCAAAAGCTTCTACTAATCGTGCGAATTTTACTTGATAGAGCACGTTTCTTTTTATTCTGTGTTTCCTTTGTGGAGTGCTTTTTTATTTTTTATTCATGCTTGTCTCTCTTTTTTAAACAAAGAGGAAAAAGAAATGCATTTAATTAATTAATCAGTTCCGAATCTTCACGTGTAAAAAGCTAAAAGAAAATTATTTATTCAAAAAGTTAAATATTCTTTCACTTTCTAATTAATTTCAAGATTTATAGATGTTTTGATTTTACTTTATCTTTTTTAAAACAAAATTAAAAAATATTCAAAATCTAATTGTTTTAACCAACAATCCAAAGTATAAACTGTCAACAAAACAAACTACACCTATTAAAGCTAATAGAGAGATTAGCATGTCTTCTGCATCAGAGAGACTAGCATGAAAACAATGGAGAGTGGCACAAATCTGTTCTCGACATCTGAACGCGAAGATGATGAGGAAGCTCTAAAATGGGCAGCAATAGAAAGACTCCCTACGTATCTGCGCATAAGGAGGAGTAAACTCGTGAATGCAGAAGGCAAAGCAAGAGAGGCAGATATCACGAAATTAAGTTTAACAGAGAGAGAGACTCTCTTACAGAGACTCGTGAAGATAGCAGAAGAAGATAATGAGAAGTTCCCGTTGAAACTCAAGGAACGGATTAATCTGTGAGTTGTAGTTAGGATTGCAGAAAGAATTCATGAATGATTATGATATAGTGATTAAATAACTTGCACGAGTGTTTTATATCATGCAACTTCTTTGGTCTTTAAATTGGAATTGTTTTCGTGATGCACACTAACTATTTGTAACAGAGTTAGACTTGATATTCCCACAGTTGAAGTTCAGTTTGAGCATATAAATGTGGAGGCTCTACGTTGGAAGCAGAGCATTGCCTTCATTACTAAACTTCTTTGGTAATGTAATAGAGGTAACTCAGCAAAACAGAGACTATGTTTCTCTCTTAGTTGTCGTATTACTGTCCACAGTTCATCACACTATTTCGTTTCTTATTTAATTTCCAAGGATTCTTAAACTATATTCACGTTAGGCCAAGTCCAAAGAAACCATTACATATTCTTCAGAATGTCAGTGGAAAGCCCGCAAGGTGAATTCAAGACATTCGTTTAAATAAATAGAAATTCAATTAGATCTTTTTCTTTTTGTTCTAATAGTGAGATATTTTACAGAATGGCACTGCTTTTAGGGCCCCCAGGTATTGGAAAGACCACTTTGCTGTCAGCTTTGGCTGGAAAACTCGATGCCAATTTAAAACTTGGCGTGAATAAATTTTTAATATTGAGAGTCTAATTCTATTCTTGACAAAACCTCAGTATTCAGGAAAAGTGACATATCAAATCCGTGCCGTAGAGAACATTAGCTTATATTAATCAGAATGATGTCCACATTAGAGAAATGACTGTGAGAGAAACGCTAGCCTTCTCAACAAGATGTCAAGGAGTTAGAAACAGCTATGGTTAATAATTGAATCACTTGAACTGAATCCCAATATTCGAAAGGCCTCTAATTATGGCTTGTAATAGCGGCTCTGAAATTCACCTTTGCAGAGTTGTTGGCAGAACTTCTGAGAAGAGAAAAGAAAGCAAGGACTAGACCAGATCCTGATATTGATACATACATGAAGGTGAGGTTTATTTCTGCAATGCTGAAGATATTGTTTTTCCTCATACTGAATGCCTCTTAATCCTTGCAGGCTGTAGCACTATAAGGATAAGAGACGAGTGTGGTCACTAACTACACTCTCAAGGTAACAACTCAAATTCACCAAATATGACACGTGGTGAAACTTTAAGTTTTTTTATGTTTTCCCTTCTTTATAATACAGATTATGGAACCAGAAGTGTGTGCTGACATTAGGGTACGAGACGAAATGATAAGATGTATATCAAAGGGACAAAAAAAGCGTGTTACAATAGGTATTCCCTAGTTGACAAACAACTTGACATGTGAAATTAAAACCTTCAACTGCGTTAATTGATAAAAACTTTTAGGCATGAAAGGGAGATGCTCGTTAGTCTTGTCAGAGTGTGTTACTTATGGATGACTTATCAACTGGTTTGGACAGTTCAATAACTTTTCATATAATAAATTCAATCCTATAGTCCATCCATATTCTCAATAGAACTACACTTGTCTCTCTCTTACAACCTGTGACAAAAACTTACGAGCTATTCGATGATATCATACTTTTCACAGATGACCAAATTGTGTACTAAGGTCCCAAAGAAAATGTGCTTGAGTTCTTTGAATCCATGGGCTTGAAGTGTCCTGAAAGAAAATGAGTTGCTAACTTCTTACAAGAAGTATATATACGTGTGCAATTCACTTACTCAAATTAAAAGCAGTTTAAATTTAATTTTCTTCTTGTGCGCATGTCTACATACATATATACATATTAATTTTTATCACTTCAAGCGAGATGAAATAGGTGACATCGAGAAAAAATCGATGGTAGTGCTGGGCACATGAAGATGCACCTTATAGTTTTATTGCCGTGAAGGAGTTTGTTGAAGCCTTCCAATCACTTCATAGAGGGCAAAAAATTAGAGATGAGCTGGCCAATCCTTTTGATAGATCTAAATGCCATCCAGCTGCCTTGACCGCAAAGAAATATTATGTTAGCAAGAAAGAGCTGTTGAGAGCATGTTTTAGTAGAGAATTTCTGCTTATGATGAGAAATTCCTTTGTCTACATATTCAAAGCCACCTAAGTGAGTTGATACGCTATTCACTTGAAATTCAAACTTCAATTTTGCATCAATATTGACTCTAAATACTCGATCATATGATGACAAATAAGGTGTCTCATACTTTATTCCTTTTTTTGTTGGGAAAAGGATTAGAAGACAGATGGGTTGTTCTAGAGATGTATTTTGTTCTTCTTTTCCCCTTACAGATGTCTTTCTTCCAACCTTTCAGCTTACTTATTTAGCTGTCATTACTACAACATTATTTCTACGAACTAACATGCATCGGGATACTGTGGCGGATGGAGGAGCTTATATGGGTGCTTTGTCCTTTGATGTTATTATAGCCCTGTTCAATGGTATATCAGAGCTAAACATGACCATCATGAAAACTTCCCATCTTTTACAAGCAAAGAGACTCTATCTTTTATCCTTCATGGGCTTGTTCTCTACCACCATGGATACTCAAAATGCCAATAACCCTTGTAGAAGTAGCCATTTGGAAGGGCATCACTTATTATGGCATCAGTTTTGATCTAAATATTAGAAGGTGAGAACCTAATTTAAAAAAAAGGATCGTTAAGGCCAAATTAAATTGATAATTTCAGGTTTAGTAAACTAATGAGAATTCTCCTTGGCAGGCTCTTCAAACAAAACTTCCTTATTCTATGCATTAATCAAATGGCATCTGCACTATTTCGATTGATGGCAGTACTAGGAAGGGATGTAATTGTTGCAAATACTATTAGATCATTCGCTTTACTTATAGTTATGGTTTTGGGTGGATTTGTAGTTTCGCAAGGTAAAAAAGATAAAGTAATAATAAGGAAGGG